AAAAAGGTATTATTATTATTAAGAATTGAAATGCCACTGCAGAAAATCTCCTGTCTCTGGTATTCACAAAATAAGTCTGATTTAAAGGGAGGAAAGAGCCTAAGACAATAATATTAAACAACTGATACACCGTTCCTTTCAGAGCATCCTTCTCCTCACTTTGCTGGGATGTGCAAAGAGGGCACAGGGATAAAATATATCCAATCCAAGTAATGATGGATTCTATGCATGGTGTCATGGAAATGCAGTTTGTCCTAGGTAGGATTTTAGTTATCTTAAATAAATAGGCAAGACCACAGATAATCAGCAAGACATCCAGAAGGTACGCCTTTATTTATTTAATTCTACTGGAGTAGGTCTGGACCTCGAGGTCAAAACCCAAAAGCACTGCCTTTCAGTTGAGGACAACGCAACAACCTAAATTTGAATGTTTCATAATAATCCGTTCATAGTATTTCTGAAATGTGACTGGTAATGTCTCCTGTTGTTCATGTTTCACATAAAAAAGAAACATGTAGCTCTTAGAACAATATTCAAAGTATGCCAGAATAAATTATAATTAATCCAATGAATGATATCAGTTCTATGCATGATATTTGCTATTTGTGTTACACATAAACAGAAGGGTTGGATCCAGTCATGCCTTTAAGCAAAACGGGAGAGTCCTTTCTTTCATGAAAGAGTCTTTTGCCTAATAGAAGCTTCCACTAGTGGAAGAAAGGAGGCAATCTGTCCTTCCCAGCTGTTCTAGAAGGTCCTCCAACCCTTCAGAACAGATTTCTCGGCAGCTATGGGGGGGAATCAGCGAAGATCAGCCCCACTTCTATTAGCAGAGGTGTTGGCTGGATGAAAAGCCCTTCCGTCTGTGAAACAGAACAATTAGATTCCACCCAATGATCTCATTGTTGCAGTTCCGCATAATTTTTCATTGCATGGCTCTTAAGTCCTTAAAAGTTTATTCAGCTCCATACTACTAAGCAGTAACTGCATAATTGAATGTGCCTCCGAGACAGCGTTTGAGACTTCCCTGAATTAGTAATGCCCAAAGGACTATTTATGGTGGTTTGTAATTAAGAGACTGGGGGCCTTATTTCTTTCTAATTAGAGCTTGCCTCCAAATTGTCATTCATACTGAGAAAGTTATCCCATAATGCCACAAGCTTAATGAAAAGAAATTGTCTTTGAACACAAACACCTTATTCCTCTGGTACCTGGAAACCCTATGGGACAGGGACATAAAAGAATGAGCAGAAGAAATGTAATCATTCTTCGGGTTCATTAGTCTCACAATTTGCATCTAAAGGTGAAACTGGATTCTGACCGTGCTAATATGTAGAAACTGCAGGTTGTATTCAACTAAGGCATTGCCTAAGAGGAACAACTTCTGATAATGGAACAGAAATACCCCTCCCTCTTCTTCCCACCCCACCCATCTCGTGCACCCCTCAAATCTGTTTTGGGGGTCCCCCAACTCTCTGGAGGATATGAATGTGTTTGTAGAGGTGCACAAGGGCAGGAGAGAAAATTCTGTTGTGCAAGTTGTTCTGCTTGTGCAATGACTTCATTGAATTCAACCCAGCATGTTAGAATACCAGCTTCCAATTGCTTCCCTCCAAATCCTCTTTTTGAAGCATACTCCAAAAATGTAGCTATGTTCATCAGTGCCTACCAGGCAGGGCACTTGACCTTCCCCCTTCCAGAATCCTAGATGTATTTTAATGTACACAGCCACATGAACGTCCAGCTAACGAGAAGTGTAGAGCGATTTCTGAGAGATTTAGAGTGATCCCATCAAGAGTGGCTGCCCAGCTAAGAATCTCTGCCCATTGCTGGAGAACGTTCCTGCGCCAGGAGACAGCTTAGATGAATGCTTGTTCTGATCTAATGACCCAATGACCTAATGATCCTGCTTCTGCAAATGTTATCCGATTTGGAAACCCTAGAAATACAGTAATATAAACCAATGCACACCCTGCAACTGTCCTGGAAAAAACAGGACGTCCCATTTCCCCCCACAACAGCATGGTGGCCGTTTTGGGTGCCATGCTCTCACAAGATACTGGGACGTCATCTCACCCCCAAAAAGCACTTTTTCAGGACTGTGATCTTGAGCAGTGCCCCAAAACATATATTTTGAGGGTGCTGTCCCCCCAAAGTGTTTTTTTGAAGCAGTGATCTTACATGGTGCCCCCAAATGTACTTTTTGGAGCACCAAGCCTGAAAAAGCACTTTTGAGGAGCCATGATCTCACGCAGGTCATGTGACTTGTGCAGGAGTGTGGCCCCAGAAGATGGTGTTCCAGTTTTCCCACACACCATGTTGGAGAGTATACAAATGAGTTGTGGTGCCTTTTTGTGTTCAGGTGAGGAGCTTGGGGGTCCTGCTGGGCCCTGCCCTTTCTGAGGGGTATGTGGGGGCAGTCAGTGGTCAAAGGTAACCCAGCAGAATAGAAACCAACAATGCTGACATGGTTCTCAGGAAACGGGCAGTGAAAAGCCTTTTCTTTGGGAACTGTGTACTGATCATTAGGAACAAAAGTGAAGTGAGAGAACAGAAGAGTACAAGCATTTTGTTTTCTCATAAATATATATGCAGTCACATTTATTTCAGCACTCATTTTAGAAAGACCTAAAACCTACATAATACCACTCTGTACCCCTTGAGAATTTCTTATGTTTTTCAGCCCCCAAGATAACCTTATTTCCTAATTGATATGCTAATCACATTAATGTTTGAGCTTTCCAAAATTCTAATTAACAGCTTGCTTTGTCTCTAGCTAATTCACTAAATACTTGTTTCTTAACAAGATTAAAGGAGGCGGTGGATTTCCATTTTAGAACAAAACTGCTATCCTATATAAATCTAACCAAGTTTAACTGTTTTATACTGAAGTCCTATGCACACTTATCTAGGAGTAAGTTCCATTGCACCCAATGGCCCTTATGTATGAGCAGACAGGTACAGAATTGCACTGCCAGCTTCCCCTGAACAAACTATTGTTTTGTTTTTCATTCCTTTATTTAATTCATTTTATATGGGTATTCTGAGAGCTCCAAGTCCCCTCATGAAACTAAATTCTTAGGTTCTATGGAGGGGTGAAGAAGCAATCCACGAGTTACAGAGATACTCTAACTTCTGAAATCTAGCAGGAGGGGGAGAGATGTCAGTGTATAAACAGGTTCTATATGAAAAATTCACAAAGCAATTACCTAAGTGTTTTTAGATTGCTTTAATAAGAGGACCTGCAACACAATGTTGCAGTGGAGCAGCCCACCCTGTTCCAGTCAGCCAAGCCCTCCCTCATAATACTCCATTGCATTCTCCCTCCCATCCATTCCTGTTGAGGAGCCAAAAGTTAGCAAGTGAGGACACCCCCCCACAAAAGCCCCCATGGGCTGTTTGAGAGGTTTCTTCACCCCTTTAGGCTTTTCTCTTGCCAGATTTTTCGTAGTTCTGCAAAAAAAATTTGGTTCTCCTGAGCTAGCTGATACCACCATCCTGTGTATAGGTGCCGCTTTGACTTTATAAGCAGTGGCATTCATGTGTGGGCATCAGATATAGAAGTATTTCTGCCTTGCATTTTTATTCAAGTGTTGATGCTTTGATATACCCTGTACCTCTTCAGTACATAAGGTAGTATTCAACAAAATAATTGTGCTAGCAATTAGTGCTACTAAAATGGGATTTCCCCTACCTCTGTGCATGCCCCATTCTGTCCCACAATCTTTTATGGTGGTTGGGGGAACCCTCAGAACAGATTTAGAAGGTGTATGGGGGAGGAAGAGTGTTCCATTGAGAAAAGAATATCCCTTGTGCTGAGACACCTGGTGACTTTGCGCTACATTGAATACAACCCATAACCTCCAAAATTGATTTTCCATGACACCCCAAACCCATCAGTTTAATTAGTTTTATGAGAATATTGTGCAAGAAACAAAAGTAAGGAATGAGAATAAAATTCATACAGGATGTGGCACAAACATGACAAGGGAAGGCCAACAGCCAGAAAGAAAATGGAAGATAAGTAAATGACCCTGAGAGAAACCGAGGTAGGAGATCGTTTGCATGTTATGAAAGCAAATGATCTTCTTGACATACAGTTCTACATTCCCTACAAAGATTAGATAACTATAGACATGAACTAATGTTTTGTTATCAGCTTCACACGACTGATTTTTATACCTTATATATAAAACTCAGATATGGCTAACTATTGGGGGCAAAACTATTATCTGCCCCTGTTCTTTGTAATAGACAGTGGAGGAGGCTGGCAAAAAGGAAGTTTCTTGGTGGTTGTTTTTCTTGCACAGCTTTTAAAAACAAAGTTTGGAGATTCTTTTGGGAATGTGAAGTGGTATAGAAATGATTTAAAGAAACTGAACAAATAAATAATACAGTTCGAAGAGGATCAGATGCAGTGCCAACTCTCCTTCCATATCCACCCATTTGCCCTATCCTACCATAGACTGGTTGAGCACATGGGACTTTGGGGATAGATGCATCTGCTTTTACAATGTCCTTGAAGAGTCAGGAGCACAGGGACCATACTTGTACACTGTGGGATGCAACACACCAACACATCACCCTATATGCTGACACAACTGCTCTGAAGAATGGGCTTTCTCAGCCTTTAAACTCCTCTAGAGTTTAAAGTGTGGTGTAGTGGTTAAGAGCGGTAGTCTCGTAATCTGGGGAACCGGGTTCGCGTCTCCGCTCCTCCACATGCAGCTGCTGGGTGACCTTGGGCTAGTCACACCTCTCTGAAGTCTTTCAGCCCCACTCACCTCACAGAGTGTTTGTTGTGGGGGAGAAAGGGAAAGGAGATTGTTAGCAGCTTTGAGACTCCTTAAAGGGAGTGAAAGGCGGGATATCAAATCCAAACTCTTCTTCTTCTAATGGCTCTTACTGGATTGTTCTGTGCACTGCACTCTCTGTTTCCCTCCCCTCTGAATGGGCATTAAGGGTAGTCAGTATTTGCTGTATTAGAATACATGAGGATAACTTAACAAACCACCATTTTATTATAGCTGCTTATTTGTATTCGGCTTTATCCATATTATACTTTGAGTATTCACATATTGATTAAATAAGAGGGAAAATCAGCTAAAGAAGTTTCAGCAAATCTAGTCCTTAAAAATGGAGAAACAAAGATGTTATCATTTACATTTCTCTAATAAGTCAACTGCTTTTTTCTTTATTATAGTCAAGTGATTGTTTTCATTGTTCTTTTCATTTAATCTTTCCTATTCAGTTATGTAAATAAAATATGTACAGACATTCACAGTTAAAATTTAAGATAATTTGCAACCAATACATTAGTATAAACAGTATATACAGTAACAAAAGATAAATGGTATTCAACATAAACTGGAAAAGTAACTAATACAGGCGATCGTGTTACTCTACACCAAAAATATATTTTCACCCACTGATAAGTTCCTGGATACTGATAGCTTTCTTGTAATCAGCAATAGCTTCTTTCATTAAACCCATCTTGCCACGAATATCAGCTCTGAGTTTAAACATCAGGGAATCATACGGCTGAATTGACAGTGCTGTAAGAAGTTAGCATTGTTATTAGCGATTTCTCAGAGTAAATAAGAATGATATGCTAATATTCATCTGAAAGTGCTTGCATAACTTGGATACAGAAAGTTTATTGTGCAATCATCTTCATATCTACTCAGAAACAAGTCCAGACAAGATAGCCTAAATATTAATTTATTCTATTTTGAGATTCAGTCTGTCTCATAGGTTCAAAATGCAGATAATTTCTTTTGCTGCCGCCTCAAGTGAAAGGCAGGAATGTACCTTGGGGTCCCTTCCAGGATCAGAGCTGGGAAAAAGCACTAGGGGGAGCTAAACCTACCTGGGTCCAGTGTGACATCACAAGAAGAAAGAGGAGACGCTAAAAAGCAGTTTGCCCACCTCCAAACACAATTCAAGTCTCATACTGTTGACCAACTATGCATGATTGTCCAGACACATCTAGATTGAAAGTTTACACTCCCTAATTCATGCAGCATTTTGGGGGCTGTATAGTTCTGACAATTGGGATCAGAAAGATCATTTAACAGACCATTTTGAAGTTTTGCAATGCATTTTTAAAAGAAGAGGAAGGTACATAAACTACAGTGGTGCTCTCTCTCTCTCTCTCTCTCTCTCTCTCTCTCTCTCTCTGTGTATCTCTGAGTATTTTTACCTTTTGAAATGGCTTCCTCAGCTTGCTCATATTCCTGCAATGTACTGTAGAGATTTGCCTTGTTAAAATATATTGCTGCCGAGAAAGGAGAAAGGCAAATTGCCTGCTCAAAATCTGCTTTTGCGTCTTCAAATTTCTTTAACAGTGTATTTGTAATAGCTCGATTTAGGAATGCAGATTCATTTGTTGGATCAAGCATCAGTGCCTTGGAATAATAGTTATTTGCCTAAAAAAATAAATAAAATGTATATGCATTTTGAAATTGCTTATTACTTTTGTTTTATAAAATCACTAACAACAACATGAGAAATGAATGAAGAATTTTGTTTTAGGGAAGCCTGGTTGTATTCCAGTCTAGTAGTTTTCTCCAGTAATTGCACAATTTGCTCATTCATTCATTCAGACAAACGTTATTCCAAACAATTGTATTTTGTTGTTTTCTCTGCCATCCCATTTTTTTTCAGTTGTTGATTTACTGCAAAACTTTGTTGTTGTTGTTTATTAAATTTCTATACTGCCCTTCATCCAAAGATCACAGGTAGGTTTACAATATAAAACACAAAAATGTGTATCATACTAACAAACAGAAACCATACCCCAGAAACCATACCCCCTACACTTTAAACTTCCACTACAGCTGCAGAATAGTAGTATCAGGTGTGAACTGACTGCAGTACTATTGCTTCACCTGGGGCAAAGGAATAGTCTGTTTGATCCGAGCTATGACTACTGCCAATAACAGAACTGTATTTTACACAGTGGTAACTCGGGTTACATATGCTTCAGGTTACAGACTCCGCTAACCCAGAAATATTACCTCGGGTTAAGAACTTTGCTTCAGGATGAGAGCAGAAATCATGCAGCGGCGGCGTGGCAGCAGTGGGAGGCCCCATTAGCTAAAGTGGTGCTTCAGGTTAAGAACAGTTTCAGGTTAAGAACAGACCTCCAGAACGAATTAACTTCTTAACCCAAGGTACCACTGTATTGCTTTTGGTATGTTCTCAAAATTATTTCACGTGTGGTCATTTTGTAAAAGGTTTTTGTAGTATATCACTTCAAAACTGCTTAAATGTGAAGCAATTAATAAATTCAAGAAACAAACAAATAATCCATTGGCAGTACTTTTGATGACAAAAAATAATTATTATTCCTTTTCAGCAGTGAACTTTTCTGGAGTTCCAGAAAAACACATAGAGAAAAGGACTATCAGTTTCACCTGCTGCATCTATATCAATGCTGACGTGCACAAATTGCCTTTTTGGAGAAGAAGGAAAGTCAACAGTAGCAATGGTGGTAAGCAGTAGACCGTATGAATGCTGGAAAGGGCTGCCTTTCCTTCTAAAGCCTGCCTTCCCCTTTGCATGGGGATTATATAATACATAAACATTACTTAACAGGGTTGGTCCTACAATAATGCTTGCAAAAATGCATTGCTATCTACAATGCATTCTGATATATTTGGTTACTACGTTACTCAGTGGATCAGAAGTTTGCTCAAATTCTCATGATTTTTTGGAAATTTAAAATAAAGAACAGTAAAGAACATTTCATAAGAAATTCTGATAACTAGCATTCTATTTGTCCCATGCTCTATTACAAAGTTATATATTAGAGGAACTTTATCAGCTGTCATTTCTAACTTGTAAAACGCTAATTATAGCTACAGAGGTAGAGTATATTCATTTAATATCTGGGAATGGCATTTTTTGTCACAAAAACAGCTAGTTCGGGCATGCAAAATTTTAAGTACTGTGTAATAAAAAGGTAAAGGTACCACGACCGTAAGGTCCAGTAGCGAATGACTCTGGGGTTGCGGCACTCATTTCACTCTATAGGCCAAGGGAGCCGGCGTTTGTCCGCAGACAGCTTCTGGGTCATGTGGCCAGCATGACTAAGCCGCTTCTGGCGAACCAGAGCAGTGCACGGAAACGCCATTTACCTTCCCGTTGGAGTGGTACCTATTTATCTACTTGCACTTTAACATGCTTTCGAACTGCTAGGTGGGCAGGAGCTGGGACTGAACAACGGGAGCTCACCCTCTCGCGCGGATTTGAACCGCCGATCGGCAAGCCCTAGGCTCTGTGGTTTAGACCACAGTGCCACCTGCATCCCTAAGTACTGTGTACATAAATCCCAATGGGTGGTATGAACACATCTAAGCAGATACACGATCCTGCAGCCTTGCAATTGCTAGTTCCTCCTACGCTTGCTGTTGATATTGGTGTTGTTGACAGATCAGTAGACAGAGCACTGCTGTAGGGCAAGCAACTGCCCAGTACCTCACAGTACTGCCATATGGGGAAAGGGCCTTAGACTCTAGCATAGTTCTCCCTTCTGCCTCCACCCCAAAACTTGTACAGTGACCTTTCCAGTCAGTCTGGAAAATCAGGATGTGAGTCACCCATCCTTGAGCTTTAAGATGAAAATGCTTTTTAAGGATTGTGCTAAAAAATCTTCTACTAACTGAAATCATGCAAGCAAACCATTCCAAGGAAAAGAATTCAAGAAGATTAGCATGCACAGAATCAAATACAGACCTGTGAAAACTGCCTGTTGTTAAAGTAGATATTTGCTGCATTGAAATATGCCAAAGCATAGCTGGGGTCAATGGAGATAGCTTGCTGATAATCTTTCATGGCACAGTTTAAATATCCCATAAACTGGTTAATGACACCTCGATTAGTAAGCAGCTCTGCACTTGTAGTTACCTGAAATATAGTCAACATAAATAAAATTGTAGGAATAGAACTCATAAAGAACATAGTTGTTAGAAATAGACAGTAATATCTTGATCTTGACAGTTACCTTCAAATTATGATCTAAAAGCGGAGATGTTTATACGCAGCAGCAGAGTAGATATATGCATGAGAATGAACTTAGAAGTGCAAACTAAACTTGGAAACCCACCCATGCACAGAGTAAATTGTTGAAATGGCTAATAGCCATGACTGGCATAACATTTCCCCATGTCATTGGTGCCTACATGCACCGTGACCACTGACTCTTCCCCAGCACTATCTACCATGCTATCTAGACAACTGGCAAAATCTGTGCAACCTTCATGCCATGCAGGCAATTCACCCTGTGGTCTGCATGCCCACCACATCCACAATCAGTGCTTTTTTCTTTAAAAAATGTTTAGGGGTACTCTCATTTTCCTACGCATCTTGAAATACCGCCCCTCAATGAGGCCAAACTTAGATTCACAAGATGTTTAGGGGTATGCGTACCCCTGCATCCCCCCAGAAAAAAGCACTGTCCACAATTATCTATATTCTTAAAAATCATATATCACCCACTGCTGCAATCCACCCACCCACCAGAGAAGTATCTTTGGCACAAGAGGATAGATGTTTCTCCCCCAAGGAATGGATCCCTTCTAAGGGAATGTTTCCCTCTTCCTAAAGGTGGACACTGATCTTCACCAAGACCCTCTCCCTGGCAACTATGATATCCCTGAAGCCCTCCTCCTCCACTCTCTCTGCCCCTCTTGCCTTTTACAGCATGAAATGGTAATGGGCACTATGAAATGCTGTGGCAGCTGCACTTAAGAAAACTAACTTAAGAGAGAGGAGTCAACTTTCTCTCACATGAGAAGTAAAAAGAATGTTGCAGAATTGCCCTGAGAACCTGGGGAAATCGGGACACGCAAACCATCACATACATGTCTTGTATGCCAGCCTGTGAAAGGCTGAGTGCATATGAGTAACTGTCAAAGATAAGGAGCAAATTATAAGCAAATTGGAGATACTGTGGAAAGACAGAGTTTACATGAAGGGTATAAATTACAAGCAAGGAAGGACACTGCAAATGATCAGTAACAGATCAAATATTTACCTTGAGTGCAGCATTTGTATCTTGAAAGGCAGCAAAGGTATCGCCCATCTGAAGAGAGACTACAGCTCGCCCATCATAAGCAATGTGACACTTGGGATCGATATAAAGAACTGCTGAAAACTGGGCCCAAGCTTTCTGAAACTTTCCAAGAGCCTACAATAATTTAACATAACCAGTAACAAAATCAGACATAGTAAAAAAAAACACCTCTCACCTCTTTAAAAATGTGCCTAGAAAAACCAACATCAAACTGGTCCCTCAAGATATTTTGGACTACATCTTCCATCATCCTGAACCAGTAGATAATCAGTAAAAGTCCAGAAAATGAACCTTGAATTGTTGTCTTATAATCAGATTTTAATGAAGTAAAATACATGTTACAATTCTAAATAGTTTGATTTTATCCAGTAAAACCAAACCTGTGTTGTTCTCAGGCTCATTAGCCATTATATATTGTAGAAAGTGAAAACCTGCAAATGTCATGGGCACAGAAATCCAAATGTCTCAGCGCCAGTCTGGAGCTCTGCCAGCCTTTGCTGGCCATCACCTGCAGTGTGATGTAAACATCACCTGCTGAGTGATGCCAACCAACATCACTCTGTTGGTGCCAACCTCCTTCTGGATAGCGTACTCCAATCTCCCTTTGTGTTGGTCTTGCAACAAACATGTGGGCAAATTCACTCCTGGCAAGATCTTTTCTGCTAGCAGCCAGTGTGGAGCACTGGAAAAAGATGTCCCAACAGAGGAGCTGAGCTACCTTGGTACCTGTCGGATCCCAAACCAGCCCCACTTTACGCTGGTGCACCAAAACCCCACTGCTCTGTATTGCCCTACCTACTGGTTGGGGGGCAGTTTTAGAACTGCTCACTAACTGTGCAGTTCTATGCATGTTACAAAGAAGCATGTGAAGCTGTTACAGGAGCTTGTGAAGACTGAAAACACTACTTGCCATGTAGGTGTTTGTTGGAAGTATATCGACAAAACTGCCCAAAGGCTGTAAAGCTAGTTTCTAAATTAAATCAGTATTATTTCAAAACAATGTGTAGAGATCTGCTTTATGACAAACCACAATAGCAATACAGTGAGCTATATGAAATGCAAAGAAAAGGTAATTTGTAATTTCCTTTTTCATATCTCAGTTAATGCAGAACTATTCCAATCCGTTGACTGGTGTGTTGTGCAAGAGTTTCCCAGCAAAGTTTCATTTTAGGACTAACACGTCAACATTTCCACTAGCTTGCATCCATAATTGTTCTTCCATTTGTGGAAAGGTTTCTTCCATTCACAGAAGGATCTTTGATCCAGCAGAGACCCCAACTGGTGGAAAGCGGGGATGGAGGTATTTTCTCCAATCCTGCCTTCCCACTGCAGCACCCACTTACACCCTTCTGGAGGGCTATGTAGCTCAGAGCAGATTTCCAAGAAGCACAGGGGGTGGCAGGAAGAATTAGTGAAAAGTGCTTCCCCCGCTTCTGTCAGCATGAGCACCCCATGAGCCAAGTGCTGTGCACAGAATCTCTAGATCCAAGGCTATATGTAGAAGCTCCTCCTCATATCCTGGACACTTACTGAAATAGTCATGTTTTAATTGCAGTGCCGCTATCTCAGTAGGGCCGATCTTCTATAGTAATGTCTCATACCTCCATGAGTCTGCCAGTCTCCTTCTCCTTAACCACTTTGCCATTGCTGTGACAAAGGGTGCTAGTCTGGACTTTAACATGGTTTATTTTTAGGGATCATAGTTGTAAATTTCCTGCCTTAAGCCCATATACTCTCTGTCTCTCATTTCCGTGTAGGAAACCAATTTTTCTACTTCCTGTTATGACAGGTTATTTATTAGGCAAAAAGGTTTAAGGTATACACACATTTTAAATGGACACATGTCCTGACCTCACACAAAAGGCGATCCATATACAGGGTGGTACACCTCGTAACATTGCCAGCAGGATAAAGCTGAGAAGTATGGGAAGTTACAGGTTGCACTACGGGAACTGTGGAAAATAGCTCCTACTCTGCTTCTTTTCCCTATGAATTTCATAGGAAAATAGTACTGCTTTCTATTATTGATCTCCAACAGTTGAGAGTGCTGAGTACGATAGGCACAGGTCTTACATAAATCAGAGGGCATCAGTTCTTCTTACTGGTTAAAAATAGATTTAATCTAGGTATGAGAAATGGAAATAATTGACCTACAATCGCACTTATATGTGCTGGTTATTTTATCCTTAAGAAAAGTGTTTAAATCTTTAATGCTCATTATGTATTTTAAGTGAACGCCCTAAATTGTCAGAGGAAGTTTAAGGTTGCTGAGTGCAGTCGAATATTATAAAGGCACAGTTACCAATGCATTACCTGCAAACTATATCCTGCACAAAGTCTGGCCTTTATGCACAATGGATTCAGATGTATTGCTCTTGCGAAATCTTTCTGGGCTTGTCTAGTACCTTTCTCGTGACCATATTCCAGATATGCATTTCCTCGTCCAATATAGCCATCCAGAGAAAATGGATCTATTTTAATAACCTTTGAAAATGACTGCACAGCTTCTTCGTATTTCTGAAGTCTGAAAATCAATATACATTTGAAATTAAGTGTTTTATTAGCAACATTTGATATTATATACTTTACAATGAGTGAACAAGCAATGGTGCAGAAACCAGGACCATAAATATAATTTGTAGCCAAAACATCCCTCTCATTTTTGTATAATGCATTCTCACATGGCTTATTTTGGCATGGTTTATAGTATTTATTTCACCATCTATATTCCTTTTTCAAGCATGAGTTACATATTGTGCTGATCATGTGAACTTGTTCAGAAGCAGACCAAAGCAGCATTTTTCTTATTGTAAATATCCTGTTCTGGATACAGGGGCAGATTAGAACTTTGACTTTAAAATCTGATCTATGTGCTGTTCAGGCTGTTACCACCCACCACCATCTGACTGATCTCCTTCATCTTCTATGGGAAGCTTCTCTGAGACTTGGTGGGGGAAGCTGAGTATGAAGGACTAAGTTTCCTCATATACTATACAGTCCAACCTGAAATGGAAGGTGCTCCCTGATTGCTGTTCCTAAACTTTCTGTAGAGGTGGGGAGCCCTCTGAGGAAACAAGCTCCAAATCTCCGTCTCCCCTTTGCAGCCTATCCAGAGTGGAAGTGGGGTTGAAGAATAGCTTCTCTTTTCACACATTTTTTGTGCCCTTCCTGAACTGCAGCGCAGACTAGAGCATCCCCACTCTGGTTGGACCAGCCCTGGAGAAAAGGCAATGGTGGGGGAACAGCCTCCAGTAATTTTTGCACTGCTGCCACTGCCCAGCTAGCATGCTAAAAGGATTCCACACTGATCTGACCCTAGGTGAAAAGCCTGTGGGAAAAAGCAGAACTACAGGGCCTAAGAACTAAAAGCACACAAGAAAACCATTCAGCCTCTTGTTCGGGAAACCACCCATCGCAACTGAAATGTTCCTCAACTTCTGCTTTGCCAACTCTATTGTAAACCACGACATCAAAACATTTATTCTAAATCCCTACTGTTCGGTATTATTACCTATGACAGCAGTGTCCAATATTTTGAAGTAGTTTAACATCTTTTGGCTTACTCAGTGCTACTTCTGCAAAGTCCTAAAAACAGAGAAAGAAAATATTTGTGATGCACCCAGCACTGACGTCACAGGCATCATCCAGTAAGCGCCTATAATGCTAGCACATTGCTCATACCCACAGCTGTGAGTGGAAACCAGCACTTTCTGAGAAAAAAGAAAGTTTTTAAATTTTATTTTAAGTATGTATATCCCATCATTAATCCAGAGATCTCAGTGCAGGGAACAGTAAGTCTGCAATAAATAACAATCAACAGCAATTAAAACATGGTACACAGACCAGATATAAAGCAACTAACTTAGCATAGAATCAGTCACAGCCCCCAAACATCTTTGTAAACAGCCAGGTTTTAGACTGTTATTAGAATAACATCAGTCCGGACATGCATACCCATCAAGAACAAGTCATCCACCCAGTTCCCTGATACTGGAAACATCTAACCAGAGCATTTTCAGTCCAGATAGTCCAGATTCATTTTCCAATTACTAGACCTCATCTAGCCAACCACAGCAGCCAGACACCAGATGTACAAGAAACTGCACATCTTCAGCTGACTCAGATAACATGAAGAAACAGAACCGGGTGTCATCTGCATATTGATGGCACCCAAATCACCTCACCCAGCCGCTCCATATAGATGTAGAATTGGGGGGACAAAATAGAATCCTGTGCGACCCCACAAACCAATTTACATGGGGCTGAGTAGAAGCCACACACTTCCCACCCAAGGAATCAGCCCTTTGGTTAGGACTGGAACCATCACACCACTGTGCCTCATACCCTCAGTACATAAAGTCATTCCAATAAAATGCAGATCTAGGAGAATCAACAGAGCTGCACTCTCTCATCTCACTACAGAAAGAAGTTGTCCGTCAGGGAGACCAAAGCCAAACTGGGACCTAAAGACAGAATGAAGTGAATCTAGATAAACAGCCGTCACCAAGAATATATGAAGCTGACTGGTCACCACCCTCCTGAGTGCCTAAGCAACTAGGCTATATTCAGAATAGACCTACTGAAAGTAACAGGACATGACTAAGTTAGGTCTGTACCTCTAGTGCATTAGCATGTTGGTTCAAATCTACATAGAGTAAGGCACGGTTGATCAACACTTTCAGAACAATGTCCTTGCTGGGCTCAAGAAGAAGAACAATCCCATAATCTTTCAAAGCCTGTAAAAATACACACAGTAACTGGTAAATAGTGCAAAATATGGAATCTCATTATCTTGTATAAAGACATTATATTCTCCCCATCTGATTAATTACCTGTTTGCTTTTCAAAGAAATAAAGCAGGGTTGAGAAGCCTGTGGCCCTTCAGATGGTACGGAGTGAGCTACAACTCCAAACCTCCCTGACCATTAGCCATGCGGACTGTGGCTGATGGGAGCCAACAAATTCTAAAGGGTCAGAGGTTCCCCATTCCTGGAATAAAGGCTCAAGAAATGTGACTTATACTATATAACTTTACTAGGGTGTTTAACGAATAATTAAATGTACAATTTTCCAAGTTTCAGCAAAGTTAAGAGAAAATACTTAATTTTCAATGTTTTGTTTTAGCTTTGGTTTCGTGAACTATAGCGACTATAAAGTTTGCTGTAATGAAATACAAGGGAGAAATAGATTAAGAATAAATTTGGCATAGCTAAAAGCAATTCATTCTTCCCAACTTGGTGATTTGGGGAAAGAAAAGGACTTTAACCATGGCACTGTAGCTGACAGGAGTGCCTTGAGCGACTCTTGGAAGTCAATTTATCATCAAAACTACAAGATATCATGGACCTTGGAATTTCCCAATTGCACCATCTGCTTAATCACAGGACTATTGATTTTGTACTACCTCTGGTCATCTTAGTAAATCTGTCTTTAACTGTGGTAGTTACATGTGTCTGATTAAGTTTTATTGGTTAAGTAATTTTTATTGGTTTTCATAGAATGTCTGATAAAGTTAAGAAAAAATACAGCAAATTAAGAAAAATATAGCATTTAAATAAGTTTTTTAAAATGCAGGTTTTTTTTCTTTCACTGAATTTGCACATTCATTCAGCAAATCTTTTATGAACCAACCATCATATGGGGTAGGGAAACAGTTAAGACCAGTGATGTGGGTTTTGTGGGGGAAATTTCCTATGCAAATTAGCATATTTAGGGTAATTTGTGCATAGGAAATTTTTCAGTGTGCATATTTAGGAAACAATTTTGAAACCTCTAAGCTTGCCTAATATTGTATTTGCAACTGGCATCCATTCATTTAACTAATAAACTTATGAAACAGAAAGATTTCCATGGAAAAGCAAAACATTGGAAAATTTACATTTTGGAAAAATTTACATCCCACATCACTGGTTAGAATATTCATAAACTTGGGATATAAATACTGAAAATGCAAGAAAAATCAACTAGCACTTTTTGCTGTCAAATATTGGCATCATGACAACAACAAAGCTAAAATCAACATAGAAAGGCAGAACAACCACTTGTCATTTGCCATATTAAATGTGCTTTTGCAGGCATCTATTCGCATCACTGTGGGTTCCTAAGGTGTGCAAGGGTCTGTCAACGTGATGCTATAAATTCATGAAATCATAGAATAGCCTTCCCCCAACTTGGTGCCCTTCATCTGTTGTAGCAAGTAACTCCCATAATCTTTGAGCATTGACTATGCTATCTGAGGCTGATGCCATGTTGGGGAAAGCTACCACAGGGATTCAAATGCAGAGGCCATTACCAACCAAGTAACACAGTGTGAAGCTCCCCTTCTACCCAAAGTGAATGGGAATAAGAGCTCAGTGCAAATGCTACAGTACACAGAACTCTAGACTGAAGTTAGTAAACACAGTAAGTGAACAAATGCCATAAATTGGAAAAAGGCATGATAATTAAAAATAAAAGCAGGACATTCAGATTCAGAAACAGAGGAAAAGCAATTGAAAAGTATTATGTGACTGCCCTTTAAAAAAGAAACATACATTTTTGCTGTCCTTCAAGCAGTGGTAAGAAAGTGCTCTATTGTAATATGCCAAAATGCAACCATTGTCTAGGTCTATAGCTTTACTTAAATCTTCAACGGCATGTTTGTAAGTCTGTAGGGGGAAAATGACATGGCATTAGTCATATTACCTAAAATCGTCAAATAATCTGTATAAATGAATATTGCTACACATTCCTCTATATGTAATCCTGTGTTGGCAGGTTTTCTATTGATATCTGTTGAAATTTGGAAGTTTATAAAATTATGAAGGTGAAAACAGCAAAGAAAATTTTTCTCTTTCATAATACAAGTGGTCATTCAGTGAAGTTACCTGGCAGGAGATTAAGGACAACATTTCTTCACACAAGGCATAATTAATTTATGGACTTCACCACCATAAAACATAGTGATGGCCAGCAGGTTATAGGTCTTTAAAAATAGTTAGATAGAAAAATACAGTAGATATAAGAGGCAGAACAGATTGAACCAAGCCTATTAATCAAGCTTGTAAATGGAAGCTTGATATTCAAAGGCAGAATACATATATGTTACCTGATGCTGGAAACAGAGAATGACCATCACCTATTGCCAGCTTGTAGTGGCATGTGTCTCAAAAAAATCAAAGCAGATTTTTGTCTGATCCAGCAATGCAATTCTTTTGGGAAAAGCACCCTGAGATTTTCAGGGATTGGACAGATGAAAGGAGCAGAAGTTTATAAGCTTCACGGGGCTCTTTTCTTTTAAAGTATTACCTCACCTATATTAGCTCATACTGTCTCCCTAAAACAGTTACCAATGTAACTGTTATAGTTATAGTTATTTTTAAAACAAACAAACAAACAAACACTTATGTCCACTTTCATGACACGAAAGTGTGCTATTTCTTACAGGTGGCAATTATTATTAAACTATGGGAGGAATTCAACATTGTACTCATGTGATTGTAATGTCAGAGCAAGCATTTTGGCTTGGCAAAGGAACAATCCCCCTCTCCTCCTGCCCCCCGTGCACTGTTTTGGGGATTCCCCCCCCCCAAAATGAACCAATTTCAGGGGAACAAGCAGCAGGGGTGGGGACTTGTGCAAGGGGAAACTGGGCTTCTATTGACATTGAATCCCACCCTATATTTCAAGAATATGTTCATTTAAGGCTGATTACTACATTGGTGTGTTAATCGTAAGTTTTCAATTCTTCTTTAAAATGAGGAGCAGTGTACTCCAAACATCTGTCTTTACCTGCAAAAGGTAACATACTTCATCACACACAAAAAATAAGACAACATTTTTACCCTGTTATAAAACTTCAGTGCTCCTCTATAAAGATAGGCTCTCACGCTTGTAGGCTGAATTCTGAGGGCTTCGTTGCAATTCATTATTCCCTTGGAAAATCTTCCTTTGCATCCATAGTAAGCAGCACGACTTAAATATGCCTTTACAAAAGCATTACAGAAGAAAACAAACACATTTTAGAAGGAAACAAACACCAACAGGCCCAGTACCAGACATTATGCTGCCTGAGATGGCTAGTAATTCTGCTGCTGCTCAGTCTTCTTTATGGTGCTAGTGAAGCAAACATCCTCCTCCTTCACCCTGCCATCTCCTCATTCCTGCTCCTCCTGTTACCTCGCTTTATTTGTTTTCTTTGCTTTTCCTAGAAGTTTTTCCACTCACCTTGCTCTGAGAAAGACCCAAGGGGGGATCTTCAGAGTGAAGTCCTCTGGGTGAGGTGGCCTGGGTTACAAATAACTTTAAAATTTCTAAATTTAAAACAGCATTTTGGGTTTCAGTGGCAAACTACAGCAGCAGTTTAGGCAATCTTCTGGTTACCTTGTCCAGAAGGCCTCACTCTGCAGAAGGACCCCCTTTTGCATGAGTACCTGGCAAGAGATGTTAAATAGGAATGTAGCAGAGGCCTCTAGAAAACTCCTTGCATGCTAATGAATGCTTCTTACTATATAGACACAGAATGCCTACACAGAGATGTACGTGTTTAGATAGGTAGGGGTGTGGCTAAATGAGCAGGCCTGAAAATTCAGCCCACACCATTGGCCCTGGTATACCACGAAGTAAATTTAATGAAGACGAACTAGAATCAACTTTTCCAGGGATTTGCAATCTACTATTTTTATTGCTCAGGGACGTGGGTGGCGCTGTTGGTTAAACCACAGAGCTTAGGACTTGCCGATCAGAAGGTCGGCGGTTCGAATCCCCGTGACGGGGTGAGCTCCCATTGCTCGGTCCCTGCTCCTGCCAACCTAGCAGTTCGAAAGCACGTCAAAGTGCAAGTAGATAAATAGGTACCGCTCCAGCGGGAACAGCGTTTCCATGCGCTGCTCTGGTTCGCCAGAAGTGGCTTCGTCATGCTGGCCACATGACCCGGAAACTGTACGCCGGCTCCCTTGGCCAATAAAGCGAGATGAGTGCCGCAACCCCAGAGTCGGTCACGACTGGACCTAATGTTCAGGGGTCCCTTTACCTTATTTTTATTGCTAAATGTAGAACATTGAGATAAGATAAGCTCTATTTTAGTGTCTCCAAAAATCAAATTTTCAGCATTACCTGAAAATGGTCTGGTTGAACAGCAAGTGTTTTGTTAAAATCTAATATGCACTTAGTTTGATGGAGCTGCATTCTGCAAAGCCCTCGCTGATAGTATGCATCTGCATAACGTGGATATAGCTTGACAGCAGAAGTAAAAGCATCACAGGCCTAAAAATACAGTAAAGTTAGTATTATTAAATATTGCCCTTTGTCTAGAATATATTGTCGAGAATATAAAATGTTTACAGCTTTAGGACTTTGTACTGCATAAAATCAGGCAAATGATACCAGTTATGGAGAGACAAATTCCAATGTTTAAATAGGCCTCACATTCTGAAAGTAGGTTTTAACAACACTCTTCAAGAGGCCCAGACAGTATCTGTTGTTATATGAGGTAGTAAATAGGACCATTTTTTAGATATTACCAAATTGGCCACATATTAACAAAACAGAAGTTAAATGTCTTATTAGGACTTCTAATTGTTATTATCTATCCCAGACAAGACCATTTACTGCCTAATTTTTTTCATATTGACCCAGTTTGACTAGGCTGTAACTGTGATGCTCAGATTAGTTTTTAGTTGCTGGTTTGCTAAATATATTGTTATTGTTTTACTGATGATTTGTTAATTTATATAATATGACTTATGTCATACCTGGGATGTATTATTATTATGTTGTTGTTATTTATTGTCTGTGAGCCTCTTTGAGATTCGTTTTAATGGAAAGAGGAATAGAAAATCTAATTAATCAAATCTATCCAATTTGGCCATTTTGTTTACTGCACTTAATTGAACAAGAATGTTATCAGCTATTTGGACATATAAAGTATTTTAATTCCAATTTAAGGAAATTACTCGACAAGCCTTCTTGTTATGGTATGAGGTGAGTGGCCACAAAGAGGGTGGGTGGGTTACTCTTGACAAGGCTTCTTGATCAAAATATATGCTCTGTATTTTTTAGAGAAGTTAGTAAAATTGATCAAAGTGAATCATGTCCTGCTGTACCCAGTGCAGGCTTTCACAAGGGGCATAGTGGAAGTGATCAGTATTTTGTTTTGAACTCTCTTATTCATACAAAACATTTAAAGTTAATTTTCTATAATATATCAAGGGAGTGGGGGGACATAACATATTGAGGAAACACAGATACTTAACTAAATTCTTCAGCAATTCTTCAACCAACAATTTTGCTATGAAAATGCAGTGCCAATGAAAAAGAAGGAGGTGATGGTTCAAATACCAGAAATTCCTCTCATAGAGACAGTAAGGTTTTGCCCTCCCATTCTGGCTCCTGTTCAGCCACTGCCACCTTCAGCTCAGACATCTCCTGTGGGTTGTTAATGCCCTCTTCAGTCCCCAATGAGGCTCTCTGCTCTGCAGGATGGATAGGAAATGGGAGAACCTCCATCCCCAGTTCCTATTATTCACACGCCCCTTCTGCTTCTGCCTTGTCCTCATCAGTCTGAACTTGCCAATCCATGCCTGATCCCAATGGAACCATGGGGTTCAAGACAGAAAATCACTGCAGAGTATTATTAATCATGGCAAGTCACAGAGGGGAATTAATTAAAATAATCAATTATGACAATCACAAAGGGGAATGAATCGTAGACAATTATTGAAGAAATTTGAAGGAATTTAAGAACCAACTGAACACAGAATCAATTAATATCAATCACACAAACTAGCAAAAGGAATAAAAAAAAATGTAGACAACCACAGAATTAATTAAGCTTGTGACACTGGAATAGCCAAGGGAAGATTCCACTTGCCACAAAGATTAGACACACAAAACTAGCTACAAGAGACAGAAAAATACAGAGAAATAATTGAGAGAATGAATAAAAGGAACCTGAGCACACAGAGCAGAAAACAGAGAAAAGTACAAACCTGAATAACAAAGAAATGCAGAAAGAATTGCTAAACTATTGCCAGAAACAAAAGGCAGGAACTTCACTGGGGTTTCTTCTGGGAACAGGCTGCTTAGAAGTTCCTGAGACACAACTGCATTCCTGTCTTCAGGCATTAGAAGTTCAAGCGTGCCAGCATGGGAGAAGAACAGTGGCAAATTGATAATCCTGTAATCCTAAACATTTGTTGCTTTACCAGATGATGTACTATTGTTATTACGTAATTCATTTATTATGAAAATGAATCCCCTGCCTATACATATACTAAGCTGATAATAGCTAAAAATAATATTACAATAGAAGTATAATTGCAACCCATCAATAGCTTGGCTGGTTGATATTCCAGGCAGAAGGGATCCAGGAGTGGAATTCAACATGGCGCTAAGGAGAATGATCTTCCCTCTCCTACCCTCACACATTGTTCTGGGGGATCTACTGACCCTCCAAAGCAGATCTGAGGGAGGTGCACAGGGGAGAGGAGAGGAAGGAAAGCCCTGTTGTGCCAAAGGGAGTCCTTGCATTGTCCTTGCAGAACGGGGTAGCTAAATCTCGCCCTTAGTCTCTGTGCCTAGGTTGGCATCATCCTAAGAGGTGTGACTGAAGTGCTACTGCCCAATTGGAATAGCCCTCAGGTGAGGCTCCAATACTTTGGCCACCTCATGAGAAGAGAAGACTCCCTGGAAAAGCCCCTGATGTTGGGAAAGATTGAGGGCGCAAGGAGAAGAGGAGGACGAGATGGTTGGACAGTGTTCTCGAAGCTACAAACATGAGTCTGACCAAGCTGCGGGAGGCGGTGGAAGACAGCAATGCCTGGCGTGCTCTGGTCCATGGGGTCACGAAGCGTCGGACACGACTAAACAACAATGATCCCCTTCCCTTCAAATTACTTTGTCTGACATGCCTAAGCAAAATTTAAAACAGTTTTGGACTTTCAACAAACCATTGAAGAGTATCGCAACGCTTGTCTTTAACTCATTTGAACAACACAATCAAAACTTTTGTGTACAATGTTTAAAACCAAAATGCCATAACACTTCAGAAATGTGTACCTCTAATAAGGAGACTTGCTCCATATAGCACTGGCCCATAAAAAAATATATTTCTGCAGCTTCAAATGTACTAGGTGTAGATCTTGAAGCGGCAGTATCCATCAGCCGCTTCAATGCTTGTTTAAAACTGGCTACAGCATCCTGTAATAAAAAGTAAGTGTAAAATATAGTTAACTGATGTTTGCAATCCCAGTCTTGAGAGTGATTGTGCTGCTCAGTTTGCTCAATGGTGAATCAGTCACCCTTTTGAATAACAAAGTGGCCTCCATCTTTTTTTCACCGCAGATATAAATATTTACTTCGTTTTTTTAAAAAAAATGAAGTAAATACCCAACCCTATAGATTCTACACATATGTTTACAATTCTATGCACACTTACTTGGGAGTAAGTTCTATTGAAATCATTTGGACTTACTTCTGAGTAGACATGCCTAAGTTTGCTACATTCTTAAACACTGTACGTACTGCCACAAAGAAGACTATGTAATACAGCTCTTTTTTTGCCATCAAGGAAAGAGGATCTAAGGTTATCCCAGTAATGAAAGCTAGACAGAAATACAAATTTAATGAGTTGAATACATAGCGAGAAAGACTGATTTAGTTACAGCCAATTGTCATGTGTCATGGACTAGGCTGCCCAGTTAAAAAAACATCCATTTTTACTTCTGCACAGCAAGTAATGATCTAAAACTAGGCCTGCTTTCATCTGGCACCTTGAATCCAAAGAGTAATTGCCATTATTTTTCTACATATTTATCAAGTAGGCCCTGGTAAACGTAATCTTCCCAAGTACTGGTGACACCTGAAGTAGCACATGGGAAGATTCCATTTTTGAGGGTTTACTTTGGCTTCACAGAACCCCAGATATCAGAGAAGCATGGCTTGCTGCCATGGCCAGAGTTAGAGAGGCATCATTAACCTCCAAATAGGGTGGAAGGGACGCAGGTGGTGCTGTGAGTTAAACCACAGAGCCTAGGGCTTGCCGATCAGAAGGTCGGCGGTTCAAATCCCGTGACAGGGTGAGCTCCCGTTGCTCGGTCCCTGCTCCTGCCAACCTAGCAGTTCAAAAGCACGTCAAACTGCAAATAGATAAATAGGTACCGCTCCGGCGGGAAGGTAAACGGCGTTTCCATGCACTGCTCTGGTTCGCCAGAAGCAGCTTAGTCATGCTAGCCACATGACCCGGAAGCTGTCTGCGGACAAACGTTGGCTCCCTCGGCCAGTAAAGCGAGATGAGCGCTGCAACCCCAGAGTCGTCCACGACTGGACCTAACGTTCAGGGGTCCCTTTACCTTTACCTTTAGGGTGGAAGAGGGTATGGGGAAGGCTAGGGGAGATGAGGTTAAAAAGGAGAAGTTTTCTCTAGTTCAGATTAAGGTCCAAGACAGATATAAATATAGGGATCATACACAGAGGCCAGTGAGATTAAATGAGCTCTTGACAAATTAACCATTGAGTGGCAAAGACAGCAGAAAAGAACAGACAACCAGCAGGATGCTGTGTCCCAGCAGACAACAGCAAGGAGGAATAGAGATTTAATAAGAAATGAAATAGTCACCGGAACCCATGCAGAATTCTATCAGCCTCACACATTTTCCCTATAGCTTTCAAAAATAGTTCCCTTCAAAACCGCAGAAATACAAGAGCATATCTTTAACCTTATATTTTTTGGCTTTCATTTGGATTTTTCCAAGTAGAACAAACATGGCACAATCAGGTTGGTTTTCGGAGGCTGCAAGTGCACACACAATGGCCTTGTTGTGATTCTGACAAAATGACTGAACAAGTGCTTCTTGAACAAGCGAACATTCAAGGGGTCCTGTAAAATATTGAAGGACAACTTCATTCTGGGCCAACCTATTTATTATTGTGCATTTTAATGTATAAATACAGATATCATAAGAGACAGGCAAGCTTCATAGCCAATGTTAATATAAATGTTCAGAATGCCAAAGACTCGTATTAAACTTCTGTTAAAGCACTTGGCATTCAGAGAATACCAGAGTGATGTACAGAAACCAAATATAAAACATAATACAGCAGTGGTTCCCAATTAGCTTATTACTAGTTCTGCATGCTCAACGAGACTTTGGGCTTATATTTCCTAGACAGCCATCATACCATTTTATGCCAACAGTGCTTCACAGCTATTTAATTTTCAATTTTTATTTAGCTAGCCACCTTAACAATTATCTGCATTTTTGTTGTTTTAATGGTGCATTCATTGTGTTTTAACATTGTACACCGCCCTGATATTTTGTGATATGGTGGTATAAAAATACTTTTCTTATAAAAAATAAATATCAAACCATTTTGAACTTGAGGGGACTCCGCCCCTCCAATGAAAAAAACACAACTGTGATAGGGTATGAGGGTTTGCTGTTCAAGAAAAGTTCCAGGTGCTCCTGGGAATGCTTCAAGTAATCCTTTGGACCTGGACCATAGCTTCACAGTGCACAGAAAGGTAAAACATCAAAAGACAGTACCTTGACCCATTTCTGCAACTTGGTGTATGCAGAAACTTGCAAGATCATAATTCTGCATCTCTAGTAAATACTGTCCTCTGTAAATGAAGTATTTTAACATATATTAATTGCTTGGAATTTCTATGGAACCATTTATTTGTTTTCAAATATCAATAGAATAACAACAAATATTTAAATATTTGAGTAAATAAAAATTACAGAATATTATCAACTCTTCATTAGCTATACATTCAGCAACCTTCTTTAAAAAATTATTTATACTTTTCAGATATATACAATTCATTTCGACATTTTAAAACTTGACTTCCTTCCCCCTTTTTGTGCAGTTCCTTAAATTTATTTTTACTATCTTTCTTCTGCATATCCAAATTAACTTAACCTGCTCATTTATTTCTCTTCTTTATATATATACTCTTATATAGCTTTCAGGTTACTACAATAATCCTGCCAGTGTTTTTATCTGTTTACAATTTACATGTAAATATTCAATAAACCATTTCCATTCTTTTATAAAAAGTGTTTTATCTTGATTTCTTATTCTTCCAATAAGTTTTGCCATTTCTGCATATTCCATAAGTTTTTGTATCCATTCTTCCTTTGCTGGGACTTCTTTTTCCCACTTTTGGGCAAGTAACATTCTTGCCGCTGTAGTCACACACAAAAATAAATTTCTATACAATTTAGGTAGTTCTATCCCTATGAATCCCAGAAGAAAGGCTTCTGGGTTTTTTACAAACGTTATTTTAAACATCCTTTTCATTTCATTATATATCATTTCCCAGTAAGCCTTAACCTTACTACACGACCACCACATATGGAAAAAAAGAACACCATTCAGCAACCTTTGCATCATCCCTAATAAAATACCTAAAATATATCTACTAGGAATAAAATGTGCTAATTGACAATATTTATATCCCACTCTCTATCTTTATTGACCCTCAGGGCAAGTTACATAAATAAATATTAAAATATCCAAAAGAAGCAGATAAAAGTACAAATCAATGGACCAAACATATATAACATAACAGCTTGGAAAAATAGCTCTTGAGCTGATACTAGAAGTAAAATATTCCATCAGATTCTGACAATCAAACTAATTTTTTTTTAATTTAGGCAAATTTCATTTAGTCAAATAACGCCCTAAGAAATTCTATTTATTTATTTGTTTATTTATTTATTTATTTATTTATTCAGTTATGCACTGAAGAATCTCAACTATTAAGCCCACTTTAATTAGAGTAGCATTCTTGATGAAAGAATAATATTTATCCAGCACTAAAAGACCTAAAAACTAAATTTAAAAGGATACAAACTACTTTGGTAGACCACACATCTGAAATCATAGTGAGGACCTATGAAGAGATAGCAGAAGCAGCTGAGTTGTATGCTGCCCTCAAATATGAGTCAATGAAGCATGAACTTCAGGCCTAACGGAGGGAAGTTGAGTTCAGTCCTCCATCTCCTTCAGAGCTGAAGCCATTGCAGAAGCTTCTCTTGGGCTGACAGAATGGAATGCAGTGCTCCAGCTTCCGTGATGACTTCACAGTCAAAGCAAGGAATTTACAAGGACTAGGTCCTAGGCCAAGGATTGCCAATGTGGTGTCCTCAAAATGTTACTGGCCTACAACTCCACGCTGGCTAGGGTTCATAGGGCTTGGGCTCCAACAGCATCTGGAGGGCAACACAGTGGCTACCAGGCCAGTTAAGGGTTAGCACCTGCACTCTGCTACCAATGCTATTTCTTAGCAACATGGAGGCAGCACAGTATACATGTGCAACCCTCAACCCACATCAGTGTAATTTCTGTGATTTTTCAACAAAGGTTGATATTCACCTAGTATACCAAGCCACCACTAGTAACCATCAGTGTCCCTAAACAGACACCAAGAGTCAAACTAGACATGCCATTAATGTATAAATGCATTTATACATGTATGAATACACATTTATTCATTCATTCATTCATTTATACATACATACATACATACATACATACATGGGATCCCAACCACATTCCTGGTGATGACCCAGACAAATTCACTCAAGGAAGGAAACAGCAAGTTTGGGAGGTAATTTTTCCCAGAGTGTTGGGGAAAATGATTAAGAATACTCCCTCAAAACTGTTTTTTTAAGTTAAAAAAAGAAACATTAAATGTACTAGCACATTTAACATCACGTCAAAGGCTTACATGATACACACAGTGATAATACAGGTGGACAATAAAAGTAGGAAAGAAAGAAACAAAATGAGAAAAGGAGCTGATAACAATCCTACCTTGTTAAGCATAAGTGGGGTGAGTTGGGCTGGAGATGAATGGCTCTGTTTATATCTCTAATTGCACTCTTTAGATCATGAACCTGTTATTTTAAAACAGACAAACATCCATTATTCTTGTCTCAGGATACCACCATCTCATTCAATGTGTTCTCCTATACAAGGACCACCTCCTCCTTTTTAAAACATTTTTAATCCATATCTTTTAATATTAAATAAACTTCAGCTGATTGTTAAGAAACTTCCACAGCTTTCATTTCTGCCTTGACCAGAAGGAAGGGCCATAATCCATCATACCGTCCCTGCTAGCTGAAGGAAATCTCTTTATTTAAATAATAGGGCATGTCCAGATTTCCAAATCCAAATTTTTAGTACCTTGGTATAACTGGCCAACATTTACTTACATACAGAATTCATTCAGAAATTCTGGACCTATACATTAATTTGGATTTTCTGAAAAGGACATTTATATTTTTTTAAAAAGCTTCTCCTGTGATACTAGGAGTTAAGACTCCAAACTTTTTGCCCAGAGGAGAAGGGGTTCTCCCCTTTGTCTCCCCCAAATATATATGGGGAAATTTTAAAAAAAATTAAGCAAGTGGGAAGTTTTAACTAGCGCATGTATGTATCAAGGAAAAAACAAAGCCAGAATGTTCAACATCGTAGACCCTAAATGCTCTTCATTAGTTTTTAGAACTAAATTAAGCCTTCAGAGAAATGGTTCTGACTAAGAAAACACCAGGACTTCTGTTGTTTGCACTGAGAAAGTCTTTGCATTTCTTGCATATTGTCCCAGTATTGTTTTATATGTAAGTCTTAAAGCAGCTATTGAGCACCTATCACACAAATTCTACAGCACAGGTAAAGAATAGATAGATACCCTTTGATGTGCCTGGGCTCTGCACATGTATGGTCTAATATCTAATGGATCCAGCTGAATGGCTTGAGTGAACTGTCGAATAGATTCAAAATAACGGTCCATATATAACATCAAAATCAGTCCAATATTTATGTAAGCTACGGAAAGGCTCCTGAAAATAGAGACAGAATGCTATGAGCATTACATTTTTCAACATGTTTGCGCATTATGCTACATTGAATTTCATATTATTTGTTGAATTAAAGCCTGTCTGCTTTCCAGTAAGAAAACCGTGTTTCCATCCTAGACCTGTACACGCTACATATCAAAAGCAAGAGTAATGTTTTGAGTTCCCTCCTGCTATCTCCGTGCTGCTTCTTATAGTGAGGGCAGAAGCACTGCAGAGTGTCAAGGAGAGGAATACACATTTCTTTTCCACAGCATGGCATGGCATCACACAACCTGCTTTGTAGGCAACCTGGGCACTATGAGCATAATTTACCTCAGCACAACAGAACTTCTGCTTTCTGGCCGTCCACAAAGTGGGATTTATCAGTGACCTACACTGACTTGTTAGCTAAACAATTAATTAAACAATTAATGACAAGAATGTGCCATTCTGATACAGATGCCACATTAGCATCAGAATCAATATTAGATTCATTCCCAAGCTCTACTAGTTATGTTTCCTTGGGGAAAGGTGGGGAGCAAGGAATACAAGATATCAGCAGTGTAGCTTCTTGGGTAATACAGCCAAGCAATAGAAGACTACCTGGTCTGAGTTCGGTAGTTTGATGGTTAATACCTTCCCCCTTCAGCAAAATGGTTCCATTATCCCTTAAGGTGGTGATAGTGGAGCAGTTGTTTTTTAAAACATTAACTGGATCTGACTAATTTGGGAAGCAGGTGGTGGTGTGCATTACTCTATAGCCAAACAATATAAAAGTTAGGACCTGTATAGAGTCTATTTTGCTTATGATGGCCCTCTCCGCAGGTCAGGGACTGGCATTTCTGCACCTCCATATGCAGGGCACTGGTTCGTATGTCATGCCAAGCTAAAACATGGTTTACTGCAAATGCAGAAATACACAGGCTTTAAAAAATTTAAATGGCCCCCAGAGGGTTAGCTTTGGGTCAGTGTGGCCCATGACCTGAAAAACATTAGCTGGTTTTAATGTGTTTTTGTCAATTGATTTTATTTGATCAGCAGGCTTGAATGCCATAATAATAATAATAATAATAATAATAATAATAATAATACAGCAAGCAACAAACAAATATATAAATAAATAAATGGAGCATACCTGTCCAAGGAGAGTGCACTTTCAAAATCACAGATTGCCAGTAACCACTGTTTCAGTTCTGAATACAAGATCCCACGGTGAAGAAAAGCAGCAAGATTCTCAAACTTGTGATTGAGAAGAACTGGGGAGGGATGGGAAAACCAGGTATATATAGTTGTTTCTATATGCCCTTCATGAAATATAGCCTTTGAAATAATTATATATTATCTCAGTGTGCACCAGGACCTTCATCCTTTAGTTAATTCCTTCTGGTTTGCTCTTCACTGCTCTGGCACAAATCACACCCTCCTTGTAGAACTGAAAGGCTTGTTTTAAAATACCATCAAATGTGCATGACTGCGCCTCTATGATTGCTTCAAGAGATTTAATGACCTTGAAATATCTATGGGAGCTTGTGAAAAAGTTGTATGGCTGTATCAGATCACAAAACAACTCTTGCAACCCCTTCCCAAAGAAATGGAGGTGTTCATTGTGAATAGGAGCGAACTTTTTTTCAAGGAGGGAAAATACTCTAATAATGGAGGGATGGGAGAAAGGGGTTCTGATCATACAGGAGGGGAGCAGGACAATGGAAACATTGAAAAATTTGCCCAAACAAATGCGAGAGCCAGTCATTGGCTACAGCCTACTTCCTGGGCTAAATATTATTATTTATTAAATTTGTATACCACCCTTTATCCAAAGATGCCAGGACGGTTCACAACAGAAAAATAAAAAAGAGATACTGAATACACAATAAAACAAAAACAAACCAATAACCCCTCACCTACAAAAACATTTAAAAAGCCACAGAATGTTAATCAGTTGAAGAGAAACATTTTTGCCTGGCGCCTAAAGATATGAAATGAAGGCGCCAGGTAAGCCTCCCTGGGGAGAGCATTCCACAAGCAGGGAACCACCGCAGAAAGGGCCTGTTCTCATGTTGCCACCCTTCAGACCGCTTGTGGAAGAGACATGTGAAGAAGGGCCTCAGATGAGGATTGCAGGGTCCATGTCAGTTCATTTTATGTATCTATATATAGATACACATAAAAATATAGGTACAGTGGTACCTTGGTTCTCAAACGCCTTGGTACTCAAACAACTTGGAACCCAAACACTGCAAACGCGGAAGTAAGTGTTCTGGTTTTTCGGAAGCCAAACGTGCTCCAATTTGAGTGCCACACTTCTGTTTTGAGTGTTACACTGAGGTCTGTCTGTTTTTGCTATTTATTTTGCGTTTTTGTGGCTTTTTTTTGTTTTTGTTTTTGTGACTATGTGGAACCCAGTTCAGCTACTTACTGATTGACTGTGTGACTGCAGTACATTGTTTATTACTTTCATTTTATGGATCAATAGATAGTAAAATTCATGTTAAAGTGCTGTTTTAGGGGTTGTTTTTAAAAGTCTGGAACGGATTAATCTATTTTGCATTACTTTCTATGGGAAAGCGCGCCTTGGTTTGGGAATGCTTTGGTTTTGGAATGGACTTCCAGAACGAATTAAGTTTGAGAACCAAGGTACCACTCACTGTATACATATACATATACATATGCTGGAAGGACTTTCCAGTGTTTAAAGTAAACATCCTCAACATATAGATGTAAAATTTGTAAATACTTTTAATTCTATTAATGTTTAATTTAAAAAAATAAAATTCTATGTTTTTAGCAAGTCTTATTTTTAGCTGTTAGCCACCTTGAGTCCCATTAGGGAGAAAGGCAGGAGATATAGATATTTGATATACTTAAAAAGAAAAATGTATAAATTCACACTTTGAACTTAAAAAACAACAACACCCTGCATCTATCATAAAAACAGTGTATACTATACCAGAAACACTCAAGTCCTGCAGGGCTTGTTTTGGATCCAGCGTTCGCAAAAGACAACCTCTGTGGTAGTATGCAATCCAATCATTAGGATTCAAGTGAATTGCAACAGCGAAATCTTCAGCTGCATTTTTATACTGCTCTAGTTTAATATATATTCTCCCTCGATAGGTTCTGGAAATCAAACCAATATTTTCCTCATCATAGTAGATTTACAATATTCTGCATTTATATAAATTCTGTCTGAATGCAAAACTTGTCCCAATGTGATTTAAACAAGTCAAGGCTGTGATCCTAAGTATGCTTACATGGAAGCAAGTTCCATTCATAACAGTGGGAATTGCCTTAAAGTAACTGTGCTTAGACTTGAAATGCAAGAGGCGAGGAAAGATAATGGGCAGCTTAAAAAAGATAAACATCAAATTTGACAAAGCATATTGATCAGGATCTCAAAACAAAAGGTGTATTGTGTTAACAATGCTATATAAATTAACATATTCCATAGACTACCATCCTGAACCTTACAAACATTCTGATGCAAAAAAAAGTTAAATGAAGGTTCAAGAGGCATATATACCAATAGCGGAGATAGCTCTGCACAACACAATTGACCCACCACCACAGACAGATTTCATAAGACATTGGCACTCCTTGTCTCATCAGATCCAGTCTCAGCCTCTCTCTCTCTCCAACAGATAGACACAAGTAACACAATCACTCATCACTCTCATATATTTATGCCCAGAAAGTAGGGCACAGATACTTTCACTCAATGTACAACAGCTCACAGGCAGACACTGAATGCAGGGTATAATCATTTTCTCAGACACTGTTATAAGGGATTTAGAAGTTAACTATAATTGCTTAAATTCATATATAATTTGCAGTTACCTTGCTTCTGCAATGCTTGGGTCCTGTTTAATCACATTTGTAAAATCATTAATAGCTACATTCCATATAGATTTATTAAAGTAATGTATTCCATGCTTCATAAGTGCATCAGTTCTTTTGGGATTATAGAAAAGGCACTAGATTGAAATAAAATACATGTAATTGTTACCTTTGCTTTTGTATTCATAACGTCACACCAAGGCAATCATTCAATCAACACAAGCATGTCTTCTTGCCAGATGAAATTACCGGTATCTTCCCTCTCATCTTTCTGTGTGCTCTTCTAGGTGTTCTCCTGACCCCCCCAAGAGCTGATTTGGGTGGGCAGGGGAGATGAGGAAAGTCCCATTGCGCTGGTTGCTGCTAGTGCATCTATTTAGTTGAATGGAGTCCAGTGTACTGACTTTGCCCTGCCAAAGCTAGGTTGCTTAACCCTTTCCTTCCCTGCCACTGATCCAGTCAAAAAATATTCCACCACAATGTCCAACTTGGGGAGGAAAGGTTACCCCTTTTTTCTTTCTCAGAGAGAGATATGACACTGAGAGCAATGTTAAGTGGATAAACAGCAAGTGATTAAATCATACTAAATCATACTCAGAATGGGAGCTGTGTCTATAATGTCACACCCATTACCCTAAATTGATTTGTCAAGACTAATTTAAGCCCATTGATTTCAGTGCATCTACTCTGAGCATGACTACTGTAAGTCAGACAGTCCCATGAAGAGAAAGAACAAAGCAGCCCATCCTGCCAAACTCGTTTGCTTCCAAAGGGTTGTGCTCCTTGCTACTAGATTTACTGCCAAATAAGGTACAATAAGTGACTTCTGGAGGGATGGCGTTTTTGGTGCTGGCACCCTGGTTATGGATTGCCTTCCCAACAGAGTTGGTACTTTTCATTTTTCACAGTCTTTTCAATCCGTATTTTGTCAATTGTGATTTCTCTCTTTTTTATTATTGGATTGTGTCTAATAAAGTTCTACTCGGAGTAGTTCAACTGAAATTAATGCACCTAAATTAGCCATGCCCATTCATATCGATGAGTTTACTCGAAGCAGAACATCAGACACAAGCCTTAGTCTTATAAATTGCATTGCTCACTCCACACAAGTACATCCCATCAGTACAAGGATTTACACTTGTACAACAGAACTTCTCTCTCTCTCTCTGCTCACTTGCGTCCTCCCCTAATCTGTGCCAGAGAGTTGGGGGAACACCTATGACAGATTGAGGGTAACATGGCAGGAAGAATATGGGGAAGTCCCATTGTGCAAATGCAAATCCTTGCACTGATGGGATGCATTAGTTGGAAATTGCCCAATATTGATTGGTGGGTGGTCTACCAAAGTAACTAAACCAATAACTAGGCAAACTCAACTTTTACTCTTGCCCAGTAGGAGCTTTTATTGTTTTTTCTTTGAATAGTAGGCCCTCATGTCATATCACAACTTTGGCTTCAATAGTGTTGTGTGACCACCATTTTAAGAACCTTTGCGAAGAATCCTTTGCGAGCACAGAAGTAATTGTACAGGTTTTTTGATTCTGGCCCAAATATATTGTAAAACTATATATAGCAATACTTACTTTAGCATAATCTTCTATCGCCAGTATTATATCACCATCCTCTTCATGGGCCTCAGCTCTTTTGTAATATATTTCATCATCTGTAGGTCTGCATTTCAGGGCAAGACTGTAGTTGATAATTGCTAATGAATTATCTCCCTGATTTTTGTATATTTCAGCTCTTGACAGATATGCATCTGCATAATCAAAATACTTTAAAATTAGTCTCTTTCAGATGCCCAATATTATTGATATGCATGTTTAATTTTTTTTAACTAAAATTAATTGCAACTGTAATAAAAATTTGCAAACAAAATCGTGTGATTCAAATCTGCAAATGTATTGGAAGTAACTTTCCAACCTTTGTCTTGATCTATGGATATTTGGAAGAAGTGTTGCATAATAATAAAACTTCTGTACATACTGATTTGATATCGGGGACACATAATCAGGAGCTTCTCAGAAATTGTACATCATGGGGTTTCAAAGTTACTTGCCTGCATTGTTTTTGTTGCACTTAATTATAAAATTCAGGTCTTCTAGCGCTGGAAGCATTTTGTTCTGGTAAATGAAAATTAAATGTCTATGCCAATAGGCATTAACCAGCATTGGTTCTAAACTTATTGCCTGTGAAAGTAATGAGATAAACTGGTTATTAGTTAGCTAAAAATTCCAGTGTATCATAAGGCACATCTTAAGTTACACCTCTGGGCACATCACTGGGGATCAAAGAAAAAACAACATGGTGAGATCTAAGTTTTGGTTAGGCTCTATACAATCTGGTTCCAGGACCAGGTGGAGCTAGCTTCTGGGTCAAAAGCAGATATATCATCTAAAAAGGGCAAGGGCTGAGTTCCAACCAGGAAACAAGGACCAGAGGAACCAGAGGCTGGTACACTGAACACAAGTCAAGTTGCAGAACAGCATCAGAGCATCTGTGGAAAAGGCAGTCAGAAGCAGATCCACAGTCAAAGCCATACAGCTGTTATATTTATGGAAGCCACCAGGGGAAGGAAACGGGCACACAGGTAATATGCTCACACTGCAGACCAGTTGCTCTGAGGTTAGGATTTATAAGACCTAGTGGACATAGAATAAACTGACTGAATGATCTGGCAGGTAGGAACAGAGTAGTTGCCTGAGCATGGCTGCCAGGAAACCTGGCCTGAGACCTCCTTTAGTGCCCTACAATTAGTTGCTGCAAAACATTTATGCACTGAAGCTCCTTGCATACTTAAAAATTAAATAAATGTACCATTTTTAGCTTATATTGTTGCTCTCATATTAACAAAATGCATTTTGAAATTCTTGGCTACAGAAAGTAGTTAAAACTCAATCCAAAGTGAATATAAACTGGTCACTGTAGGCTGCAAGTACCTATACTGAATATGTAGCTTCAATATGTTCTTCTGGACCCCAATATAAAACAGTCATATAAGAAAGATCTATGGTCTGTCTAGGTTAGCTTACTGCTACAGTAAGCTTCCTTACTATGCACTAACTCTATCATATGCTACTGAAAAAATACAATTGTCAAGCATTCAACTGATGCATGATTGTGCATGCACACATTGCACCAAGCCCAAAAGTGACTTTTAAAGTGGCAAAAACAGCCCTAAAAGAGCCCAGAAAGGGCAAAAAAAGACGTGAAACAATGCCTAGAAATCCCACGAGACTTTGCAAACGCAATCCCAGGAGCCCTTGCTCTGACTGTTAAGGCCTGTGGAGAGTTTAACTGGAGCAAGGGAGCTCGGATGGAGCGACTGCGGTGGAGTTGCATCTGTTAATTGCTGCTGGTTTTTTAAAAGGGTTTTCAAGGGTTTCCAGAAGTTTAGAGGGTGTTTGCCAGCTTTCCCAATGGTGTTTCCGGTGCCTCAGAACATAACTCCCATGTAAATGGGGAGTTGCTTGTACACAATAGCATACAGCAATTATCTGATACTCATGCCTAGCTTCTTCGGTTCTAAACAAGTGTAGTAGCACCATGTCTGTATGACATCAAACGTATGCATAACATCACCACCTGGCAAACAGCTTGATGTTTCTATAGTCCACAAACTTGTCAAAAGTGAACCATGACTGGGGGATTTTATGTAGATGAAGATGATGGCTGGCTGGTGGAGGACCTTGTGTGAGAGGCAGGGAAAGGGAGATCTCCCAGGGTGGTAGGCAAGCTCCCAGGTGATAGCTGGGAAGGCCAACCTCTTTCTGTGTGAGACAAGGGCTAGAATCTACCTTTGAGAGAGGACTTTGCATTTTTCTTCCTCTTTTTGTTTTTGCTTAGTTTGTTTTTTATTGTATTGTATTGTGAAAAACCCTACTGCAAATCTTACTAAAAATGAACAATGAGTTTGAGTCAATCGTACAACTGTCAATAGCTGTAATGTGGAATTAAGACTTTCATTAAAATATATTTTTTTTAAAAAAATTGTGTGTTCAGATATGTAGGGTATAATGAAAACAGATCACTGGTGACATAATTATCTGCAAAATTGCTAGGTTTCCAGATATAGTCCTGCAAAGTTTTTTTTCTAAATAGAAAAGTGCATAAAATGAGGAATCCAGCAAGGGGATTATTTGAAAAAGATGCTCTTCCATTTTTTAAGTTCATCTGTCATCGCCAGAGGGTCATAGTTATTAATAAGGTAACAAAGCATCTTCAGTAGCAAGAAAAAATAGGTATTATTTCTTTAAAACTTACTTTTTCCAAGTCATCCATGGCTGCCTTCATTTTGCCTATTTTCCTGTATATTGCTCCACGTCTACAATAGTTAAACCCAGAAAATTTTCCTTCATCTATTTCTTGGGTTATTTTATCAATTTCAGATTGACACTGCTCAAGTTCATCTGGCTTTCCCTCGAAGAGAAGAGGATTTACTGTGTTTACTAATTCTGTGTCCTTGGTTTCCTCCTCTATGTCCTTTTTGCCTGCCATTGATTTATCAGCAAAAGATTGCCTACTGGGAGGGTATTGCTCATCAAACCATTTATTCCAGATTTTTCTGGCCCAAAGATAATCATCGGTGTCTTCTGGGGTTCTCCCTTGGCTTGCTGCAAATTTTTCAAAATCTAGCCAGCAAGGGAGGCTGGGACTTCGATAACTTCGAACTGCTCGAGATACTTTGATACAGAATTTATTATGAATTGGAAGCTTTCCAAGAGATACAGACCTAAGGAAAAAGCCAAAACTATAATTACATTTTGCCTGTACATTTATTGCTGACATATGACCAATATGACATATGTAACAATGTGACATATGACCAATAAATATTCATTATAAAGTTTAATAATGTATTTGATTGCTGCATAATATTCAAGTTTCAACACATAACGGAAGATTCCTATCAGGGGTGCATAAAAATGGTTTACACTGTCATTAGTATTTATTTTTATGTAGAAAATTTATAATTTATGTAGAAAACTTTGTAATCAAAGAGCTCTCTAACTTCTTTATTATACACTCATGTTGCACATGAGAGCTGTGCAACTGTGTCAAACCAATAAAGCAATGTGTATAGCCTAAATAGCATTTTCTGATGGACATGGTGCAACAATAATTTGGCACCTGAGACAAAAAATCCAAATAGTACCTCTTATGTTTAGTTTAATTTCCTTTTAAATTAACTGTAATTAATTTACTGTAATTCAGTGCAACCAAAAGTGCAGCGCCCATACACAGAATCCCATAATGATTAGAAAGTATTTTTCCACATCAGTCCTTCACACAGCCACTGGCAGTGCACCAGAGCATTGGAGAGAGCACTGGAAGTCTGTGAGTCATTTCATATCCTCAGGCAATTTGTCTGCTCTATGTGATGAAATGCAAGAACACGACATGAAACTTGCATTTAGGCAAAAGGGTTGCCTACTGCCTGAGAATTTGCTGAGGGAAGAGAGGAAACAAAGCTATACCGAATCCTGTGGGAATCTTCTGCCCACAGTTGATGTTCTTGTGAACATATCTGGTACCAACTTGGTACCCTCCAAATGTTTTGGACTACAAGCTACAACACCCATGATCTGTTACCACTGGCTTTGCTTGCTGGGACTGAAAGGAGTTGTAACCCAAAGCATCAGGATAACACCAATTTAGGAAAGCTAGTATTACTGTATTACCCATAAAGAACTGGCACACACATAAAAATGGTATCTGGTGCTGTTGGAGAAATTACTGTTTCCATACCCCAAAGTGCTCAATATATAAAATTAAAAGTTGCAAATATTAATAAAAAGGCAGACCTTTTAAGAATCTGTGGAGGTTCTCTTAATTTCTCACAAACACTTTCTAATATATGAACAGAAATGTATTTCCCTGCTGTTTTCAATGATCTCCTTTTGTATGATGCTTTCCTTGGGAAAACGATGTACTTCATCCCAGCTTTTCTAGATTCTTCAGCCAGATTAGTTTCATCTATAGGTTCAGGAGCTGGAGTGGGTGCAATAGATGCAGATCTTCCTCTAGAGGAGAAAAGACCTTTTGTTTGCTTGAATGTACTTGCCAAAGCTATATCAGAATCTTTATCTGAACCAACAAGAACACTTTTGTGTGCGGCAGATTCTCTTTTCTCAAGGCTAAGAGAGCTTTGTGGCTTTGTTGATAAAATGCCAGGCTTTGTAGCTTCCGTATCTACTGAAAGATGTTGTTTTTTCATAACAGTTATCTCTTCCATAGTGGTTCTGAAATTTGCAGAAATCTTCAAAGCAGATTTGTCTCTGAATGATAATTCTGGTGCACTATGAGGTCTTTTAACCAGAACTTCCTGTAAGAAAAACAAATCTCGGTTTGTTTGTTTATTTTTAGTTTTTTGGATAACGTTCCAAAAGTAGTCAGCTGTTGCTGGGTACTTAGTATGGGCTGTCTCCAACCCAGCACCTTTGTTTCCACAACTGACTCTGTGTGCAGAATTTCTCCTGTCCCCTCCAGCCCCCGTGTGCCCTCAAAATCAGCCCTGGAGTATTGGGGGACCCTTCAGAGCAGCTTGAGGGGGCTGAAGGAGAAGAAACGGAAGTCCTATTACATTAGTGGAACCCTGCTAAAGGTTACTATCACGTGAACAGATCCTCTTGAGAGAGTGAGCAAGAATAAGCCAAGCATGAGCAGGTTACGGTAATTCCCCCTCTTGCCTAGGCAAGATAAGATTATGTGACATATCAACATAATCAAGTATCTACCCCAACCCCTCTCACTATGCCTTAGTTTCGTCTTAGTTCACGCGAGTGTCAGTGGAAAAAACCTAGGAGGTCTAAAAGGAAGGAAACCAAAGAGAAACCTAGTAACATGCACCCCTTTTCTCTGTAGGTTTTCTTTGTAGGCCTGTTCAGAGTAAGTACCCAATGACCAGTTCCCCTGACTGAGCAGAAAGACATCGGGCAATAATGGCCTAAACTAAGCCAGTTGTGTATGGAAGTGAGAGCTGGACCATAAAGAAGGCTGATTGCCAAAGAATTGATGCTTCTGAATTATGGTGCTGGAGGAGACTCTTGAGAGCCCCATGGACTGCAAGAAGATCAAACCTATCCTTTCTTAAGGAAATCAGCCCTGAGTGCTCACTGGAAGGACAGATCCTGCAGCTGAGGCTCCAGTACTTTGGCCACCTCTTGAGAAGAGAAGACTCCCTGGAAAAGACCCTGATGCTGGGAAAGATGGAGGGCACAAGGAGAAGGGGACAACAGAGGACGAGATGGTTGGAGAGTGTTCTCGAAGCTACCAGCATGAGTTTGACCAAACTGCAGGAAGCAGTGGAAGACAGGAGTGCCTGGCGTGCTCTGGTCCATGGGGTCACGAAGAATCGGACATGACTAAAAGACTAACCAACAAGAAGCAGCCAGTTGTGACACAATCCAGCACTCCCACCAATGCAACCAGACTGGGCCAGCCTTGCTGCCTCCAGGGCCCTCTCCCTCCCAGCAAACCATAGATTCCATTGCTGGGAGGCCATGTGCACCACAGCACCTTTCCTCATCAACCACTCCTGCTCAAAAAATACCTTACTGAGCAATTTTATATGTATTTACTTTCAAGCAAGTGCCATTGTTTTCAATAGGCCTAAGTATGTTTAGAATTGCATCCTTGATTCATTCATAATGAACATGTTTCTATAGCAAGCAGCTCATCCACAGATGCAAAGAATGAGTTTAAAGATTTTCAGTTCTGCTGTATACAGGTTTATTTTGAAGTAAATGCCCACTGTGTTCAATGGGGCTTATTCTTACTAATCCTATTCCCATTTACCTGGAAGGAAGCCCCATTGAATTCCATGGAACGTGTGTCTAAGCAGACATATATAGGATTGGACTGTGTGTTTAGGGCTACAGTCTAAAAAAAATCTTACAGCACAATCCTAGGCATGTCTACTTGAGAGTAAGTCATCACAGCTACTCTGTGTAAATAGCTGATATAAAAAGTTTGAATCCTGAAAATCAGAAAGTGCTTTAGTATTTCTTCTCACAAACTGTTTTGAAAAAATAAGGCTACAATACTAACTCAACCTACAGCACCTAGATGTAAGCCCACTAAATTCAGTAGGACTAATTTCTGAGTATACATTGTTAGGATTGTGTTGTAAGGCATAATAAAATGAATGTAGAGAGATGTATTTACATTTTAATTGTTTACCCTTTCTTGTAAACAATCCTGGGAATACAATTGAAGGATGGTGTAAAAATGCCTGAATTTGAAAAACTGTTGACAACAGTTACACAAGCAAAATGATTATTATATTTAATCTCCCAATTACTTTTAATTAAAAAATGTGAATGTTAGATCTCATTGAAGGGAAACATAAGGAATATCTACCACTGAATCGGAACAGAATTAATTTTTACAGAAGCAACAAAATCTATATGCAAAAACTGGAAATAAAATTATTTGGTTGGCACTCAGTGTCACATAAGTCAAGTAAGATTTTATAAAACCAGCATACATATTTCTTGCAGATGCAACTCCTTCACAGCAGACTACTTACACATTCCGTGATGTTCTCCTGCAACACAAAGTTTTGGTATCTTGTAAAATGAGACATTACAAGAATAACTGATTATTATCTAACACTAGTACAAAAATTAGGCTGCTTGAATTTTACATTTTTTCAAGCACATTGTTTTTCAGTTCCTAACTGATTGACCACTGCAAAGTTAATTATTGCCAAGAAGGAAGAACGCTACAGTCCCAACATGTAAAGAATGGATAAAAAGAATCTGTCTGCCTTATGGCACAGGCAGAGGTTGAAGCCTCAGTACTGCTTGATCTCAGCATTCTTGTTCACTTAATTGGTTCCAGAGCAGAATAGGAGGGGCTGTTGTCTTAACCCCAACTCTCTCTCTCCCTGTCCCCCCTTCACACTTTGTGAAACCCAAATCCCTGCTAGGATGTTTTACTCAAGCTATGTGGAGAGACCTGGAGAGCCCAACTCAGACTCTGCATCAAGAATAGGAAGCAGAGCTAATCTCACACTTTAAGGAGCTCTGCCCTAGCAGAGAATTTTCCACAGTTTAGTCAGGTTCATTTTAGTATATACAGTAATTGGAATTATATATTTTAGATTTAGTTCAGAGAGGTTCCTGCTCTTCAGTTTTCCTTAATAGAGGAGTAAAGTTCAAGCCAGCCCTACCCTCCTACTACTGGGAAAGCAATTACGAAGAATCTTAAATGCCCTGCTTAGTCTACCAGAGAATTTTTTTTCAATATAATTTTTATTAACAAGCCAATCAAATCAAATCACATCACGTTAGTTCCAAATTACACAGCCAAATTTTTAAATTTTTGTTGGGGGTACCCATGCTTCAAGCTCAGAAAGGGATCCAAACATATCTCTTGCTGCTGCTTTAATGTACATAGTCTACCAGAGAATTAAAGATTAAAATAAATAATTATAATTTTGAGTTAAACTTCAAACAAGAAATTAATATTAAATATGGATGTGATTATTGCAAATAATAATTAAAGCTTTAAGCCACACTCTGGATAAAACTGTTGCTATGAAAAATCTACTATATATTTTGGGAAATCGCTTGTTCACCATGCATTTGGACATCTCTTATGATACTGCAACCAAATTTTGCATGGTGGCTCCTGCAATTAAGGAGAAGGTTTTCCTCAACGTTTGGATACAATTGGACACCATTTTGAATCAAGATGGCAGCCAGAACCTTTCAAAACAGCACTGTTTTAACCACTGATTTAAAAACTGCACTGATTTTTTTTGGTTTCTTTGAATTCCCAAGCAATGCTGGGTATGATACGGCTAATAAATAATAATTGCTAAATAATAAATCTGAAAAAAGTTACAATACCTGTAATGTTTCCCTTTCAGAAACTAAAAGCCCTGGAGAGGAAGCGCTTCTTCTACAGATTTTAAGAGTCTATGAAACAAAGAAAAATATATACAAAAAGTGGGTATTTTTTAAATAGAACAAACGTATTTATTTTCATAACACATTTTTTCTTGGAAAGCTACCCTAGATTCAGATTGTGAGCATGTATGTTGGTTTTACATTAGGAGTATGAAATTAAAAATAAATTGAGTTTTATTTACATACTCGTAAATCTGACATAATTATGTACACTGAAGTCTAAAAATTGTGGTAGAAGAGATGCATCACGGAGCTTTCTTTCTGGTTTAGAAAAGGAAATAATATTTCACATAAACACCTTGTTAAAAAGGAGATATTTGCCACTGGGCAATAGTTGTTTAACATAGGTAAAGGTAAAGGGACCCCTGACCATTAGGTCCAGTCGTGACCAACTCTGGGGTTGCGGCGCTCATCTCGCTTTATTGGCCAAGGGAGCCGGCGTACAGCTGCCGGGTCATGTGGCCAGCATGACTAAACCGCTTCTGGTGAACCAGAGCAGCACACGGAAACGCCGTATACCTTCCCGCCGGAGCGGTACCTATTATCTACTTGCACTTTGATGTGCTTTCGAACTGCTAGGTGGGCAGGAGCAGGGACCGAGCAACGGGAGCTCACCCCGTCGCGGGGATTCGAACCGCTAACCTTCGGATCGGCAAGTCCTAGGCTCTGTGGTTTAACCCACAGCGCCACCTGCGTCCCTTTAGTTGTTTAACACATCTAGGTCCAAATAGAATCAAGGAAGGCATCCAGATGAGGAGCTTGGGAATTTACCTTCAAATGACAGAATGGCCAGTTGATGAACAAACAAAAAAGTCAGATTTTCTTAATATTTCACAAATATTACTACTTGGATTCTTCATACTTTTCACAAAATACAGAAAATTAAAGATAGTGTAATTTTGGCAAAAGAGCCTGTCTCAGTTGACAGGCTTCTGTTACAAATCTAAGGCATATCTCAGCTGCAGCAGTCAGCAAGGCAAGGTGTCAGCACTTACCTGACCTGCTATCACTGCTGCTGCGGCTTACAGGAAGGGACAAGGCGATGGGTGAGGTGAGCACAGTGCTAGCACACTGGTGGAACCAATCCGGTGTTTCTGCCAGTGCATTTGCATACTAACCTTATCACTGCCTTTCCCCTCCTCCTTTCATTATACTGCAGCAACAGCAGTGGCAGGTCAGGTAAGTGCTGACACCATGGCACCCACTACCGTTTGTAAGACGGAGAAACAGGGACCTTAATTAACTAGGCCTTGGTTCTTCTGATGAGCTGAAAGGAGGAGCTCTGAAGTTAAATACTAGATGGAATTAAGGCAGCCCCATGGCACCTTGATGTTTAAGCAGCCACTAAAGAAGTTTTTTATTTAAGACCATTTTCTCTGAAGTGTGCTAATTGTACTTTAGTAAAAAATGTTTTTAGAATTATTTTTTTTGTATTTTATGTCATTTTATCTTGTACTGTACACCACTTTGATGGCCTCAGGCTAGGAAGTGGTTTATAAATCTGTAAAATAAAATAATAAATAAGCAAATGGCAGGTTCCGTCTCAGGTACAGGGCACAGAAAAATGAAAGTTAGGAGATATGGGACATCCAGACTGAAGACTGAAAGAATCTAGTTATCTCTGGGAATCTGAGTATGCCTAAGATTGCTTGGGAAACAGCCAAGGGAATTAACTGGACTGCCCAAGGGCAATAACATTCCTCTTTAAGACTGCTTTAGTGTTCTCAAAGCTACCAACATGAGTCTGACCAAACAGCGGGAGGCAGTGGAAGACAGGAGTGCCTGGCGTCCATGGGGTCACAAAGAGTCGGACACAACTGAACAACTAAACAACAACAAATGTTCTCCTAAGGAAGTACAAAGGCTCCAAGAGTCAAATGAGTACTGAGGGGCCCATGCCCATTTTGGCCCTAAAGAATTACAGTATACGGACTGAGTGTGGTCGTTTCATAACATTGACATTCAATGAAGAAAAGTTGACAAATGCATTCTGATATATTAAGTTTCTTCAGTATTTGTATGCTGTTGTTACACATTACTCCCAGTTGAGTGGTGTCCCCTCTAATCAGTTCCCCCTGTGATTCCACAGAATGCCAGACCACTCTTGCTTCAGAGGACAACCAGTGAGCCCTTTTTTCTCTGAACTCAGGAGCGAGACTCATCGCAGGACCCTCCTATGGGCTTCCCCTACTTTCTTGTGCTCAGGTTCGCCTCATTTTCTTCCGCTATGTTGGTCCCTGTACGCAATTAGCATGGACAGTCCTACTGCTTCTTTCCTCCCCTCAGCAAGCTCCTCTTGGCACCCTTGTACTTGACCTCTCATTACTTCGCCTGCCAGTTATCGGAAACATTGAGGCAGAGGGAGTTCCCCTATTCATTGCCTGTCTATTTTCCTGTTGGAAGAACCAAACACTTTGGAGCTTTTCCTGCAGCCATTTCTTCGGCTGTTCTCTCCTCCACGCCCTACTATTCCCTCTCAGCACTTCTGTTTTATCTCTGTATACTGATAGAGGCGTGCTTTCCCACCAGACTGACTGCTGGAGAAGCTTCCTGCAAATACAAAGGCATGAGCCAATGACAGGTTCCTCCTCACAAAACCCTTCCAAGGCAGCTCCCATAGGAAAACAACCCTTTATGAGATATATAAAACCATGATCAGATAAAAAAAAAAAGAAACTATTACTGCAATACACACAGAAAGCAAATGGTCATAGTCCTCCTCAAACTCTAATACTTCTTGATCTCGAAGATCACATGAAAAGTCTTCATAAATAACACCATTAATCAGATTGCTCTGGAAAAATAAAAAGGTTTAATGATAACTTTTAACCGGTGGTATAAACCATCATACCAATTTCAGTTTGACTTCATAAATCTCTAGGAAAAGTTAAAACGATAACATCAAAACTTCATTGGATTTGATACACTCCATTTGGTCCCACTAAACAAGGAATGCACAACAAGTTGGACAATATGATTTATTTTGGCCAGTAGTACAAAATAATCTGAACAGTTTGAAATATGGCTGGTGTATATATTTTCACCCACGTATTTTAGCTTACTCATACACAAACAAACACTCATACATACATAGAGAGGTTTGCACTATAAGACTCCAGAAGGATCATATCCAAACAAAGGAAATATGAATTTCAGCAATACTAAAAAAGAACTAGAATTGTTTTGGGCATTCAAAACACAGTACAATCCTGCAGGTATTTAAACATTAGCATTCTCTGTTAATTTGATGAAATATTTAAATATTTTGGAGAATGTGCCCCAACTGCATAAGGCATATGGTATGTAATTACTAACTGTAAGTTTGTTTACATTAATTTAAAATACACCACTCTATATCAAAATAAAGCAACTATTTCTATAATTCACACTTTCAGTTATAGATATTGGTACAGAAACGCTATTATTTAATTTATATTTTGTGTAGATAATCAAATGTGATGTTAAATGAAATGCTGTGTAGTCTTCAAATATATTAAGAATTTTTACCTCATACTTTGGAAACAAGGTCTCCTTCATAAGAGAGAGAGGAGCGGCGAATTTCTGTGGAGCTGGTGTCCAAAACATTTTGAGAGACCCTGGATGAAATTTAACCTTCACATCAAAAACAATTAAAAAAATTAGTATGACTTTAATCCTAGACATATTTTCTTCTGAATAATTAGATGTTGCTGTGCTGAAATAGTAAACATTTCAAGACAAATCAGGCATTTTGAGATAAAACAGAAGTGAAGGAAACACAAAATATGAAGGGCTCTTATATCACCTGGCAAAAGCTACACATCTCATTTGCATGGGAAAACCAGCAGTCTCTGGATCAGGGCAAATGAGTAAAATCCTTATTCTAAACATATTACATAAGAATATGGACTACCTCAATCAGCAGGAAATCTAAATGGAAAGACCCAAGTCCTATACTTTCATATGCCCAGGATTATATATTAGCAACAGGGGGTGCTTACATCCACAATTGTATCCTAAAGCTTTCCCACACAGTTAAAGATTTATTAAACTAGTATCCCCAAAACAGAAAATGCCAGGAGACTCCAAAGCTGACAATGGCTACAGCAAGAGAATGAGACATCATAAAACTCTCTGCATTCAAGGCCCAGTTAAATAAAGAATTTGCATACAATTACCCCACTGTCAGATATACAAGAAAGAAATAGAAAAATTGACTGAAAGTCAGGGGAGAGGAAAGGGGTTTCTGTGAAAGAAAAAGAGTCCAGCCTTCAATGTGGTTGGATTACACCATTTGAAAAGGAGATGAGCTTGTCATGAAAGGAAGCCACTAGGGTTGGTAAGGCAAGTCCTAATATTGTCTATTGAACCTCCCTCCTTCTGTACCTTGAGTGTACTGTATAAGAACCTGGGAAATGCAGGCCAAAAAACTACCTACTATACTTTGAATTTTTCTTCTCTATATAAACACCCTCTTTAAAAAAGCAGAAGCAATCTAGAAAGACAATAATTTGTTATATTTCAAAAGATGGGACTTCAGAAAAATATGTTATCAGAATTACGTATCAAATCTTACTTTTTCTCCCAACAGGGCTAGTTGAGGTTTTTCAACATAAAACTCAGCTACTCTTTGCCATTCAGGCATACTTTCTGGTGACCTTGGAGGGAAAACTTTAACTCCATCTTCCTGACTGCATTTGTATACTTCTGAAATAGGAACTCCTTCATTACAAATTCTGGAAAAGATTATCAGTAAGATACTGGAATATTTGTAAAGCACACACACACACAGAGTATTTACTCAGTTCAATTTTTATGCTTTGTTTTGCTTTTAAATAGCACATTCTTGATGGCAAATAATTGCAGGCTATAACTTCAGCAACTACTGGCCAACATAGCTCAAGTAATGATGGATTCACACTAAATTTTATTTCAAAGCAGCACTGGGAGATGAGTGTGCTGACAGTGGGGAAATGAATAGAAAGACAGTTAAACAGTAATTGATTTGGAGAAATTGAGGGGGCAGCCATTTTTTGACTAGCTAGGCCTAACCACAGCAATCATTTTGTAGTGTTGCCTAGGTATCAAGTAGTTTTGTTAATAGTAAATAGGCTAAATTTCATTGAGATTAGCTCTCTGGGTATTTTTAAAATTAGGTGTTAACCGGCTCAATCCCTTCAAATCAAAAGGATCTTCTTATCACATAAGTTAAGCATGCCATGAGCAGTTCTCCTGCCAGTGATCTGTCAACAATTTTGATGAATTAGTTTTAGTGTTTTTACTATATATAAGAGTTTTAATTGCATTTATATGTTTCATGTTTCTGTAAACTGCCCAGACAGCTATGTTATACATCTGGTATACAAAGAGAATGAATACATAAATAAATAAAATGCTAAAAATAGATATTTAAGTCAATTATCATTTTCAACTCAAGAGTACATTCTAACAGTGCCATCTACTGGTGGTTCAAAACTTTCTCACCAGAGAACAGTTGAACACTGCTGGGTTCTGCCATAAAATCTGCCTTGAAAGTCCTGTGGGTAGAAAGCAAGGCTATATATTTAAAATCACCATTCATATCTTTATTCTTGTGACCACCAAAATATTGTTTTCATTTTAAAAAGGAATGTAATAATGCAAATGTGAAACCACAGAACACCGTTCCAGAGTCTTGTTTAGTCTCACAGATATTAAAGCATTATCTACACTTGGGTAGTTTCTGATTTCATAAGAGAATTGTGATAATGAATTACTCTAGCAGGGTCTCCAAAATATAAGCAAGGAAACAATCAGGATTAATTAAACTGCCCACAAAACATTTTGCTGAAGGAATGCCTGTTCACATAAACAAGTCTCCTGAGTCAATAGAATCTATCACATTCTCATTCCTATGAAAAGACACTGCTTGATAGTGTTTGTTGATTCAGACTAGATGCCATTCAAACAACCGTTGTCATGTTAACAAAGGAAAGGGCTTTTCTTGGACCAAAGGGGAAAGGGGGGAAACCTGCCTGACAGCACGGCACAGGGATACCAGAGCACATCTTCAGTTTCTGCCTACCATACACTAAATAACAGGAATAAGTTTCAGGCATTCCAGTCCCTGCTCTGACCTGTCACCCTAACCCACTATTCTAATGTCAGGATGTTAGGACAGCTAACTGCCCTACAAATATTTGTGCTGGATGTGTTTACTGGGCCAAATAGAGAAATGGCTATTGGCTTAGAACAGGGGTGAGAACTGGTGAAAGGGAACAAGTTACCTCTTTAAAGTAACAGTGACATTTTAAAGCAATCATTAAACTTAGTCTTGTTTACATGCAAATAATTCCATTATGTGATATTATCAATAAATTTCAATAAATAATATAGGGAATAGCCGTTTTGCACGCAACCAAGGCACACAAACTGCTGACATGCATGCTGTTTTCAGCCCCGGAATGGGGCAGGACCGGCTTTTGCGTGCCCCACTGATGCGCACAATACCCAGAAAGCTTCTCAAAGCTTTTCAAAATCATTTTCTCAGCAGCTAAAAGAGCCAGTGTGGTGTAGTGGTTAAGAGCGATAGTCTCGTAATCTGGGGAACCGGGTTCGCGTCTCCACTCCTCCACATGCAGCTGCTGGGTGACCTTGGGCCAGTCACACTTCTTTGATGTCTCTCAGCCCCACTCACCTCACAGAGTGTTTGTTGTGGGGGAGGAAGGGAAAGGAAAATGTTAGCCGCTTTGAGACTCCTTAAAGGGAGTGAAAGGCGGGATATCAAATCCAAACTCTTCTTCTTCTTCTTCTTCTTCTTCTTCTTCTTCTTCTTCTTCTTCTTCTAAAAGGCATTAGCTAAGCATCAGAAGCATTTTGCTCTGCTGTAACAAAGGTCACTTCTCAGGCTAGCTGACCTTGCCAAAAGGTACATTCAACTTGCAACTTTTCTTTCCGGGAATTGTGCCAATAGAGCAAGATAAAAGAAACATATCTTGGACATGCTGAATGCAAGGCTTCTCAACCCGCTTTCCTGGGAAGGGCGCCAACAGTCCAAAAGAGTCCCAAGACAGGAGCTTTCTGTTCATGCTTAGGAAACTCAACTTGGGGCAGGACTCCTGAAGAGGAGGAGAAAGGGGAAGGAACTCGAAGGGGAATATATGCTCTGTGCAAATGGCTGTGAACTCGTGCTTGTTTGTGAGTTATCACACTTGCTCCTTCTACCAGCCGGATAGTAGAAATAAAGCTTTTTCTCTGAAACTATTCCTTGAGTGTCTGTTGACTCCCATTTTCCCCGTCCCGGGCGCAAAGCTCTCACCCGAGGCTAAAAAGGCTACAATAGCTGGGTTTAGGCTAATAGTTGAACATTATTAATTTAATTAAATGCTAGCAAGTGAAATTTATATTTTATGTCTTGGGTGTTTTTATTTGCACTGTGCTGTTGTTGAATGGGTGTGTTTTACTTTTGTTTACTGTGCATTGTCCTGGGCTCCTTGTGAAGAACAGCAACTTAGAAAGGTTTTAAAATAAGTAAATAAATAAAGGGTGGGAATCTTACACCTAGAAATATTGTAACAAAAAGTATCAAGAAGTCATAGCATCATTGAATAATAATAATTAATAATAATAATAATAATTTATTATTTATACCCCGCCCATCTGGCTGGGCCTCCCCAGCCACTCTGGGTGGCCTCCAACAAAATATTAAAATACAATAGTCCGTCAAACATTAAAAGCTTCCCTAAACAGGGTTGCCTGTTTATAAAGAATTATAAAGAATATAGAAGGACAAGTCGTTGAGGAAGTATCAACATGGCTTCTGCAAAGGGAAGCCCTGCCTGACTTACCTTTTAGGATTTTTGACAGTGGCAGTAAGTATGTGGTTAGGGGTGATTCAGTATACATTATGTACTTGGACTTGAAAGAGCTATTCAAAGCATTACTGTTTTACAATTGTTGGCATCCCAGCCAAGAAGACCACTAGCAGGGCCAATCTGGGCAGGAGAGCTGCAGGGCAGGGGGGCCATCTGGCCCAGGGCCTCTGGCTCAAAAGGGGGCTCAAATTTAGACACTTGTTAATTTTTTTGCATTTCGTATGTTTCACAACTTGTTTTTATGCACATCAGACCAAAATGTGACACACCCTCTCAGCTAGAAAAAGTTAGAAAAGCTATTGTTAAATAAATTTTAAAAATCAAACTATGTCTCACTCTATTTTTGCGCCTTGTTTTCGGATATTTTTATTTCGGTAATTGTTATTCTTCTTCTGGTTAGGAGTCTTAAAAGCTGGGCCTCTCCAAACCTCTGAGAGGGCCTGGGCCTCCCCACTAGAACCTCTTTGGCAGGACCACCTTCTCTGAGTTCTGCCACTTCTCAATGGAAGGCTTGCTGGCCCAGTCCTTCCTATTGCACCACCCAAAAAAGAGAGGACACTGAAGCAGGCAAAGTCTTCCAGAAGAAGAGGGCAGGTGAGCACATCAGAGGCCGGAGCAATCCTCACTTGTTCAATGTTTGCTGCCAAAAAATATGCCCCCTGCAGTTGGTCCAGGACTGAAAGGCCAGGGATGGGTAGGAACCTCATGCACTGAGCACCAGCTGTGCTGGGGAAAGGCAGCAGGAGCCACTGGCAGAGGAAGAGGGGGGCGGGGAGAGCGCACTGCCCCCAGCAGCACAATCCCGGTGGGGTGCCATCGCAGCTGCCCTCCTGCCTGCGCTGGGTGCCACACCCCCACAGGTGGCGCGCCACGCCCCCGCAGGCAGCATTTCATGCCCCCAGGCGCATGCCACGCCCCTGGGACACGCACCAGCCATGCACCCGCCTGCTCTCCGCCCCCCGGTGCCGGAGCATGAAGCTCCGCCACTGGCAGGAGCCACAAAAACTCAGTGTGTGCCACAGGAAGGAGGGACACAAATCTGTAGACTTCTGTTATTCCTGGAATGCAAATAAAGTTGTGTGAATTGGTTCTTCCACCAGAACAAAATATTCACTGTTACATAGAACTGCATCATAGTGCTCACTCGGCAAGACAAAAACATTACACAAAGTATTTTCTAATCATACCTTTCTCTTGCCATAAATTCATCATAAGCAGGAGTGGATGGTAAGAACTGCTCTGAGAGGTCACTGCAAAGATTAACTGGTGGTAATAAAACATTATGACCCCTTTTGTCTATAGTATGGTGTATTCTGGAAGCAAGCTGCAGATGAACAGGCAACACACATCTTGGGCAAGCCTCACAAAGAAGGTGAATAAGTGGGTGATCCACATCTCTAGAAAGAAAATAAAGATCATTACCAGTTGATGCATGTAGATATTAATTTTAAAGTTACTGAGTCTGGACCTGTATGTTTCTGTCTGGAACCTGTTAAACTGATTGGGGCTGTCTGCTCTGCTCCTCTCCAAATAACTTTAAAAGCCCATGCCTTGGAAGTGGTGCAAGCATTCTGGCGCAAGCTGAAGGGCAAAAGCCAAAGGGTGCTTGTTCTGTGGCTCTTTGCCTCTGGGCTTGTGCCCTCTTTGAAGAGGGAGGGAGAGGAGGGGAGGGGAGGGGAGAGAGAGCACAGTGCACTCCTCCCAAGGGAATGTGGAAATGAATTATGTGAAATATCACACATGGAGAAAAGTCACCATACTGGGGGGTAGAGGTCTTCTATGGAACCTGCTGACCCACCCCTCTATAAAACAACACGGTAGTGATCATTTTCTTTCTTTGAGGGTGAAAGAGAAGGCAAGACCAAAAACTATGACAGATCTTGCTACACTGGGTAAAGAAGCTCCTTCCCAGAGGTGCGGTGTTCAAGCAGCTATTTTTGATGTTTTGAATCAAACTACAATGGAACAATACAGAATGTATGTAATGCAGGTGAGAAAAAGTGTTGCAAAGTTATGGGTTAGTGTTTCTGCACATGGTAGTCTGTACTGCAAAATTTCTTAAACAATTATATACCGTAAACAACTACCTCGCACACATTTCCATTTTCTTCCACAATACAATTTCCCTGTCACCCTTTTTCAAATATAAAAAGTTACAATTCTGTAGCTCTCAAAAGAAAGCATAACAGACAAGTTTAATTAATCACAGTCATCAATTACAATGTTACCCATTGTGTTTTGTTAACAGGTTTTGTTTTTAATCTAACTGAGAAAATAACAACTGAACCATAGTTTATTGTGCCCCTTTGCTTGAGCTCCAAAAGAAGATGGAATCATTTACCGGTAATGGACAAAAATGGAAACACTCCTAACAAAAAACTAAAATATTTAGAACATGTTGCAGGTAAAGGTGTGTGTTTTTACAGCACACACTCTCCTTAAGCACTCTATTTATCATCCTTTGAAAGAGAAGACAAAGAAAAACCAATACTATGTGTGTGGCCTACATTAACCTCACTTAATGCACTCAATAACTTTTTTTCACAAAATCATGCTTTTTCTGCACCATTGATAATCTGACAGTAACTTTTTACTGAAGTAAAATACTCATTGTCTGCTGTCATTATTTGTTTTAATACATAATCTTGCTAACCAAATGAACTTAAAGCAATGTAGATAAGCAATGGCATGCACAGGGTCACTTAAATGCCAATTTGACCGTTTCATAAACTTTGGAATTCTTTTCCCATGAGTCTGCTCTCGGTTACTTAATTGAAAGTAATATCCATTTACAAACTTCAGACTTGCCATAAAAAGGCTCTCTTCCGTGTCCCAGAAACTTTTCAGGGCTTGAATCACAACAAAAGCTAGTAATTAAAGCTTTTTTCCTACACCAATAAAGTAGTGGAGGAGTAACCTGGGGTATTCCAAAACACATTTGACCCTAAGAAGTTACTATTCCAAAGGGTGCAAAACTGAAAAACAAATGTGAAAATAAATAAATACTGTAAAGGAAATGATGGCAGGCACATCATTCAATTGAAGGGCCAATACCAAACATATTTAATGAATTAAGTTCTGAAGAATGCAACAGAACTTACTGAAATAAAGCATGCATACAATTAATAGGGAAGCCATGCACCACAGTCTGCCACAGACAAGACTTATTAAAAGTACCAGGATCTTTAAGAGGAGTACATCTAATTGGTTAATTTCTTTCATCAATTCTATGGATTATAGCATAGCCACTATCTCCACAAGCCTATGTACGTTTACTCAAAAGTAATCAGATCTACTCATCAGTAAGTCCCAGTAGGTTAAATGGAGCATATTCTCAGGTAAGTAGGCATAGGAGTGTAACTTAAAGCAGGTATGATTGCAAGGAACTATGTGTACCACTCAGCACATAATATGCAAGATGGCGAGATTTTAAGAAATAAGTGAAAAAGCAGGGTTGTTTCAAACATGTGGCCCCTCTACCCACATTTTTCCACATTCAGGGAGGTTATGTGGAGGATGGGGACAGACTTTGGGGGTGTGGACATTCAGGTGGATGGTTTCCAATGTGACTTACAACAAGATATAAGGCAGCCCTTCCTTATTCCTTATCACAAATGGAAATCATTAATTATGTAGCTGTTGACTATGGGATGATTATTATGACTTAAATGTAACTGACATTAAGATTAGGTAACACAGATCGGAAATGAACCCAAACCACCATGCGGGGAGCCATTTTAACTAAAATGTATTAATTGGAAGTTGATTGGCATTTTGATAATTGTATAATTTGGGAATTAATTGCTACTGTTATAATTTTTTTATTGGGGGTATATTGGAAAACTAATAAAAATAAATAAATTAGTGCTAAAAAGGAAATATTTTTAAGCTCACTTGATCTTTGTAGTCCAAGTGGAAAGCAGAGATACGGGATGCTGTTCATCAAGATCTTCTAAATCCTCCTGAATTTTAACTGGTTTAGCCTTTGGAATTGATTTGCCTTTTATTTCCAGCTCTATGTCTGAGGACAGAGACTTCTATACAGGGATAAAATTCAACAGTAAAGTCAAGAACATTAATAAAGAATGGCTAAAGTAAACTTTCAACAGCCTCACAGTTGGGTTATTTGTTCAGATGTGCAGTAATATTCCTACCCCTTTTTTTAAAAATCCCTTGCTCCTCCCTGTTGTTAGGCATGGCCACAACCACAGACAGGCCATCTGTCCATGTTAAATTATGGAAAGCAACCCTAAAACCAGAATTATTAAATACATAAAAGCTGAAGCCTTGATCAAGAAGAATTAGCATGTCTTCCACACTTTTCCTTATCAGATTCAGGACAAGACAGCTGCCTTTCTGAAGTAGAAAAGCAAAACTTACCCTCTTCCAATGTGTTATCTGCACAAGTGATGTTTGCCTCAATTCCGTTCAACACTCTTGAATGAAGAATTTCTCTTCATTATCAATCTTCCCCACCCCCTCCAAACTTTAAGGAGATAAAATGGAGCTGGTTTTCATAAATGGAGCTGGTCTATCATAAAACATGTGAGGGAGACCCTTGCTCTGAGCAGGTAAGTTGCTGATACTCTATCTAGCATAAGATATTTAGTAAGAGTGTGTGCTGGAATTTCACAAATTCCAATGCAAAGTGGGATGCCTTGGAAGAATTTGGAGCTTCTCAAAGGTGAAGCTAGATCTCTGTGAGGAGGCAAAAATGAAAGCAAAATAATTTGCCAACCACCCAAACATAGAGACCACTCACCCAAACAGCATCTCTCTTTCCAAAATTCAAGTACAGATTATTGGCCCTCATACAGTACACTAATGCATGCACATACCAGTCCAGACCTTTCACAGCCTCTCCTGATTCAGATGTTTATGTTCTAATGAACGTCTATGATTTGTCCCTAAGATCAGCATCCATATCTGAAGACTGGAAAGTGGTCAATGTAACATCCATTTTTTAAAAGGGACTCAGGAAGATCCTGGAAATTACAGGCTACTTTCCTTAGTATTTGGTTTATTTTCAAATTATTTCCTAATTATCCTTTTCCATGCTAGAAGGGAACTGAAAAGAAAACTGCCGATGTCATAATGCCATTTTACAAATTTAGAGTATGACTGCACTTGGAATACTGTGTACAGTTCTGGTTGCCTCACCTCCAAAGGAATATTGCAAAGTTGGCAAAAGTTCAGAAAAGGGCAACCAAAATAATCAAAGAGATCACTCCCTCCTTTGTTTTTTCCTTAAGGTGACTTAATAGCTTACGAGTCCTTTCTGTAGAGAGTCTTTCCGAGATCTAAATATGAATAAATGGTATTTTAAAATTTATCTCTTACCTGTGATGGTTCAGGTATGGCCTTTTTCACATCTTTTTGCTCTGGAGGAGTTGGCTCTTGTAACTGTACAATCTCTGAAGATGAACTCTCTTCACTTTCATGGAAGCTTATTACCTCTTGTGAAGATGATAATGAGGAATGCTCTACTTTCTCTCTTGGCGTTTCAGTCACTTCTTCATCAGCCTATGAGGACATTTTAGTCTAGATATGCATTTCTACTTCCCTCAATTTTATATATATATATATATATATATATATATACACACACACACACACACACACACACACATATATGTGTGTGTGTGTGTGTGTGTGTGTGTGTGTGTATATATATATATATATATATATCGGCTCCTAATCTAGCTAAGTATGAAAATATTTAGCTCAAACATATAACACTGAAATATTGATCCTGCACAAGGTCCTGATCCAGACTGGACCTGCTATTGCTTATTGTCTGAAAGGTGTCACATCTGTTTTGTCCCTAAGTTTAACAGCAACATACAGTATACTTGAGAAGAAGGTGAGGCAGTGCTTAATTTTTTTAAATGTAAACAATGAGGTTGAGGTCTGTGAAGGAACCTTGCCCTCTATCCTTTTCACTAATTCTGTATAGGGAAGGGACAAGCTGTTATTGCTCAGGGTAATGAAAAAGGAACTGTGCACATGCTCAGAGGTACTTTTCACATAATTTCTTCTGGCTAGTAGAAATAATGGTGTCGTTTTGCTACCAAGACCCAACCGACCCATGCTCCTCTATTAATCTGAGGACTACTATAGTGCTCTACACGGGCAATTCCTGCATCTCTTTATTTTATTACAATGCTTGTGCCACAGAACATCCCCACTCCTCTGATCTGAGGTTGCTGCAACACAGATCCTTGAATCTTGTTACATGTGTGGGTTGGCCTGTTCTCTATAGCAGCATTGGTTGGTATTATATGGTTCACTTTATGTTTCACCTAAGAGGCATTTAAGAGGCCTCCTTTTCAAACATTACAAGTAATCAGTGATCTTGCTCTTTGTGGCTGCCAATCATATGGTGGAATTTACTTCCAAGTAAACAAGCATAACTTTACACTGTGAGAATGATTAGCTTTTAATTTGCTATGTTTAAAACAATAGAGAAAATGGTAGAGTTGGAAGGGTCATCTAGTCCAACTTCCTGCAATGCAGAAATCTCAACTAGATCATACAAGATGATCTAACCTCTGTTTAAAAATCTCCAAGGAGAGTTCACCAGCTCTTATGTGAGTCTGTTCCACTGTCAACCAGCTCTTACTGTAAGACTAGTCTTCCTGATGTTCAGGAAAATAATTATATAAAATAAATATATAAATATTTTTTTAAAAAAATTAAATCTAAAATAATACAAAGTATTTTAAAAATAAGCTTTTGTTTTGATTTCTCATTCCATGGTCCAAAGTTTACCAAACCCTATTCCCAACCACCTAAATTAGCAAATCAACCAATCCCAGCTTTACTTTACATAGAAGAAACAGTCATTTTATCTTTTTCAGTCATTCTATCCTTTTTCCTTGTCTACTGTATGGGAGACCTGCTCAGAATAAATTACCAAAAGAATAACATTTTTGTCTTTTCTAAAAGGCTCACCAAACATAGGAAGCTGATTAACAACCATGATATAAAGCTGGTCAGACATTCAGACAGCCATAAAGTCCTGAGCCACCCCAAAGCCAGTCGCCTCAGCATGGATGTTGAAGGTCCCTAGAACCAGCAGTCTGGGAGTCCTCAACACCACCTCCAAGACTGTCAGCTCAGGCAGGGAGACTGCTGGGCAGCAAGGCAGGTGGTAAAGCAGCAGAATCCCTAATCTACGCCAATTGCTCAGTGCCAGGAATCTGTCCCAGTCCTGCCTGGAGATGCATGGACTGAACCAGGAACCTTCTGCATGCAAGTCTGGTGGTTTTTCACTGAGATACAGCACTTCACCAGTTTAATCTGAGAGCACCTGGAGAACTACCCAATCACAGGGCATCCGACTTGCTGGGATTCTTTATACAGCTTTATCCAGCCCTCCAATAGTCTAGAATCTGCACAGCTTCACCTAATTCTGATGTCAAGATAAACAGAGCTAAGTGTCATTGGCATACTGGAGGCACCCTGCTCAAAGACTAGGCTCACACTGAGAAAACAGATGGCACATGGGATACAAGAATAAGAAAAAGGATGCATAAAACAGCAGCTTGGAAAGAGAATAATACAGGTAGTATCAGCAAAGAAAGGAGTAGTCAGAAACAAGAAAGTTTAGAATTTAAGTTTTACCTTAACTTCAGCAATATCTTCTCTCATTCTTGCGGCTTCCATTTGAAAATGAGCTTGGGGATGGTGAGCCTGGGGAAAGCTCGCTCTTCGTGATGATCCTGGTATAGCCTAGAGAAAATAAAGGGCAAATATACAATCTACAGTATCAATCATCATGGATGAAAGAAGTGATGTTTTATGAACAAGCTGTATCATCTTCACCAGGAATACTACACCTGTAGCCCATCACAGGTTTGTTGGACTACAACCCCATTATCCCCAAGCCCTGTCAGTCTGAATGGGGCTGCTAAGACTTGCAGTTCACAAGATCTGGAGGGCACCAGGTTGGAGGAAGGATATTGTATATTAATCAGAGACCCAATGCTTATATGCCTGCCAACCCAGCAGCAGTTGTTCTTACTGCCCCAAATCAACGGGCTTGAATGGATTCTCAAAAGAAGGGAGCTCTTTCCTTGGCAAAGGTACAGGGATGTCAATTTTCAGAAGCAGCCATAACACAAGTAGTAATTGTTATGCTTCATTACAACCAGTAGCAGCCTGTGTGGTTGAGTCATCCTCCCAGTGCTGGCATTGCTGTAGATTACCGGTACCCGGTTGAGACCGTGAGGTGGGGGCATGGAGGCAGTCATGTTGAGGCTGCCCAGGCATACTAGCAGAAGCACTAGATTAGCTCTGCCAGCATCCTTGCACACACCCAACCTCACCACCATCGTTCTCTACCCAAGCCCTGTCCAGCCAAACTGCAGCTGTGATGGGAGGGCAGCTGCATCACACAAGGCAGGCAGCTAACGCTTACAATATATATATTTTTAAATTTTAACTATAAGTAAGTCATTGCTAACAAAAACAATTCAAGGAATATTCATGAGATTTTCTGTTATTTGTTTGTTTGATTGTATGCTTGTTTACTTGTATGTACATCTGTTTTCTCGTAAATGTATTTATTTTAAATTAATAAAGATATATTTTTTTTAAAGAGAGATTTTCAAAACAAAAGAGAAAAGGAAGCAGATTCTATTTCAAATTAGGATATTTAACTGTAGAAATAACATAAAATATATAACATTATGTATATAAAACCAAGTTTGTTTTCAGCTCTCATTTCATCATTTGCTTTCAACAGATATAAAATAGTTGGAATACAAGGTACAGTATATTGTAAAGTGGCTAAAGCAAGTTCTGTTATACTAGTTTATTTCACCCTGACAGTGAAATTTAACTGTGGCCACTTTTAGTCCTTGCAGTGGGGTGGGGGTGTTTGTGCAAATGTTAAAGAACCTCCCTAAACTGACTAGCAGTAAACAGCAGTGCAACATAACCCATCTTGTCTCCTAACTGTACCTACCACCACCACTTTTTGCATGTGCAAGTTTATTTTGTAATCCATTCCAAATCTGGAGCACAACCTCAGCTAGCGCAATGCTCCTTCTCCATATAAAGGCATTGTCCCAGTACCAAAGCAATGGCATGCATTCTCATTCTCTGTAAGCTTAATAATCAATTCTATGTTCTGCTGCCATTAGGCAGAACAGCGTAGAATATCAGGTTAAGAAACAAATATTTTTCTATAACAGAAGCTTAAGCTATACCACTTTCACTTGTTCAGCATCTTCTGGTGTCAGTTCTTCAGGTGCCAACTCTGTTGCCAGATGGTCTTTTTTAACAGGTGGTGGCTTGAGAAAGAAAGAAGAATATTAAGATTAAAAAGCATGATCTTTGATGTCACATTTTAGCCATAATGAAAGCATTTGATGGGGGACAACAGGTTATAGAACATCCCTGAATGGCATCCTATGGAATTCCACCATTAGATCTGTATCAATGGGGATTATCCTTTTGCCAGGCTCTACCCTGATGGGGATATCAGTCAGCAAGCAGGTTGCTGATCCAGGATACAAACCCAATGCCCATGCCAAAATCCATCTTACATCTGTAATCAAGTTGTGGCCAATTTTTCAATTCAAAGTGGTGTCTTGTCTTACTTATTGTATCACACTGTCATTTCCCTGCCTCTGTGGCCACTGGCCTGTTGTGCTGTGGCCTGCAAAGATTAAGATTAAAAAGCATGATTCTTAGCATCATCTTTTAGCCATGAGGAAGGCATTTGTTTACATAGTATGTACTACTATGTGATACAATTTAGATTCTTTTCACATTTAGGCCTGGATCTAAAGGTCTGCTCACCTACCGGGAAGCTATGTTACCAATTCCCACAAGCTGCAGGCTTTGTCATTTCACATGGTGCTCCAGGTCCCCAAATCCTCCATAGTAGTTTCTTATGGAGTCAATGTGCTCCGTACTGGGGGGGATCAGTGGCCCTATGCTACTATGTACAAGTGACAGGGCAAGTGGAGATTCAGTTCAACCAATATTCCTTCGTTTCAATCTGCAGCTACAGCGTATATGATAAAGGACTAAAATATTTATTAGAGCAGTCCTCTGAAACAATACTAAAAAATTAACATCATTCTCTGATAATGCTTTGAACCTTATCAATTTTACCTGTTCCATTTCCAAAGGTGAAACTTCTACAGCTGGAGTCCCTTGTTCTCTCGCCTGAAGTTCTTCATTCATAGCTAATATCTTCATTGTACGAAAATATATATAAATATATTAGAAAGTACACCAGTGTCAAACAACAGTAAAACATTTTGCTGAAGTTGATGCTAATGTAAGTGTGGAATCTCCCGTATAATTTTTTTAAAGCACGTTCTATCAATAACCACTCTACTATGATCCTATACATTTCTGGCACAATTCAAGCTGTACCATACCTATGAACTTGATCTCTGTATACTGTAGGTTAGGCACTACATCAATCTCTGCATCCAATATCAACTTGGAAAGCTGCACATGATACTCAAACATGAAAGTCATGTAGACAAGCACCCTCAGTATGTGTTTCACATGCATGAAACTCTTCCCTAGGGCCCTAGTCAGAAACAGAATAAGTGTTTTGTTTTATTTTATTTTAACCCATTTTAATTCACTTTGAACCACCAGGATGAAGCCTGTACACACACACACACACACACACACACACACACACAGGAATGCATACATACATACTTTGCAGCAGGCTGCAACTATGGCTTTTGTGTACTTCCAGGATACTTCTACTAATATATCTATTAAACTACAGAAAACCTATCAAAGGAGGATGCATTTATATTTGCCCAGTCTAACTATTAGTTTTATAAGGTACTACTTTTTATCTGTGTTACAGCACAGTGTAGGTTTCAGAGAAAAATATGCAAATTTTAAAAATAAAACCAAACATATTTCACGCATTCTAAGTCCACCTACTGCTTTGTTTACGTTGTAGTCCTGACCAAGAATACTCTCCACAAGTTCTTTGATCCTCAGGTCCGAGGGAGTTGGTATAGTAGACTTCAGGGATGCAATAATTTCATCAATAGACCTTACAGCTATTCCAGAAGGCATCTTTTGCAGGGAACGCTGTAGTTGTGACCTACTTCGCGCGAGGTGCCTCGCTTTTGAAATGCTTGATGTACTCCCACATGAAATTTCTACCAAAGCCTCTGCAGCAGACTTCATACTAGATGAGCCACTGCTTCTTTTACTAACTGATATTTCAACATCAAATATTGAACCTAATAAGCATGGTTTTGAAATTTCTTTCAACATATCAGATTTTCCACTTGAACCAGAAACCACAGAATGTGTGTCATCAGCTTCTACATTTAAAGCACTGGTTCCTCCAACTGTAGAAACAACTACTTCTTCAAATGTTATTTTTTGCTTTAGTTGTTCCATACCCAAACTGTTTTTCTGTAGAGCAACAGATTTAGCTGGTGATTTCGCATGACTCCTTTGATATTTGGGTTTCGGTGGGGGCTCTGGTTTCTTTAGCATTGTGAGTTGTTTGCTTGTACCTACGAAAGAAGCTATTGCTACTGCAACTTGTTCATGTTCACCTTCCATGTTATCACTTTTGATTTCTGAGGTTGTTTTCTTAAAACTAGGGGACTGTTTCTTGTCAACATTGCCCTCTTTCTTAGATGTCTTTTGTGAAGTTGTGACATCTTGTGTTTGATCGTCCAGGCCGGTAACAGTGATCCTAACTGCTTTCAGACGTTTAGAAGAATCCACTTCAAGAGAAGAATCTGTACTTTCAAGATGTGGGGATGGGCTCCTTGAGCTCCTATAAGACAAGGTTGTTTCAGGTGGTTCAACCTCCAAATTGGATTTTTCCAGTTCTCCATGAACATCAGCAATTGCTTGTTTAAACTTGACAAATTTCTGTCGAGATTCTTTGCAGATATTTTCACGTTCCTTAAGGATACGCAATTCTTCCAAATAGCTTAAGCCAAAATGCTCATGTTTTCTAGCCATTTCTTTGCACCTTTCAAGAAATAAGCATAGAATTTTACTTATATGTGATTAAAATTCATAGCTATAAAAGATTAAGAGACCTCTTAATATTCTTGACTTTGTAAATTAGCATATCTGGGAGCTTCATGTGGACAAGCTGAAAAGTGATTCCAGATATGCTAATTTATATGAAGCTCTAAATATTTTTTGAAGAACTGCTAGGAAGTCTGAAAAAGGAGAAGAAAAACAGAAAAGCCACAAACATTTAATTTACCATGGTTAGTCAGAGAGAGGAACAGGAGGGCTTCAATTGTCCCATTTAATTTTTCTCCTTCCCCAGCACCACAGGTAACACACAAATAACAAGCAAACTATATCACTGACTGACAGATTGATAAAATGTTCAGCCTCAGCCATGAAGCTCACTGGGTGATCTTGGGCCAGTCATAGTCTCTCTGCCTAACCTAGCACACAGGGTTGCTGTGGGGATTAAATGAGGAGGGAGAAAACCATTTATGCCACTTGGGCTCCGTGGAGAAAAGGTGGGATGTAAAAATAAATAAATCCCGAATATTTCAACATTAATTTGACTAAATAGTTTCCAATAAGGGTACTGCCTATTAGAAAAAGCAAGTTGATAAAATAAATGTTAGTTAATTTGCACAATTGTACATATAAGTAAAAGGCAATGATTCTGAAACAGCACAAGTGCTGACTTTTTTACATGATGTGTGTGAAAGTTATACCAGGTGCCTTCTTAGGAGAGGCCTTACCTCCTGAGCAAAAGAGGAAGAAATGCCTCTTTTAAGACAGAGATTGCTGTCTGCCATTTTAACAAAATACTTGCTTTTTTAAAAAAAAAAAAAGAATCTGCTGCATAATTAATTGGGGACGCCTTTTTTTACTTTCGCAACAGGTCTAGCTGATTATATACAACCAAGTCATCACACACAGCAGCCATATAGTTCCCTCATCCATCCCGCACCCACCCATTGGCAGGGTCCTGTGCCCTTTAGGCAGGGCCAGATTTAGGTTTGATGAAGCCCTAAGCTACTGAACGTAATGGGGCCCTTTATATGTCCAGCTGTCCTTTGCCAACAACAAATTGTCGCTGTTTTTTGTGTTGAATATATGCTATAGGTACCTAATAGATACCTAATAGATATCTAAATCCATTTGCACATAACACAATATGTATTTTACCAAAGTAATTGTTGAACTGAAATACAATTAATACAGTGGTTTTTTCCTTTAAAAAATTTGGGGGGCCCAAGAAAGTGGGGCCCTAAGCTATAGCTTGTTTAGCTTACACAGTGGTACCTCGGGTTACGAACTTAATTCTTTCTGGAGGTCTATTCTTAACCTGAAACTGTTCTTAACTTGAAGCACCACTTTAGCTAATGGGGCCTCCCACTGCTGCCGCACCACCGCTGCGCAATTTCTGTTCTGATCCTGAAGCAAAGTTCTTAACCTGAGGTACTGTTTCTGGGTTAGCGGAATCTGTAACCTGAAGCATTACAGTAACCATATGTAAGCGTATGTAACCCGAGGTACTACTATACATAAATCTGGCACAGGCCATATAGTCCCCACATCCATCCCACACCCACCCACTGGCAGGGTCGGTCCTGCGCCTTTCAGGCTGGGGCTGGGAATCCGTGGTCCTCAAGTTGCTCATGGACTCCGACTACCCCTAAACAATGGAGTTGGGACCGAAAAATTCAACAGGGCAAGCCCCTTTCCTCTTAGGGCAGGCATAGGCAAACTCGGCCCTCCAGAAGTTTTGGGACTACAACTCCCATCATCCCTGACCACTGGTCCTGTTAGCTAGGGGTGATGGGAGTTGTAGTCCCAAAACATCGGGAGGGCCGAGTTTGCCTATGCCTGACTTAGGGGGTTTCCCACGACGATGGAAACCTGCACCTGTTGGATTTCTGCCACGCGGCTGCTTCGCGCCAAATCCTCGCCCGACGTTAACTTTTCCCCGCGAAACATTTCAAGCAAACCTCGCTCCGCGATTCCTCCCGCGCCAACCCGAAAGCGGTTCCCTCACGGCTCGGTTCCACCTCTCCCCATCTCGTCCTTTCCCAGCCTCTCCCTCCTCAGCGGCCGCCAACGACGACGGCAGCAGCTCTGGCCCGCCGCGGGGAGAGAAGCGCGCGCGGTCGCTTAGCAACGGGCTGGGACGCGGAGTCAACGCAAGAGAGACAGGCCTGGCCGGCCGCGGCTTACAGGGAGTGGGAGAGGAAGCGGTGGGGTTGGGGGTGCGTCGTTGGCGAGAGCGCCCCCTGGGGCAAGGGAGGGTCGCGCTGGAAACGATCCCCTCGGCTGCGTTTGGCTCTCTGTGGAGAGAGGGCGTTCAAAGTCCTGCTTGTGGGATGCTAGGCTCCGTGGACCATCGGCCTTTCTTATGTTTTATCCTCGGCAGGTCCAATTAAAAGGCCAGGAGTTGGGGGGTCCTCTTCCCCTCTCAGACAGCTGTGGGCTGCTTGGACCAGTGCCGGATTTGTTGTTGTTATTTAGTCGTTTAGTCGTGTCCGACTCTTCGTGACCCCATGGACCAGAGCACGCCAGGCACTCCTGTCTTCCACTGCCTCCTGCAGTTTGGTCAAACTCATGCTGGTAGCTTCGAGAACACTATCCAACCATCTCGTCCTCTGTCGTCCCCTTCTCCTTGTGCCCTCCATCTTTCCCAACATCAGGGTCTTTTCCAGGGAGTCTTCTCTTCTCATGAGGTGGCCAAAGTATTGGAGCCTCAGCTTCACGATCTGTCCTTCCAGTGAGCACTCAGGGCTAATTTCCTTAAGAATGGGTGCGTTTGATCTTCTTGCAGTCCATAGGACTCTCAAGAGTCTCCTCCAGCACCATAATTCAAAAGCATCAATTCTTCGGCGATCAGCCTTCTTTATGGTCCGGCTCTCACTTCCATACATCACTACTGGGAAAACCATAGCTTTAACTATATGGACCTTTGTTGGTAAGGTGATGTCTCTGCTTTTTAAGATGCTGTCTAGGTTTGCCATCGCCTTTCTCCCAAGGAGCAGGCGTCTTTTAATTTTGAATTTACATATAAGCAAAACAAGCTATAGCTTAGGGCCCCACTCTCTTGGGGGGTCCTCAAAAAAATTAAAGGAAAAAAACACCTGGATGTACATTTCCAAAATATAAGATAAAAACAAATAAAATGAAACCTACATACAGCAACGGTGTTTTGTGTTGTCTAGGCTCCTATGATGTACGGTAAGTAATGGCCCCTGCCTGCTCCCTAAAATATCACTGGTTTGCTCATTTCTATATACAGGGTGCCTACATTCTGCATGGACTGGTTGCATGGCAACATGTGCAAATGTCTTTAGATACCTATTAGGTCCATAAATTACCATAGCATATATTCAACAGAAAAACAGTAACAATTTGTTGTTGACAAAGGACAGCTGGACATATAAATGGCCCCATTACCTTCAGTAGCTTAGGGCCTCATCAAACCTAAATCCAGTCCTGGCTACATGGACCATCGACCTTGCTTATGTTTTATCCTCGGTATGTCCAATTAAAAGGCCAGGAGCTAGGGGAATCCTCTGCCCCTCTGAAGAGACAGCTGTGGGCTGCTTAGACCACTGTTCTGGCTCAGTATTTTCATATAAGGTTTTAACATAGAGAGAGAGCTGTTTTGTGTCTAAATTATTTATCGTGCTTCAGCTCTTAGAGATTAATTTTACTCTATTTATATTTGTATGCTCTCTGTTGTTGCATATGTTTGCACTCTGGTCAGTAACTGAAATAAATCGATTTATTCATTCATTCAGTATTTTTATTTACTTATTTATATTACATTTGTTAGTTGCTTTATCTTGCCCAAGGCAACCCCAAAGCACCTTGCAAGCAAACAAGGGGGGGAACCAGTCGAGTAAATATGGTCAAGTGCATAGTCCTCTAGCCTCTACACAATTACTATTTGGGGTGTGGGTGGCACTGTGGTCTAAACCACTGAGTCTAGGGCTTGCTGATCTGAAGGTCGGTGGTTCAAATCCCCGCAATGGGGTGAGCTCCCATTGCTCGGTCCCAGCTCCTGCCAACCTAGCAGTTCGAAAGCACGTCAAAGTGCAAGTAGATAAATAGGTACCACTCCGGCGGGAAGGTAAACGGCATTTTTGTGCGCTGCTCTGGTTTGCCAGAAGCAGCTTAGTCATACTGGCCACATGACCCGGAAGCTGTACACCGGCTCCCTCGGCCAATAAAGCGAGATGAGTGCCGCAACCCGAGAGTCATCCGCAACTGGACATAATGGTCAGGGGTCCCTTTACCTAACTTCTGTTTAAAGGGTCTGTGTCGTGTGATGCACTAGGACGAGGAGAGCCAGGTTTCTCCCTGATCTGGCAGTTTAGTTTGTTTTCATGACTGTTCCCCAACTCTTAAGTTCTGCATTATATCTGAGTTTTCACGTAAAAGCCGCTTCTGGAACCATAGTGGAATAACACAGTGCAAGTTTAGTGTTCATTTCCAGGTTGTTTCCAAGGGAAAAATCCATTTGCAAATAATATGGAAGTGAGAACTAAACTTGTGCTATATTAGTTCCAGAGGTGGCTTTTACATTGTGCGAAAGCTCAAATATTAACAAGAAATTAACAAGGAAATGTTAAAATAGAATAAACTGCCATGTCAGTGCCGTCTTCAGATCAGAGTTTCTCTTGGCCTTAAACTTCACTGAGTGATTTCTCAGGGGCCCTTTCAGACTCGTCTTTTCACCAGCGTGTTCTGCAACATGTCATGGCCCAATAATAGTGCATGTCTGGTGGATGTATACTGGACCATCCAAACATCATTCCACTTTATTAGTTTCCATGATGTTATTGTATTATGACTTGCTGTTATTAGTTTCCTTTGTTTCTCCTCTGATGTTACTGTATTGTGACTTGCTGTTATTTTTATTGATGATAGTTTAGCAATGATTTATTGTGTTGTCATTGTTGAGAGTTATTTACTGATATTATGAGAGTTAGTTTTATTGTGTACAATCATATTCTAATGGATTGTTGAATGTTATTTTCTTTGTTTTAAGTGAGTTGTTGTGAATATAAAAGCAGGGAGGGGAGAAAAGAATCAGGTGTGCCACCTTGAGCTCTTTGGAAATACAATAATGCAATCCTATACACATCTATTCAGAAGTAAGGATCACTGAATTCAATTACACTTATTCCTAGGTAAGCGGGCGTAGAATTGCTTGCTGTATCCAGATATCTACCTTGTTTTAAATTAAGAGTAAACTTTCTCATTCTTCCATCCAGTACTGCCCTCTACAGTTCAGTTGTTCACTACCTCAGTTAATGCTGAAAAGCCTTGCTGAGCTTCTAACAGTTTTCTTTCGAGCCATACTGGGATGAGTGGAGGAAATACTGATATAAATTATGAAGAAAGTCGGGGAAGAGTCATACACATGAACAGGATTTTAAAAAGAAAGTCAAAGAGCAACTGATAGTACATTTGTTTTTAATTGTGCATCTGATGAAGTGGCCTTTGGTCCACAAAAGCCTATGACGTAATACATTTGTCTTTAAGATGCCAGAAGACTCTTTGTAGTTTTAAACAGTAAATAGAACCACCAGTATGCCATTTTAGGCAGCCATGACACCTCTCCACAGGAGCCTCAGCAGGAGGGGCAGGACATGGCAATGAATATAAAGAGCTATTAGCATCAGGAAGGACGACCTGAATGGAATGTTGGGATTTGCATCCGGAAGGAAGCAAAGGAAAAGCTCACAATAGGCAGAAGGGTAGCCCCTTAGCCTGTGCCACAATAGGTTCTCTGGGGGTCAGGATTCTGGCACACTGGTGAGGAACAGTTTCAGATAAATTGGCACTGTTTATTTTCCTACACTATAGCACAGTAGATGCAAGGAATCTGAGCCCTCTTCAAAGTTATTCATTTGCACAGCGAAAAAGGCTCAATCCTAATCCCATTGAAATTAATAAGAATTTCCCTTTTATCCTCTGTGAGAATAGGATTGTAGCCCCAGTGTGCAACTTCCTTCCTAGTTTGAGTTCCACAGAAAGTTGGTCAGAAGCCCAGGAAGATAAGAGGGGAAAGAGGAAAAACCCAGAATTACATAATTTCTGAAGGAGTAGCATTAAATTCAATATCTACCCAGGCTACAAAATTCATATTTAAGTTTTGTATTTAAAAATTTTTAAAAAATCAGTCAACTAGGCATTAAAGTGCTAGCATTTTATTTCTGAGCATTTTAATTAAAACATGAACCCACTCTAAATGACAGAAGACTAGATGAGATGCCACAGACATGATATCAAATACATATTGGATTGTCTAATGTCTTTATTTAACATGAATTTTGCTCAGGTTGTAATCAGATTGACTTGGGACACTGTGTGTTGGTCTGTGTGTCATCTTTCTGAATCACGTAAACCCAAGACGTTGGTTTGACTTGATTCAAAATCTGAGTAAACCATGTTGGAAGCCTGGGCATCCGCGGGCAGGGGGCAGTTCCCACACACAGATGAACCATAACCCCCGGAGCCCCAACAGTCCTTGCTTAAAATTAGATAGATAGATAGATGCTCAGTTGTATAGAACTTCTTAGCATCTTGTGATTTCCACTGAGCACCAAAAGGGCATGTAGAAAGGAAATGTTTCTGAGTCTTCTCAAGGTTCATAAAGAAGAACTATAGCTCAATATCTGTGGATAGAAATGCCTCCTTCCAACTCATCCATCAGAGAACACTAGTCACACAAAGCTTTGTGGATCTGACTCTTACAAAGCATTAAAAAGTGCTTGGAGTCCTCTCTCCTCATCTTTGTTCCAAAGAACAGGGCATTTGCCATTTTAAAAGCCATGCAAAAGTTAATGTGTCACCACCACTTAAGTGGTCGTGGCACCAGAAAGCCTCAGTTAATGGGAATGAGTGCAAGCAACCTTTTTGCAACCATCTATTAGCCATCAAGAGAGCTCTGATAAAGCAGGATGCTAGTGAAGGCAGAGTCTTTCTCCATTCATGCTTGAATTGTTTGAGTGGGGACTATGCTAACCACCACTGATACATGGCATTCCAAAGACTGAGAAGAGGGACAACCTTTTTAAGTAAGAACCTTGGCTTAACCAATGTATTTAACTCTAGCCAGAAGGTGGGACTGTTATCTAGAAAGATTTCTAGTATTGCCTCAATAGGTGCATACTATTATTAATAATCATCATCATCATCATCATCATTAAAAAAAAGATGTTTCACACTATTGGTAAGTTTTAACTGTATATACATTGTATCTGCTTATTTGCCATGATGCCATGGTTTTAAAAAGGCCTATAAAGGAAGCCCACCTGCTGTAGTCATACACGAGGACTACAGACCTTTCTCATGTCATAACACATTCCTAAATACAATTAACTCCTTAAAGAACACGGCCTAGAAGGATGAATATTAGCAAATCAGATTCAGACATCTATACCAACATAAAGCATTAGAGAGTTCACCTGTTGAATGTCACAGTTCTCCTTATAACACAGTGTTGTCAGTTTAGGGGGAGGGCTTAGACTGTATGCCTGAGTCCCTGCTCATTCCTGGATCCAGCAAGGATTCAATGGCTGGGATAGCAAAGCCAGCTTGGTAATGGCTCCCAAAGTATGGGTTATTAAGGTCACAAAAGGAGTGGCCCTATGCAAATGGGTGGGCCCTCTCTCCCTCAGCTGTTTGGTAGGTAGAAGTGCAAAGGCTAGAGTTGAAGCGTGTGAGAAAGCTGAGCTAGAAGCTAGAAGCAGGCTGAGGCTTGTGAGTGAGAGACCTGGCTATGGGGAAAAGCATGTCATTATTGGGTTGCTATTTATTTATTTTTTAAAATTATTTTTATTAAGGTTTCAGTAAAAAGTTAAACAGAAAAACATAAAAAAGAAATACACAAATACACAGTACATAATCCAAAAAAAGAAGAAAAACACAGAGAACAGAAAACAAAAAAAAAAAAGAAATAGAACAATTAAAAACAATATCACCTTTTCATTTCCGTTTTTAAATTTACTTATTTTCTGGACCTCCTCATACCTCCCTCTTTTGTATTCCGGTCCAAATTGTTTGTCCAGCAATTTCTTTTCCACTTTTTTAATCCCAATCTTTAATCTTAATGTAATATAGCATTAAAATTTTACCTCTTAAGTACCAAATTTCCATTTCCTTAAACTTCTTTAATCCTAATCTTTAATCTTAGTCTATCTATAACTTTATCCTGTACAGCTGGAAACCACTTATTTTCAATCCAACATCACTCTAACATTCTTTAATTTTGCAGTGTTTCTGTAGATAATCTTTGAATTTCTTCCAATCTTCCTCCACCGACTCTTCTCCCTGGTCATGGATTCATTATTGGGTTGTTAATGTGGTGAGCCCTTCCATCATAGGCTCAGGATGTATATATGTGAAATATACTCGGAGTCGAGAGTGGATTTCATGCTCTTTATTCAGCTCATAGTGGTGAGGAGGAATGGAAGTTCCCCCAGAATGTCTGCTTTATATACATTATTTACACAATGGGCCCCACGTGATTGGCTAATTCTGGGATTCTCCTGTAGGCCAATCAGGTTGTGGATTCACTTCCACCTGGAGCTGGATTGGGTGGCTCCTGTGGACCAATCAGACTGCTGCATTCTGAATCCTATTGTTCTAGTACCAAACAGACTGCTGCATTTTGGATCCTATTCAACTCAGTACATAACAATATGTATAAATATATTCCTAAAGATACCACTGTCTCCACTGTCCCTCAGTCCAATGAAACTGAACTAAGCACCTACAGCCCCTGGAATATTGCAGCACTCAGAGATTGGGGTGACATGCAACACTAAGTTCCACATATCTCATTACAGCTGATGTTAAAGGCTCAGAACTTAAAATCATAAGAGCCCATCTAGCCCAGCATCCTGTTCTCACAGTGACCAACAAGATGCCTGCAGGAAATCCACAAGAGCAATCTTCCCTCCTGCAGTTTCCAGCAATCGGTATTGAGAAGTGTACTGCCTCCAGCCGGTTGAAGGGAGAGCATAGCCTTATCCTCCATGAATTTGTCTCTTTTGAAGTCATCCAAGTTGGTCATCACTGCTGCTTCCCATGGGAGCAAGTTCCATAGTTAAAGTGGAGATCAAATCAGAACAATGGTGTCATCAAGGTAGGAAACTCTACTTTAGCGAAGTTATCCCACTTGGCGTCTGGCTTAACACATTTTTGAAGTAAAGTAATATGCATTACAAGGGACGCGGGTGGCGCTGTGGGTTAAACCACAGAGCCTAGGACTTGCAGATCAGAAGGTCAGCGGTTCAAATCCCCATGACAGGGTGAGCTCCCATTGCTCGGTCCCTGCTCCTGCCAACCTAGCAGTTCGAAAGCATGTCAAAGTGCAAGTAGATAAATAGGTACCGCTCCGGCGGGAAGGTAAACGGCGTTTCCATGTGCTGCTCTGGTTCACCAGAAACGGCTTAGTCATGCTGGCCACATGACCTGGAAGCTGTATGCCGGCTCCCTCGGCCAATAAAGCGAGATGAATGCCGCAACCCCAGAGTCGGCCATGACTGGACCTAATGGTCAGGGGTCCCTTTACCTTTACCTTATATGCATTACAACCCAAAATGATGTGTGTCCAATCCCTTAAGACCATTAAGGCCAGAGTCAAATACTGTATTACTTAACTGCACGACTGAGTTAAAAAAAAGTAGCAATGTTAAATAGCATTCATGTTAAGAGTTGCTCACTTTTTAATGAGCAGCAGTTCTGTGTCTTCAACAGTTACACAACAGAAAGAAGTAAGGCATTTTCTAACAAGCCTCCTGCATCAATTCACGTGTTGCAAGATTGTCCCTTCATAGCATAATTACCTCTTGAGATTTATGGTCCCTTGAAATCAGTCAGGCCTTTAATTATTTTATATAGGGCCATCTTGCAATAAATACTCTCACACAGAGGCTTTTCTTTGTATTTGCCAATCTAGCTTTTGCTTTATTTATTTGCCAGTTTAAACACAGACATTTCCTCAACAACCCAGACTAAAATGCTGCTGTTGATTCTCTCGCTCTCTCAACAGTTTTGATGTTTTGATCAAAGTTATTTTCACCATTTTACAATGAATGTTTTCCTCCACGTAACAGAAACTTGATTTGTCAAAGCCTTAGCACTCCTAAGCCAAATAGGTAAGTACCCTTATTGTTAAACAAGGTCTAAAATACGGTATATCATTCACTTGACTGTACGAATTGTCATAAATTTGTGCCAAGAAACGCAGCACCTTCCTTTGGCTTTGATGTTTATCTGTATAGTACTGTTGCTGGTTGGTGTTGGATAATAAGAGTTGCCAACATGCTAGGCAGAGGGAATCGATTGGTGCTTTAGCATAAGTTCATTCTGCAGAATTTACAAGAGAAACATTATCACTTGTTCGCATCTGTAGATCAAGCTGCTCTTAAAGGCAGAAGAGGAACTTTTTTTGTTTCTGTTTTTTTTTAATCTCAACCCTACCAGGAAATGACGTAACCATAGGTAAAACAGAATAAACTATTTATTGGGCAGATATCCTATTGTGCACACTTATTAATTTCCTCTTTCTACCTGAAAAGGTTTCTGTGAAATTCAGAAATTATTCACCAATAAAAAGTGAATATTTAATGGAGACCTTCTCAGCAACCTAAGTTTATTAACTGATCCACCAAGACCCCTAGAGATTTTCAAGTGGTCCATAGGGTGAGAGTGGGGGCAGAACTACTGTTGTACACAGATGTGACTTTCATAGAGTTTTATCTTGTGTGAAAATGCCCTTGGATCATTATAAAAATCCACAGCTGACTTACAAATGGTTGGAGGCTGTCATGCCGCCCTCCCCAACTTGAAGCTCTCCAAACGTTTTCAACTACAACTCCTATCAGCCCAGGCCAGGACAGCCTATGGTTGGGAATGATGTGAGTTGTCTAAAATATCTGAAGGGACCTTGTTGGGGGAGGCTGCTGGAATATGTCCAAACACAATTAAACTAGGCTTTTAGCTAAACCAGTATACCTCGAAGGGCTAAATATACTTACTGACAGCTGAATCCTATTCCTGCCTCCTCAAAAAACCGATTGCATTCAATGGGACTCACTCCTAGGTATGTAGGAGGTATCTGAGACCTTTTAATCCCATCAGTTTAGATCCTAAATTTTCCTGGAAAATACATGTATTTGTTATTTATGCCCATAGCTGTCAACGTTTCCCTTTTTTTAAGGGAAATTCCCTTATTCCGAATAGGATTCCTCGCAAGAAAAGGGAAAAGCTGACAGCTATGTTTATGCCTTTGAAATCCGTTTCTGTGTAATGTGAGTAGAATTACAGCTTCTAATATCTCTATCCTAAACAATGAACCATTTAATCTATTTTGTATTTTTTCCCCCAAGTAATGACTATCTGTTGAAACTTCTAGATATTAGTGCAGCTAGATTTCACTAATCAGTCACATTCAGCAGATGAGGGCAAGTTCTCTGGCTCTTTGGACTCATCAACGGCACTATAAAACAAATTCCGGGATGAATGTGTAGGCACAAATTCAGCACTGGCCAATAACTCGTGCTGCGAGTTTATCAGATGGGCGATAAACCCCGTTCCTTGCAATGCGACGCGCAACGCGATCCTGCGCAGGTTTACATGGACATATGTCCCACGGAGTTGCTTAAGGAATCTTAGCGTGGTTTAACCCGCAGGGTGTCGTACCCAGCTCAGAAGGCGTGGGTCCCAATCCCCGCTCAGCCCCAACCTTCATTGGATCTTCTCAGGCCAGCCAATCACTATATTTTAATTATCCTACGTCGCAGGATTGTTGTAAGGACGTTTGTTGGAGGGAGGGAGGGATGGAGGGAGGGAGAGAGAGAGAGAGAAAGGTAGGTAAGTAGGTAGGTAGGTTTGCAGCCTCACCCCCGCAAACTTTCTTTGGATCTGGGCAGCCTAGTTGCTCATTTTCCGAACGGTTCGACCCACAAGTTCCCCCGCGTTCATTCTAGGACAAGGAAGCCTCTGCTCAGAATCTCCCTGATCAGAATTGTAGCCATTCAGATCCGCTGGAGGTTCCCTAGACTTTACAGGATGACCTGCTGCGGATAATGTTGCCACAGCCTGCTACTTCGTAACATCCATGTTGCTCCAGTCTTTGGCAGTTCTGTGTGCAAACGCGATGATTAACATCCTCTTCAGACTCCTTTCTCCAGCGTCTTAGTCAAATGTATTGGGAACATAGAACAGAGCCCGACCTGTGGTCCATCGAGCTCAGTTGAGTGACTGGCACTGGCTCGGCAGAATTTCAGAGTCGAGGACTTTGCCAGCCCTGGCCACTTGAAAAGGGGGGTTGGGGTTGGAATTTGGGCTTCTGTTTGCGAAGCATGAGCTCTACCTCTGAACTTACCATCCTTCCCTAAATTGAGGACCTCAGACGTTAGGCGTTTGGTGCCTGCGTCTTGGCACGGCGAGGTGTGCGTGTGTTTCCCCCCCTTTATCCGGCTACAAGTCGCGCAGCTGTAGGGTTCCGTCTGGAAAGGAATGGTTCGCACCCATTCACTCTCCTTTCCTGGGGGCTGCGATGACTCGCGCGTGTGAACGAGCAGATGCAGATTAAAAAACCCTCCAACAGAAAGTTCAGATCAGACCAGGAAACCATGTTTGTCAGATCACTCTATACGTTCAACTTCGCTCTAATTTCGCGGGTAGGAATCGCATGATGTGTGTATACGTGTGAAGGCATCCTAAAGAACGAAATTCCAGATCGAAAATGGTTCATGGAGAGAGCTGTGCGTGCTTACTTTCCTCTCCTTACTTTCCTCTCCTTATGACCACGTGTCAGATGCCTTCTCCACCAGCTTCTCCGAAGTCACCTTAACTTCCGAGGTACAGCTGCTCATCTGCCGCATCAAAAGACAAGGAGAAGTCTTGTGGATCCTTGAAAATTGGCATGTTTGGGCTGCAGTTAGAATTGATGCTTTTGAATTATGGTGAAGGAGGAGACTCTTGAGAGTCCCAGGAACTGCAAGAAGATCAAACCTCTCCATTCTGAAGGAAATCAGCCCTGAGTGCTCACTGGAAGGACAGATCCTGCAGCTGAGGCTCCAGTACTTTGGCCACCTCATGAGAAGAGAAGAATCCCTGGAAAAGACCCAAGATGGAGGGCACAAGGAGAAGGGGACGACAGAGGACGAGATGGTTGGACAGTGTTCTCGAAGCTACCAGCATGAGTTTGACCAAACTGCGGGAGGCAGTGGAAGACAGGGGTGCCTGGCGTGCTCTGGTCCATGGGGTCACGAAGAGTCGGACACGACTAAACGACTAAACAACAACAACAACACAACAACAAGCCCCATTTAACTCAGGGGTCCTTACTTGAGGAGACGTGTCTACGGTGGCGCGGCCATTGTGGCAGGCGCCTTTCCTGAGCTTGAAAGCCCAGCTGAATAATCACGCCTCTCTCGTCACGAAAAGTGTGGGGTCGTCAAGGCAAGTGCCCTCCAGGGACCCCCCCATCTTCACTGATCTTTGGTCATGTTGACTCGGGCTGATGCGAGCTCGCTGGAGTCCAACCACATCTGAAAGCCATCTCGTTGACTACGTCAGAAGAAATCCTAGTTATTAAGATGCCAGCAGAACCGTCTATTTATTTATTAGATTTCCATCCCCCAATGTGGCAGTATACATGGTTTTCCCTCACAACAACCCTGTGAGGTAGGTTCGGCTAAGAGACGCTGAACGGTCCAAGATCAACCCAATGAGCTTCTTAACACTTGAGTGGGGATTTGAATCCGGGTCTCCCAGGTCCGAGTCCATCATTCTAACTCTAACCCAGTGTTTCTCAAATTTGGGTCTCCAGCTGTTTTTGGACTACAATTCCCACCATCCTTGACTCACTGGTCCTGCTAGCTAGGGATGATGGGAGTTGTAGTCCAAAAACAGCTGGAGACCCACGTTTGGGAAACCCTGCTCTAACCAGTACAACCACATCGGCTCTGATTCCAAGAATAGAGCCCGCTGCCATTAGGCAGCAGATATAACGCCTGCTTCCTGGGAGAAAAGCAATGACAAACCTAGACAGCATCTTAAAAAGCAGAGACATCACCTTGCCAGCAAAGGTCCGTATAGTTAAAGCTATGGTTTTCCCAGTAGTGATGTATGGAAGTGAGAGCTGGACCATAAAGAAGGCTCATCGCCGAAGAATGGATGCTTTTGAATTATGGTGTTGGAGGAGACTCTTTAGAGTCCCACGGACTGCAAGAAGATCAAACCTATCCATTCTTAAGGAAATCAGCCCTGAGTGCTCACTACTGGAAGGACAGATCGTGAGGCTCCAATACTTTGGCCACCTCATGAGAAGAGAAGACTCCCTGGAAAAGACCCTGATGTTGGGAAAGAGCACAAGGAGAAGGGGACGACAGAGGACGAGATGGATGGATAGTGTTCTCGAAGCTACGAACATGAGTTTGAGCAAACTGCGGGAGGCAGTGGAAGACAGGAGTGCCTGGCGTGCTCTGGTCCATGGGGTCAGGAAGAGTCGGACACGACTAAACGACTAAACAACAACAACATAACAGGAGACCGCGTCGAACTTGAAGAAAGGCAGGCCGATCTTTTGGCTCCTATGGCTGTGGGTGCCCTGTTTTGGAGACTCCATTCACGACCCTTGATTTGTGGCAAGAGGGAAATTGCACTCACGGCTACCTGGGTGGCGAGCACATCTGACCGAGTCTCTCTGATCAACATCATGGGGGCAGCCTTTATTTGCACGAGGCTGGCCAGGAGCGGGAAACGGCACACGGGTTCCTTTGAATATGTCCAAACACAGTTATCGGTGGGGAAATGCGTCCGAGATGCTGTTCCGTTGTTTGCAAGGAAACCAGAGAGGCTTCAGGCCCTGGTTGAGAGCGCAACCTGTTATCCCCCAGAAGCGAGAGGACCGAGACCATTTCGTGCATGCAGGGGGGGCGGGTGTGTGAGGAGAGAGTGCCTGCGCCAATGCTTTGTTTCCAACCGGTTGGTAAATAAATGATACTCGGGTTGCTTGCACGCTGCTTAATGGGAAAGGCGCTCCCTGGAAAGTCAAGATAAGCAGGATCAACAAATCTGGCCGAAATCTGGAGGGTGAAAAGCGGCGGTGTTCGGTGCTGGTGATGCGATGGGGTTGGGTTCAAGAGAAAGAGTGGGGCTCGCATGTGGGTTCAGCAGGTTCTGCCTCTGCCACGACCGCCTCTCGCCTCCGATCCGTGTCCAGACTCTCGTTGGACAGCTGGTTGCTTTACAGTATCCCAAAGACCTGGGTTCAAATGTCACTTCTGCCCCGATGTCGTCATCAAATGGCCCGGCTATGTGATGTTCCTAGATTCACAGACCACATTTCAGCCACGACGGATTCCTTGGGCAAGCCACTCCATCTGCGAAATGGGCATAATAAATAGTCGTCTAACTTATATAGATCAAATGTCTGTCTGTATGGACTTGGCGCGCCCCAGGGGCTTTACAGGAAGAGCCGCGGGTGCGGCAGAGGTTAATCCAGTGTTGCTTTTAGGTTGGGAGACCGAGGTTCACATAGAATCATAGAATCATAGAGTTGGAAGAGACCACAAGGGCCATCGAGTCCAACCGCCTGCCAAGCAGGAAACACCATCAGAGCACTCCTGACATATGGTTGTCAAGCCTCTGCTTAAAGACCTCCAAAGAAGGAGACTCCACCACACTTCTTGGCAGCAAATTCCACTGTCGAACAGCTCTTACTGTCAGGAAGTTCTTCCTAATGTTTAGGAAGAACTCCGCCATCTTCCTGGCTGACCTTGGGCCAGTCCAGTTGCTGCCTCTCGATCGTACAGTGGTACCTCGGGTTAAATACTTAATTTGTTCCGGAAGTCTGTTCTTAACCTGAAACTGTTCTTAACCTGGTACCACTTTAGCTAATGGGGCCTCCTGCTGCCGCCGCACCGCTGGAGCACGATTTCTGTTCTCATCCTGAAGCAAAGTTCTTAACCTGAAGCACTATTTCTGGGTTAGCGGAGTCTGTAACCTGAAGCGTATGTAACCTGAGGTACCACTGTACCTACTCTGAAGCGTTTGTATGATTATAAGAGCATGATCCCACGCCTGTCTAATCGGAGTCCCAGTCAGCGAAGTCAAAGGAGCTTACTCCAAGGAAAGTGGGTATAGGATTAGAACTAAAAGGGGGCATGTATACCATCCTGAACTCTTTGGAGGAAGTGGAGTAGAAGAAAAATCAGGTAGATAGGTGAGGATATTCTAAGTATTATACGCAGTTGGGAACATCCCACTAAATTCAGTGGAATATTTTAGGCTGCATCGGGCTAGCTGAGAATTTCTGCGGTAACCGCAGGGAATAAATTGCAATCCAGAGACCCCATTTGACCTACGGGTTTATTTAGTTACGTGCGCACTTTCTAGTATAGTTTTCTGCATTCTCTCGGACATAAGATCATCTCTCTGCGAACCGCTCTGAAAACACAAAAGTGAAGGGCAATATAAATGTTGTAAACAAACTTCCATTATAAGTGGGGTTATTGGTTTGTTCTTGTTTTTATTAGGTATTTTTGTATTTTTATGTTGTGAACCGCCCTGTGATCTTCGGGTGAAGCTATACAAATTTAATAAATTAAAATATAATAAAATTCATTTTCTTTCGACGCCGCCTTTTCCCTAGCTAGACTGCTTTATTTTAATTATTGCTCATTCATATGCCGTATTTTTCTGGTGGGGCTAAACTTTCATTAGCTCGCTCGTATTCACTCGTGGCCAATCCTGGGGTGGAGGCAGGAACACTCTCACCTGCGCGTGCACAGCCCACCTCCTCCGCTACGCTGCTCAGCTCAGGTGAGGCAGGAGTGATCGCTCCCTTCCCGTCTCACAAAATGGCCCGTCTAATGCTTTGCACCGGGATCCCAGGGTTACGCTAGGCGGAGAGATTTTAAACCCTTAGAAGTGTACCTACCTGAATGTTTTCTGTAGCTTCCAAAATCGGTAGGGTCTTGAAGAGAAACAGAAAATGTCATGGGGGGCACATCAAGCTCCAGACTCCGAGAGTCAGCCACTCCTGATTTACAGGGTCTCACCCCTATATGCCCAAAACATCCGGTTGGGAACTCAGCGGGGGTTGTTTCTTGCGTAATAGGCGCAAAAAAGACGGCGCTCCGAATTTGGAAGGCTCGCCGTGATTAATTGAAATTGATTTGAATGGGTTCCAAAATCTGAAAAGGCACGAAAATTTCGCACAGAAAACAAGCTCGGAGAAATGCAAGCCACTTCCCGCGTCTAGACAGAAGTATGGAGAGCGAGAGGCAAAGTAAAGGCAAGCTTCTGGCTTCTCTGACCCAGAACCTTCCAGCCTCCAACCTTCTAGATCTTAATTCTTCATATACATACTGGGAAGATCAGTCCTTCCTATTTCATATGGAATTGCGCCTGTGAAGCTTCCCACTGGCTGAGCCGCTGAGATGGCTCAGAATGTTCACCAACATTCCAAGTACGGGGAACAAAACTAACGACGTTGGCAAACCAGAATCTATGAGTGGGGGGGAAATTCTCGGCTTAGCTGGATCTGAAATATCACAGGACAGGAGTTTTGTGGGACAGGGTAGGGACTGGCAACAGATCTCAGGAGGTAAGGAAACTAAAGAAAGGAGCGCAGGAGCTGAAGGAGCAGGTCATACCAGGCAGTCAGGCTGCAGTCCTAACCACAATTACTCTCGAGTCAGCCCCATTGCACACAGGGGGACCCATTTCCAAGTAAGCATGCAGAGGATTGCATTGTAAGGTGGCGGCTTGAGGGGGTCGAGTCGAAAAGGGCAAGGGGCTCTGAAATGTACGTATTGAACGGAAGCGAGGCGTTTTGAAGCTTCCACCATCCTATTTCCTTGAATTGGAGCTTGTACTTGCACGTGTATGTGTGTTTTGAGCCATGGGGTTTAGGAATAGCCGGGAAAACGGGAGATCCCGCGCCCTCTGTACAGTAACCATTTGGTTAAGGCGCGCAGAAGCTGTTTAAATCCACAATGCCTCCCTCCCCCCCCCACCCCCCAAAAGGTCTCTCTCCCTCCTCCTCGTGGCCGAGTAAAGGCACTGTTAACAATTTTGCCTACAAGTCCGATCCTGACATAAACATTGGATTTCATCTCCGCTTTGACAGGGATCCTGCGGGCAGCCGAGAGCAAAGGCGGGCAGGTCTTCACTTCTCCGGAGCTGAATGCGCCAGTGCCCTCCTATTGTTTAGAGCATAATGTTTGCGGTATTCATTGGTTTAACAAAAAGCCAAGGCTGCGTTTCATCTTTCTTTTGTCCAAGCCGGAGAGAAGGCGCTTAATTTTGGAAGGATGGCGAGTGCGAAGGAAACGACCTATTATTATTATTATTATTATTATTATTATTATTATTAGCGTGGATAGTTCTTCACTAACCATAGAGAGACAGGCAAAGCCGGCGAGGGGAAATTTTAGGATCTGTAGCTAGAAAGCTGCCCTGCTCCGAAACTAGCTGTGACATCTGGTTGGCCACCATCGCGAGAGACAACAGTGAGCTAAATAGACCATTGTTGTTACCCAGCAAGCTCATCCTTTTGCTTCAGAAGGATTAGATGCGAAATTCCGGTCATCCGCAACTCCATTATCAGGTTTAAAACAACCTTTTTTTAAAAAAACAACCTCTGCTCATCCCTTTTTGCAAGGAGGAGATCTTTTTTTACACTCTCGGCTATCTTAATGGAGAAATCTAAACACTGAGAAAAGCGAGAAGCACCAGTTTCCCCCTTAAAATAGAAGGGGAAGTTGAGGCCACCCGCCTCCACGAGAGGAAAAACGGTGGGAGTCTTCCTCGTCCAGGTTAGCAGTCGGATCTGGGGCTGCATTACCTGACAAATGTCAATGAGAACACACCTGGGTATCAAGGTGAAGCGGAAGGCAACTTCCAAGCTAGCGAGCTTTCTGCCGACCCGCACGCAGGTGAAAGGGGGGTGGGGAGTGTATCAATGATCAGAATTGCACGCCCGGTGCTAAAATAGCTACTGGGAAAGTGCCCCAGTGAAATCAGTGGGAAATACTGTCTAAGGATCAGTTGCCAAGTTAATCTGCTGCAGACAAAAAAATAAAGGGGGGGGGGTGTCGTGTCACCTTAAAGGCCAACTGATTTACTGTAGCATTAGTTTTCGTGAACAACACTCCACTTCGTCAGAAGCGTAACGTGTAAATCTGAACTTGCAATCAATTGGTTTCCATTTTCAGGGTAGTCGTGCATCTGGTGGAGCGGGCTGTGGTCATCATATGACTGTGGTCGTAATAAATATCTTGGTCTTTAAGATGATTTTACCAATGGAACAGCGCATTGCAAAGCACGTTCACTTGGAAGAAAGTACCGGGCGTTTCTTCCTAATGCTTAAGATTGGAGCCAATTTGGGCTCCAGGGTTTAATTTGTTTACAGTGCTGCAAATAACTGTCTTGTGCATCCGGTTAAGAGTCTATTGTTCCCGGAGAGACAAACAGCCATTCTTTCCCATTACTTGCGAGGAGGAGTCTGGATTTTGTGCAATATTTACAGCAAAGTCCTAACCACGTCCGCTCATAAATATCGAGTTCGATGGGGCTCATTCCTAGGTAAGTGGAGTTAGGTCTGCAACCTTAGGGGGAGATAAGAAACCCTCTTGGCGCATCGCTTTTATAGCAGAGGCCCTGCCACGGTTGCATTTCCCTTGGGGGGGGGGGAATGGAGAGCCCCTAGGTAAATGTGTGTGAAGGAAGAGAGACAGACTCTGTAAAACACAGACGTAAACAAAGAATTGCCATGGTCGAGTCTCTCCTAAATATGATGCGGGTATCATTGTTCTGGTTCTTAACATAAAAAATGAGTCTCGCGGCATCTTAAAGATGAACAGGTTTATGGTGGGGCGAGCTATCCTGATCTGGAGTCCTGTGTACCTCATGAGGGTGTGCTCCCTAGTCCAAGAAGATTTCTGCCCCCCCTAAAAATAAAATTTAAAATCCGTTCATCTTGTGCCTATTTTTTATTACGGTATGTTCCTTTTGCTGCAATGGGCTGACAGATATTCCCCACCGCACTCCCCGCATGGTTTCTTTCCCTCGGGATTATCCATTTCCTCGCTTTCTCCTAGTGCAGGAGAAATTCAGCAGCGCTGAAACGCTCGCCCACACGCCCCTTGCTAGGGATCCTCCAGAGAGCAGGAACACCGTGCTTAAAGGAAGGAGTTCTTCAGTTGCTTTCCAAGAAGTCTCTCCCCCGGGGAGTTAAAGATCAGGGGTGTCTCGGCTGTCTCGCGCCCCATCACCACCGCCCTACACCCCCAATAAGCCGCTAGATGTGAGCGAAAGCGCTTAGCGAGGGTGCCATCAGACCTTCCTGCGCGCATTCCTTTGAAAGTGCGCGCCAGGAGGGGATGTGCGAACGAGCCCCACTAATCTGTTTTTTCCTCCGAGGTGCTTAAGAAGCAGAGGTCGGCTCTTGGTGGTTTTAAAAAAATAACACCTCCTAGAAACAATGACGGATTTTCAGTCCAACACACCTGCGTCCCCCCCACCTCTCGGCTCAAGCGCCGTCTGGTATGCAGCCGGGAGAGGGATGTTCCCGCAGTGGGTGACGCGCTTAGGCAAGTTTTGCTCGCATCCGGGAGCCATGCGGAACTCGCGTCCCGTTGAAGCCTGAGCAGCAAACCTGCCGATCGCTTGGGATGGCCGGGCATCGGGTCCTCCTTCCGTCCAGCAGCTGCGTCTCAAAAAAACAGGTGTGCGCGCTTGAGGTTGTGGCCGGTCAACAGGAGGCGCTGTGACTTCGCCCAGAGTTGTACCTTCGCTCTCACAGTCACACACAAATCTCTCATCAACCTCTGAGCAGAGAATTCACAACAACCACAAAGTGGGGTCCGGGCATCCTTCCTTTGCTGATGCTTTCTGCTTAAGGTTTGCAAGCGGACAACTTAAAAAAATATATATTTAAACTTTATTGCACAAAACCAAGCTTTGAGTTCAGGTTCGAGTTGGGAACTTTTTGTACGCTGTTCGAAAGTGTTCCAATCAAAATAAGAATAAATCATAAAAATTAGTATTGATAGTAGTAGTAACAAAACAACAGCGATTTTATTCCCCTATCTCTGTTCTGGTGTAATATATTTCTGGAGCTTTAAAGGGATGAGGAACTAAGCACTTTTGGTCAATTAATAGAAAGGGAGTTTCTCTGGTCATTTAAGCTATGCACACACGCGCGCCCACACACACGGCATTTATTTAATGATTTATTTATTTTGCTTTCAGTTAAGCTCTACCTTGAAATCAATAGCGTTTACTTCCACATATGCGTGTTTCAGGATCCGGTTGCTAGAAGGAGGTTCAAAGAGAGCTGCCACCTCATCCTATACCCACCTGAGGGTGGTTGTCGTTATTTTCTAAGGGCGGGAGCGTGGAAGCAAGCAATGCTGCAATCCTAAAGACTGGAAGTCACACTCATTGAAATCTGTGAGATTTGTTACCGATGGTGAAACTGAAAAGGTGTCCAGAGTTTCAGCTGTGTAGCGGCACTTTGATCCTAAATGGAGTGGGCTCCACCCTGCCAAAATCAGCCCCTGTCCACATAAATGAACGAGACTCATAAATGCTTCACTGAAATGAATGGGGCTTTAAGCAACTGCATCATAGTACCCATTCATCGCAATGGGAGCTACTTAGGATCGGAGAGGTCCATCATCAGCCTGGCAGACAGGAGCATCTCTTTCCTCACCCCTGGCCCTCTTTTTATCCCAAGAAAAGGTTGTGTCTTCTGTGGCAATTCACCCCCTACGTATTGTATTTCAATGCGTCTTTAATTTACAGTGTGGTCATATTCAAAAGCAGTTTGTCCTTTCGTGCTTTTATCTTTTATTTCCTTAATGGCACATTTTCATCCCTTGTTCTCGCCTGCTGATTTGAGACATTTGTTTGTTTCAAGGATTTGACTTAATTCTGTTGCCAAATTTTAGGCGGCTGCGGCCAGAGAAGGGACAAAGAGAGAGAGAGGGTTGAGAGAGGCCGCCTTTTGTCGACAGGTTAAACCATACGTCTTACACCAAGGACGTTACCTTAAAAAAAAATATTATTTTTTACAAAATCGTGTTATTTGCTTACTTTAAATGGTTCAACGTAAATGGGACAACAAACAGATGTGATTGAAAACTATTATCTGTGTATCGCCTTGCTGTGTCCCAAGAACCACGTAAAAACGAAAAACTGGGTGCACAACCCGTGTAAACCGAAACGCTTGTTCCGGATGTAAGATTCCTCCAGCGAAATCAATAGAAAGAAAAGATCTGAAATTAAGTCGAGGCGGCTGCGATTTTGTAAGGGAATAAAGTTGTGGCGTAGTCAATAGGAATTTGAATTCCTCCTTACGCGTGTGTGGGGACTGTGGTCCATACATTCATTCAGGGCAAGGCTGCGCCATCATTTATAGCAGTTGAGATTGCTTCCTTGCCATTGATGTTCAAACTCTTAGGAACCGCATTTCGGCACCGCCACCATTTAAAAGCAAGCAAGCACACACACACACACACACACACACACACACACAACCCTGATGCGATCATGTTTTCCCAACCCAAAAAAGGAAAAGGAGCCACATTCCACTTAGAGTCAGCCAGCGCAAAATGCTAGAATTTGAAAGCATATTTTATTCCATCGGTTGCATTGGAACTAAATCGCCTTTTCAGCCTCATCCTACTCAGTAAGGCCAATTGACTTTACTGGGATCTGCTCTCGAGGAAGTATGCACGCAGTCCGGTGCTATGTAACGTTCCTCGGAAGGGACACTTACCATGTTCTCAGAGAGAGGCTTGCGCCCCCGTAGGATTGCAGGCACTGGCCCTAATACTTAACATTATTTCGAATAGAGGACAGGCTGAGAAGCCTCGGTCTCGGTTTAAGCAGCGATCCCGTGCACTAAACCGGCAACAAACACCACAGAACATAGCGGAATATAGGATCGCTCGACAAATAGAAAGGAGGGTGAACCTAGGCGACGTGCGTTCGACCGGTGTCCCACTGCTACCGATGGGCAAAGTTGCCCATAACTGGACCCACGCCCCACTGACTTCAACGGGAACGAAGTTCAATTAACAAAGTCTAGATCCAACCCACGGAAAATCTCTCCCACTGTGCCCCACCCTTCTTGCTCAGAGCCCCTGAAACAAATTTCTGGACCGATTTGCTTGCTTCTACGAAGTGGTTCCTCATCCTTCGCGGCCGGCCACCAACGTTTGGGAGCAATGAAGACAGCACCCTGTAAGCGTAAAGGGAACCTCAGCCCATTTACTCGGAAGCAGCCCTATTCGAGTTAATGGCCGAGTGGGATCTGCAGAGGATCGCCTAACACAAAAGCAGGGGATACCGTCAGATTTACTGCGAAGCAAGACCCAAGCAAGTCTTGGTGCCACGCAGCCCCAGGGGCGTGGATCGGGGCCTCCGTCCCGGGAAGGGGGAGCCCCTGCTCTTTTTCCGCCGGGGACCCTTCTGCGGGGACGCTGGCCAGCCATCCCGCCCCCAGCCAGGCCAGGGGCGCGGGTCCCCAGCCAGGGAGGGATGGCGGGCGCGCAGGCTGGCTGGCCGCGAAGCTGCTCGGCGTGACTCACCTGGGCCGCTTGCCAAGCCGAGCCGCCTGGCCGACCTCGCTATTCATTGGGGCCGCGCGCGTCACGCGGAGTGACTCATTCACACGGAGGCTCGGGGCTGCTGGACGGCGCGGGGACGGGGCCAAAAAGGAGCGGGGAAAGCCCGTGCGCAATGAAGGCAAAACTGCCCCCAGAAGCTGCCTGGGGAGATGGTCAGGCAGACGGGGATCTGGGGGGGGGCAGAGAGGCACACTTGGGGTCCATCCTGCTGCCCCCACCCCAACCCCAGAAGCGGCCACCAAGTGAAAGGGGTCGCCTCTGCTACCCACCCCCTCGAGCAAAGCCAGCCAGCCAGCCCTAGGCGCAGGCTGCTCTTCCCAATCCAAGCAAAGAGGGGGCTGCGCTCGCCTCTCTCTTGGCATCCCCCCTCGCCCCTCCCCTTCCCCACTGGAGGGAGGGAGGGAGGGGGTTGGAGGAAAGGAGGGGGGCAGTATTTTCCCGTTTCCCTCCTCCCTTCACGGGTCCCCACTTCTGCCTCTCCCCCCCCCCCAACAGCACGTCGGTGCGCTTAAGCCAATTACACCGCTTTGCGCCTAAAGTGCCGCCCCGGGGGAGTTGCGCGCGGCCTTGTTTGCAGGTGCATCTCCGGCTTTGTAGGTGCGAACGTCTTTGTGCGGGCGGACAAATGGGGAGAGGAGGAGGAGGAGGAGGAGGGGAAGGAGGTGGAGAAGGAGGAGGAGGAAGAGGTGGGCGCTGCTGCTGCTGCTCCTGCTCCTGCCGCCGCCGCCGCTGGTGCGACGACGTAAGATCCACCTCAGCTCAACTCCCCTCGCATCCCAGCCAGCACTTCCTCACTTCCTCGAGTGGCTGTCCGCCGCACACCGCTTGCTGCTGCCTCTGCCGCCGCCGCCTCCTCCTCCGCCGGGGGGCTTGATCGAGCCGCAGCTCGGCTTCCCCCGCTCCGGGACTGCGGGCGGGGGGGCTCCCCGGACCCGCCACTCGCCGGGAGGGGCTGGATGGTTACCCCGGGCAGGCTGGTTCCAGGATGTTAGGGACCGTGAAAATGGAAGGGCACGAGACGAGCGATTGGAACAGCTACTACGCCGACACGCAGGAGGTGAGCCGAGCGGGGTGCGAGGAGGGCTTGGAAAAGGGGCTCCGTCCGCCCCCTCGAGGTGTGGCGGGTGTGAGAGAGAGGGGGAGCCAGGGTCCGCTCCCAGAGCCCGACAAAGCCCAGGTCTGCCTCCCTCGACCTTCCAGCTGCACGGGAACCCGGGAAGGAAGGCGCCAAAGAGAAACTATAGAGGGCAGCGGGGAGATCTCCCTGGCCGTCGAGTGGACGGAAGACGGGAGTCCTTGGTTTCTTTCTAGGGTCTCGCCTTGGAGACCTACGGGCGCCCCTCCAACGCCTCTTGATTCTGAGTTAGGGCCTTGATGTGTGGGGTGGGGTTGTTTGAGGCAAAGACCACTTCTAACCCTCCCGTCGGGGAACGCTTTCCGCCTCGTCGGCCGCCTTCTCTCTCCCTCCCACCTCTCCCTTGGGCTGCTATTGCACTCTGCTGAGCATAACAATCGTTCGTGTGTACTTTGCAACACGCTTCTTTCAAGGCGGCGGCGGCGGAATAAAAACTGAAACGGGAGCAATTCTCCCCGCGACCGGCGGGTGGCGCTGCGGAGAATAGGATCTCTGGAGCCTGCGACCAGGAACCGGGCTCTGTTTTTTGCATTGTCCATTCATATCCACGTTCCTGATTTAACAATATGCTCCAAAGAACTTCCAAGAAAAGATCAAAGACGCGCAAACGAACAATAACGGGTGGAGGAGCATGTAAAACCCCGATGGGGCGGAGGGTGGGAGGGAGAGAGAGAGAGATGAATGGGGCCCTCTTAACTGAATAGGGAGTGAAAGACCGAAAAATACCCCCCAAAATGGCTTCAGCTGCGAACTGAGCCTTACAGAACGTGAAAGGGAAAGTGACAAGATGATATGAACAAAAATAAAAGTGGGGGCGGGGAGGGAGAGGTACCTAGGATCAAGTAGACCTGACGGCGTGTGTGCAAAAAATCAGATATCGCTCAACATTGCTTTCCTCCCCAGAGTTAATGTCCCGGGTTCATATGCGCTGCCTGCGCCGGCTGTAGACTCCGGCTGAACATATGTGTTTGTGTAGGCTGTCGTATTCCGGATTCTTATTTAATACTGAAGGGTCAACAGAGGCCAAGGAAGGGGTTTAGTTTAAATGTATGCCTCTTCCCAGCGCCATAGGCACTCAGGAGGGCGGGGGGACCCTAAAATGCCGCTAGTATGCTAATATGGGGCCCTTCACTGGTAAGCATAATTCATCCTTCTCCGCGCCAGATTTCCCTCTCTCTCTCAATTTGATTTTCCAGTGTTCTATTGACAATTTTACATCCAGTTTTATTTATCGCTCACCCGCCCGCACACATTATTTTCCCATCCAGTCTTGCTCCGTGAAGGATACTTGATTTTTTTATTTAAAAAACGTATTTGTTTTATAAATCGTAGCACGCCAGGCAAGGGGGGAAATGATTCATTTATGGAGAAATAGTTTTATATAGAAATATAATGCTTATATAGAAATTATATTCTCCATCAGTTATGCTTAGTCACACTGCATAATCTTAGGATTGTTTACTAAAAAAGGGGGAAAAAGTCAGAAGTAGGAGAACCGTCTGTGTATCACCCACAATATCACAACCACCTCTAAGATGTGCAAACGCTGTCGGAGAGATATTCTGTAAGAAATCTCAGGCATATTATAAATCTCTTAGCTTTTAGGAATTTGAAATTCTAATTATATTAGAGAACCGTGACTACACCTACTGAACGTTTAAAACACAAGCAAACTAGGAAGCGAACCTCTGGGATACCCTTTCCCGGATTCAAGCCCAGCTAATAGCGTGCATTAGCTGCAGTTGTTTTAGTAATTACGTTTTTTAAAAATTAAGCGGGGGTTCGCTTTCTCAGTCTATTTCCCCCCCAGACTGATTTTTTTATTATTATTCTTATTATTATTATTTGGTCTGTTCTTTTATTCCAGACCGTTCTGTTATTTGGGACTCAAGGTGGGGAAACTGGCTGAATCTTAATTTAGACGGTCGAAAGGTTTGATGAAGCTTCAGTTGACTATAAACCTCGGGGAAATAGATGGGCGGAGGGAAGCTACCTTTCGCCCCCCCACCTCCAAGAAAAGGCTGTGTTGTTTTGGGCCCAAAAGGTGCAGTTGTTCATTTTGTAGAAAACTTCCCGGCGGGCCAGGAATGTGGGGCAGCCAGCACAGAAGAGAGAGAGAGAGAGAGAAGGGGGACGCGGGGTTTGTGTCAAAGAGGCCGCAAAGTTTGTTTTTCCCACCAGCCTCTCTCTGAGACTTTGGGAAGCTTTGGGGCAGGAGGCCGAGGAGGAGCCACGACCTCGGAGAGCTCCATTTCGGCGCCTTGCAACAAGGCGCGGGGATTTCGGCCCGGCCTCCTTCGGGAAAGGCACCTGCCTCGGCGGCCTAGCCCAGTGGCAGATCCGCCACCCGCTTGGAGCAGCGCCGCAAACCGTCGGGTTTCCCTCCTTCCCTTCCTAGGGATGCGCTTTCTTGTGGCGGCGAGGCTGGCGATCTTGGAGTGAATGGCGGCTTCTCTCTCACCGACCTTTCTCTTCCCTCGCTGTAATTCTTAAGTGTATTTAATTATCACTGGTGTTTCCCTCTATTTTTTTTTTTAAATGAAATAGTACATGACCTGGCCTTGGAAAAGGGGAATCTCTGAAGGAGGCGCCGGGCTTCCTCAGATCCCACTTTAGACGCCCGCGGCAAGGATGTGGCGTGGCTTGTCTCAGCCGGCGCTTTGCCCTGGCAGGACCCGGGAAGGTCTGTGGGTGTCTGATCCTTTGGGCCGACTGGTTCTTCTCCCGCGTGTCCCCGAGTTCTGGTTTGTTGCGCGTAATTTGGCACCCGCAGCCACCCACTCGCGCCGCCAGGATCTTTGCTTCCTAAGAACAGGGCCTCCTCTTAACAATGCAGGCCGCATCCAAACATCTCCACAACTCTTGTTTTTACTTTCTGTGGAGATAAAGGCGCTACAGCGGTTTGTGGTTGGCCCTCCGCACTCTTTACTTTGAAGGAAGGAAAACGTTTTAACAGGATGCGCGCCAAGCTGCGACGCCTTCGGTGCAAATCGGGACCTTTTACGGATACGCCTTGGTTCTCCTATAAAGTTAGATCGAGTAGATTCATAATGTCGCTGTCCTTCAAATGCAAACCGTGTGTGTGTGTGTGTGTGAGAGAGAGAGAGACCTCTCCCCCCTTTCCTTCTCACACAACCCCCCCAAATAAAACCCCTGATCCATCCAGGGCCAAGATATTTCTAGCGTTTGGAGAATCAACCTGGACACGCTCACTGCCCCTTCAGCGAACCCTGTGATAAATCGCAAACTAGAGACTAGGATACGGTTAAGAAGGTGCCGCTTTGAGTGTAGTTTGTGAGCGATAGTCGAGATCCTAATCCTCGCCGGCTGGTTGCGTGAGAAAGGAATCTTGCGAGAGCAGCTGGGAATTCACCGAGGTGACCAATAAAGGCAAAGGTCGGAAGGGACTGGGGCAGCAACTGGTGCCACGGAGGGAAGGGAGGTTAGGAAGGTAGGCAGGTGCGTTCCGGCTTCTCGCCTCCTTTCGGCCGTCTAAATTAAGATTCAGCCAGTTCCCCCCACGTCTAACCAGTGTCTCCCTCCGCAGGCCTACTCGACGGTGCCCGTGGGCAACATGAACTCTGGCCTGGGCTCCATGAACTCCATGAACACCTACATGAGCATGAACGCCATGACCACCAGCGGCAACATGACGTCGGGCTCCTTCAACGTGTCCTACGCCAACCCCAGCCTGGGCGCGGGCCTGAGTCCCGGGGCGTCGGGGGGCGCCATGAACAGCATGTCGGCCATGGGCTCGGCGCTCAGCCCCGGCGGCATGAACGCGATGGGCAGCCCGCAGGCCTCTCTGAACGGGCTGGGCGCCTACGGGGCCATGGGCCCTCCCTGCATGAGCCCCATGGGGTACGCCGCGCCGTCGCTGAGCCGCGGCGGACGCGACGCCAAGAGCTTCAAGCGCAGCTACCCGCACGCCAAGCCGCCCTACTCCTACATCTCGCTCATCACCATGGCCATCCAGCAGGCGCCCAGCAAGATGCTCACGCTGAGCGAGATCTACCAGTGGATCATGGACCTGTTCCCCTACTACCGCCAGAACCAGCAGCGCTGGCAGAACTCCATCCGCCACTCGCTCTCCTTCAACGACTGCTTCGTCAAGGTGGCGCGCTCGCCCGACAAGCCCGGCAAGGGCTCCTACTGGACGCTGCACCCGGACTCGGGCAACATGTTCGAGAACGGCTGCTACCTGCGCCGCCAGAAGCGCTTCAAGTGCGACAAGCAGCCCGGAGGAGGCAAAGCGGGACAAGGTGCCGTCGGGGGAGGAGGTGGTGGTGGCAACGGCAGCGAAGGCAGGAAAGACCCCGGAGGAGGAGGAGGAGGTTCGCCTTTGCACCGAGGCGCCAAAGGAGGCCAGCTAGAGTCCGCCCCTTCGAATCCCGGCTCGGGCAGCCCGCAAGGCCTGGACCACAGCGGGAGCGGAGCGGAGCTGAAGCCGTCGGTGGCCTCTTCCGCCGCAGCTGCCGCGGCGGCGGCTGCTGCTGCTGCCGCGGCAGCGGTGGCAGCGGCCTCCGTGCCCCCTGGGCCGAGCTTGGCCTCTCTGGGTCACCCGGGCCACTCTCTGGGTCACCACGAGTCTCAGCTGCACCTCAAGGGCGACCCGCACTATTCCTTCAACCACCCCTTCTCCATCAACAACCTCATGTCCTCCTCGGAACAGCAGCACAAGCTAGACTTCAAGGCTTACGAGCAAGCGCTGCAATATTCCTCCTACGGGGCCGGGCTGCCGGGAGGGCTGCCTCTGGGCAGCGCATCCATGGGCGGCCGGGGAGGCATTGAGCCCTCGGCCCTGGAGCCGTCCTACTACCAAGGTGTGTATTCCAGACCCGTCCTAAATACGTCTTAGCTGGCAGGGACTCGAGGGCGCACCAAGCAGCAAGCTTCCTCCCCAGCAGGGCTGGTTGGTTTGGCCTCTCCCATCCTCCCCCTTCTCCTAGATCTCTCAGCCGAAAGTGACGGTGCGTTTCCCCCAACACCATCCCTGCGAGGCGGGGGAAGCAAAAGGAGAAGGGGGCGGAGAGCAGAAGAAAGGACTGTTACTTTATTATTATTATTATTGTTATTGTTATTATTATTATTGTATCCCCCCCAATGCATAGTGTTTATTCTATTTTGGCCTGGAAAGTCCAGCAAATCGCATCCAACTCCGCAAACAGACACTGTATATACCGCCCACCTTCCCTCGCCATGACCACGAAAGATTGATTTCCAACCTGTAAATTATTATTATTATTAGTGGATTCCCCCCCCCCTCCGCCCCACTTTAACCTTCTTCGGCGTAATCTCATCAATAAAAGCAGACCTACGAAGATGCCTTATTCTAGTGAGTCAGATCTCTGGCTGGCTTGCTCCTGCAAGGTCTCAAGACTGAGCTGTTCCAAGTCCCGCCCCCCCTCCAGCCCAGCCTTTAGATAAATAAATAAATAAATAAATAAATAAATAAATAAAAGGCAGAATGAGGTGGAACCGGGGGCCTTCTCTGCGTATACAGGCCTCTCCAGTTAAAGTAGTCCCAAATGGAGAGGTTTAAGTTAAATTTAAATTAGGAAGTGGACAGGGACAGGCGATACAGTGCTGAATATATAAATGCGCATATATATATATATATGCCAAGGGAGTCCTTGAACAGAACAGCCCCCGGTCCCACCAGAGCCTTGGGGAAAGGAAATCTCCTAACCAACCCAGAGTTGATCTGACCGGTTCGTAATGTCTCCTCTGGGAGAGATAGGTCACACGCCCATGGACCATAGAGCCTGATCCTGAACCCCCCTGCCCTAACTCTGCAAAGTGACAGGGGTCGCGGCTGGATATGGATGCAAAGTCGCACGGGTCGCAGTCGTTTTAATTTCCCCCTCCCTCCAAGCTGTTACTAAAGCGTCTCCTTCACCGGGAAGCGCCCTGGCCACGTGGACGGCTGGGTATTTAATCCCAGGACCCCTTCCCCGCCGCGTGCATTCTCGAACTATATCTAGCCGTAACAACAATAATTATTGTCATTCTCCTCTCCCTCCCCCGAATATTTTAAGATAGAAGGGGTTCTCTCCCTCCCTCTCCTCTTCATCAGATCAGTCTATGACCAGTCATGATTCTGCCCCTCTCGAATTTCTTGTGGCCGCTTAATTATCGCCGTTGTTAGCACGTTCATCCAGTGTTAATGCACTTTCCACCGTTTTCTTTTTTACACGATGTTTTAGCCTTGCCAGACGGGTTGCTTCCCTTCCTCCTCCTCCCCCCCCAACTTCCCCTCCCTGTTCGCTTTCACGACGTCCTTAATTTATTTGCACGGTTTTATTACTTTCTTTCTTTACAGCTTGAAAGTGCTTTTAAATGACGGTTTTAAAAAAAATGACACACACCATTTTAAAGAAAATAAAAAAAAATCTTAATTTTATAATAAATGTGATTGTAATTGAAAAAAATGTTTTGATTTTTTTAAAGGAAAAAAATGACAATATAAGCAGCGACGTATGTTTTTGGGTTTTTTTGCACCCCCTTTCTCTCTCTCTCTCGATCATTTGCAGTTAAGGACTTTAAATAAATCGAATATTATCAACGAGAGAATTTTTTGGGTTATTTTATTTTGTTCCATTATTGGGTAGGATGGATAAGTCTATATTAATTAAATGGTCTGGAATAGAAAAATAGATGGAAGGGGTAAACAAAAGATGTTGGTCCCCCTCCCCCACTTTCCTAGTTGATAAATTAGGAGCTCACAGGGGTTTCTGTGATACAGAAACCCATTCTTAGTAGACGCACATTAAATATTTTTTTAATGTACTGAATATTTAACAAGCAGCACATTCCTACAGGGCTAGGGGGAGTCTTATCGCAAACTTAAACCTTCTCTCCTTATGTATGGGAAGAAAAAATAGAGGATCCGATCTGCCCTAGATTGCATTGAAGGAATACTGTTATTGTTTTCTCCCAGCAGAGAAATGTTGTTTTTAATTTGGGTTCTACTATTGTAATGTGAATTATCGAGTGATGAAGCCCCCTCACCCCTCTATTTTACATTAACAAAAGACTCAAGTTTTAATCGACCCCCATAAGAACACGGGGGCGCAATGCCTGCAGCAACCAAAACAGGGGTGTTGCCATTGGCTTTAGTGAGAAATGGGTTGCATTCACTTAGCGAGTTTTAAAAATATAAACTGTCTCGGTTGCTGAAACTGGCTCTGTTGCCCTCGCTTTCTTGTTCACTGGAAGGCGGCTTTGCAGTTTGGTGGTGAATTCTAGCGTGCAGTTTCCGTTTTATTTCTCCTAAGTCTTTGCTGAGGGAACGACTCGTAGCAGGCGGTGCAAAAGATCGCTTCACTTTGTAGTGGAATTTAGCGCCAAGTTAGCAAGAGAGGAGGAATTGGCGCTGCTCTCACTTTCCTGGTCCTGCCCGCACCTCCCTTGAAGTTAGCTGAAGTTACTGCTTGCAATATTTTTTTGGAAATCAAATCCTTCCCCGCCTCCCCAAAAAGTTTACCAATACACAAGTTTGTGTATGGAGTTGCTAGTTAGTGTTTGAGTGTGTCCTCTGTATATTATTGGGCTCCCATTGTAGCTGTTCATATTCAGATTTCGCTGTTGTGACAGAAGCCTTTGGAATGAGACCATTTTAAGTAAGGCTTTCGGTGTTACTTTTCTTCCATCAGTATGTCTGTGGAAGAGGCCAGGTCTCTTATTTCTAAGAGTCTGAAATGCTTTCAGGTTATATGGCTGCAAATTTAAGACACACTTGGGGCGGAGGCATCCCACTGACTTCAGAGGGACATCCATAGGGGAAACATGGACCTACACATACAGCTGGAGTCCAATCCTATGCATGTTTCCTCGGATTGATTCCAATCCTAGGCATGAATCCCCACTGAATTCCGGATGATAGCAACCAGTGAGGCAAAGAATCCAGGATCAAACTTGGTAGGTAGATTGTTGCTACTGCTACAGGAGTAGAGAGAATCAAGGTAGCAATCCTAAACAGAGCTCCAGAGAATCTGGTGTAGTAGTTTTAATGCTGGAAATCCTATCCATAGTTCCCCCAAGGGGTACTTACTTAGGCAAGGTGTGTGCAAAGGGTTGCAGCCTAAAGCCAAGTGTTGTGGCAGAAGGTTTTCTGGGCCGGAGATCCACTTTCTTCTATGCAGAGCTAAATTCACACACAAGTTCCAAATCACCCTTTTTAATTTCACCCATCGCCCTTGAGTTTCAAGGTTTGCTTATTGTGTTCTGTTGTCGCGTTGAGAGAGGGGGTCCCCGGTGACGATGAGGATGAGGATTTATTTATACCGCGCCCATCTGGCTCCAAGCGGTGGGATCTCCCATTTTAAACCTGCTGGCTTCCGAAGCTCCCAACTCCTTTTCATGTTTACAACGACTAGGATCCAGAAGCCTCGCTGGCCTCATTTGGCGCTTCCTTGTTTATAAGCACGTTAAGCAGGGGGAGTGGGGCTTCCAAGATCACCAAATGCTTCTCATTACACTCAGTGTCTTAATTCAGTCCATTAATCTGAGGAAAGTGGGCCCTGAAACGAACAGCGCTTGCTTCCAGGTCTAGGGCCAAGGACCGCTAACCACAAGTGAGGAGGAGGCCTTGACCAGCTGCTCCACTCCTCGCCCTCCCCTTCTCTGTGCCAGCTTTCCTGGGCTCGGTACCAAGAAGACCCACCAAAACAACGCCCTCCTTAACAGCGCATCATTCTGGACTGCGAGGGTCGTGTGTATGCGTGAACCTGGGTCCCATTTCCCTTTCGTCTGCCCATTCCAGACACACTCAGCAGAGGAAAGGCCTGCGCCTCCCATCTAATATCTGCACAATTGGTCCCCCTCTCCCGAATTCAGTTGCATAAAAGGAGACTGTCAAACTCTCCTCTCCGGTGCAAATATACTGTAATTGTGCGAGGCGGATTCTCAAAAGTAACGCTGCATTTGGGAGCTGGGCTTCGTTTCAGAGGGGTTCGTTCGGCTCACTCTCGCCTATCAAGACACTACAACTCAAAACCTTCCAGCAGAGAGAGGGCAAATAAACAAGAGCTGTGGGATTTTTTTTGGGGGGGGGGTGTTTTAGGGAGAGAAGGGAAATCAGTTGACGCTTCCACGCTCTTGATCCGAACTCCAAACCTCACTTAGGTTGGGTTAATAAAGGTATCGCTCTAATGTGGATTTTGGATTTCTTCTTCTTGTGGGTCAACATGACTACCACTACCTTTTGCGGCGCTGACTTGGGTCTGCCTTCCGAGTAAACTATGAGAGGATCGGGCGACCCACATATTTACTTGGATCGACGTGGCTTATTCAGGGAAATGCGTACCAGGACAGCCTGCGAAGCTTTTGTAAACTGCTTGGGGGGGGGTGGAGAGAGAGCGCGGGCAGCTGGAAGTGATAGACAGCTCGGGATGAATTGCCTCGTGAGTAAACACCCATAGGATCCGGCTGTTGCGCCCAGCACTTGGGCACTTTGATTGCAATCCTAAGCACTTTCTCTAGGGTTACAGTCCTACACACGTTTACCCGGCAGTAAGACTCGGTGGGGCTTACTTCCGAGTAAACCAGCTTAAGGTGGCGCCCTTAGACTGGATCCTCCAATAAGTCCAAATGCTGAGGCTTGAGCGACATTCAGCCCCGAGCGGGATTCAGTCTCACGGATTTTGGGTCCGGCTAAAAGTAGAGGCCGCAGCGTTTGCATGAGATCTCCATATGGGTGGCGTGTGTTTTTGTTTAGTTCAGACGTGTTAAAAGGAGCCCGCCTCCGCTCTTCTTTCCCATCTTCTCATCTGCATTTCAAAACTTTAAGGGGTGCAGCGGGGTGCCTTGCCCATAGCCTATTTCCCTGCTTAGCCTATTTCCCTGCTTTTTCAGAAGACATCTGAAGGCAGCCCTGTATAGGGAAGTTCTTAATGTTTGATGTCTTGTCATGTTTTAATTTGTTGGGGCAACCCAGTCAAATGGGCGGCATATAAATAATAAAATATATTATTATTATTATTATTATTATTATTCCTACTACTATTCCAGGCATAGTCTATCTATTCAGAGCTTCGATTAAAAGACTTCTAGAGATTCAAAGCAGTGTCCGGGCTTTTGCTAAGGCTCCGTTCTTTTGCAAAGGTGCAGAAGCGAGAGTGTTTAGCAAGGAGACGGAGTTTCAAAGGGACCCACGAGGAAAGAAGCGGGCCATCTGCAGCCCACAAGGATGGTTGGATTATGCCCATCGCAACTGTTCCCTAAGAGACCTTCGTCTTTTATTTTCCGCAAGACGTGTGTGTGTGTCTTCCCCTCCTTCCCCCACAAAATAAGCAACGATCATAAGAGATGGGTATCGGGGTTCAGCCTTCTCCACTGTAGGCAACACGCGGCGTAATTGACTTGGAAGATGTACTCCGCGCCTGTGTAATAAAAGATATTCACCTGCTCCGTCTGGCGAGGCATAATAATAATAAGCACGCGCGTCCTTCTGCCGGGCTGGTTAATGCATAGCACTTCTGGAAAACCCATCTCTCTACGACCTTTATTCTTAATCAAAGGGGCTAGAGAATACGTGGTCACATCGAAACCTCTAGCCAAAGGCATTTCGCTGCAACACCAGAGCGCGGTTGCGTCTCTGGAAATGCTATGGACTTTTTCCTCTCCACCCCCCACCTTTCTCCAGACACACATATACCTGATAATGAGGTCCATTGACTTTCAGGGGATCGATCTCCCTGGGTGCTGCGGGGAGTGTTATAAACAGCTCGCAACTTTAAAGTAATATTAAATATTATATTGGGCCGTAACGGCGGAGAGAAAGCGCTGGGTCCGGATAGTATTGGGGAGGGAGAAGGGTGTGAGTGGGGCGACCGGAGGGGGGAGGTTAGGAGGAGCGATGGTTCATTCATTACAACAGCCTTGTAAAAATACTTTCCCTGCTCCAGCCACTACTGCGTTTGTTTCGATGTCAATTTCAAGGCAACAGAGGGGAAAAGCAAAGCTGTTTATTGTCTGGCCGACTCTCAGCTGTCGCCATATCTGGTTTCGGCGGCGGGCTTGCGTGTGGGTTTTAATCTTTAGCATCCCTAGCCTGGCATCTTCTGCCCCAGAAGCAGAGACAGGCGTCCTGGAAAGCGACATTCTCTGCAAGTCTCGCTCCACCATCCGCTCAGTGGGGAAGGGGGTCTTTGCTCCAGAGCCCCCGAGCCAATTCAGTCCTCCTCCTCGCCGTCGATTTGTTCCCCAGGGGATGCTTGCGCTCTTGTTTCGCTGTCCCGCAGCATAGCAAGGACATAGGTAGATTCCGGCGTCAATGGGGGACGCTCTGGCTTTCTTCCCTTCTTCCTGTGGACGCAGGAAATGCCTTTCCTTTTCAAATGCAATTACCTTCTTTTAACAAGCCACGTGCTAGACAGCTAAAACTGTTGCCATCATTCAGGCTCATTTAACTCCATTAAACTCAAGCAGGGAGTAATTCAGCATATTACTGAAGCCTTTTAAGAGAGCTAACTGGAT